CGACCCGAGAAGTTCGAAAGCGTCGAACTTAGCGAATTATAACCGATCTTAGCTTTGCCAATAGGCCTGACTCGTCGAGTGAATTAGCTCCGCCATCGATTCAATTAGCTCCGGTGCGTCTCACATAGTGAATAAAAATTAAACAAGTCCCTTTAGCGTTTTCTACTCCCGTGGGCCCGAACCTACACTCAGTTCCGTGATTTGCGACTTTGTTTGCGACTTTTCAGAGATAAATACTCTGGAGCGTCCATTAGTGTTTGTTTCAGGCATCAAGGTTTTGTTTTATTTTTCTAGGTCTTCCTACGGACTACCCTACGGCGTCTTACTCCTCCTTTCCCCCTCGAACTATTAAATACCCTTCAGTTGTCTCGGACCGCCTTCACCCATATCACGGGGTTTAGGTTTATTCCTTTTGGTCCTTGGTGATTGTTGTGTGTCAGTGCATATCACCGGTTCCTTTCATACTTTGTCAGTAGCTCAATATGGGTATTGTACCCAGTGTTTGTAGGGGCGTTCACTGGGTGCAATTCCCATATTGAGCCACTGAGAAAGTGTGAAAGAAACTGGACAAAGGTCAAATTTTGTTCATAGTGTTGCCTTGCAAAACATATGAAAGCTCAATGAATAGTGCTGAACAAAGAACATATCCTGTGCCACAATCAGGTTTTTGCACACTCAAAAGTAGTATTATTCTAGTTCGGTTCACCAATTGTGCAATGGACAATCATGAAAAAAGTTTGACCTTTGACCCGTTAATTTCACAGTTTTCTGCATGCTCAATATGGGTGATGTACTATCATTGAGGGGGTTCTGCAAAAAGTATTGAATTCGGCCTGTAGCATTCCGCACACTTGACGGATTCTTACCGGATCTTCCGCATATTGTGTGTGACTTAGTGATGAACGTCCTCATGATTTTTGTGCATTTTTATGCAGCCTGTGGAACGTAGGAGAGAGATGCCGGTTCATGTAGGGGGTTCTGCAAAAAGGTGTCACATACGGTCACAGTGGGATCTCGCCGCGAGCCATGTCACGCTTTTGTCACGATATGGGCCCGGGAGATGTGCAAAGTTGCCTCTCTATCTCGACACGCTCGTTATTTACTCTATCGGGCTGGTGTATTGTACTATAGACAGCATATTCATGATACGCCAAGCCATTCCACTGCAGTCCGTTGAGAGCATCACGAGAGATCTAGTGGACACTGTTTCTTTCCCATGGCCTGTAGGACCCATTTTCTCTCCCTCTCTTCAACCACAGCAGATATTCCCATTCTGACTTGGCAGAGGTTCTATTCTAGTGTATATATACCTGCCTGAGCTTACCCAACATTTTTTGGTTGAGTGTGGAATGAGATATAAGGGGGTGAGGGGGTTCTGCAAAATTTGCAGAACCCCCTCAATGATAGTACCCAGTGGTTGTAAGGCCAACTAAGCCAACTCTGGCTGGGTATGGGCGCGTCCACGTGATATTAGATAACCCCGATTTTTCATATCCGTTTTGGTTCTTTTCCGATTCGTCTACATTCAGTGGCGCGCCCGTACTCAAGTCTTTATACGACGACCGCTATGTCCTCGAAGATTCTTTCGTTGCAAGGCAAAGGGCTCAAGCTCGATACTCGCGCCGACATTGAGCCATTCCTGAAGGACGTCGATGCATCGCTGCTGGAGGAGATACACTTGGGCGGGAACACGCTCGGGGTTGAGGCATCGCAGGCCCTGGGGGAATTTCTTGCAAAAGCCACTTCGCTGAAGGTATGTTACCTTGATTATCTTCCAAATGACGTCCTCCAACAACGTGACATTTCTATTCCGCTCACAGGTAGCCAATTTCGCAGACATCTTCACCGGTCGCCTGATCTCCGAAATTCCTCTAGCCCTCGGCGCGATCTGCGACGCGCTCATCGACAAGACCTCGCTCGTCGAGATCAACCTTTCCGACAACGCCTTCGGCGGGCGCTCCGTCGACCCGATGATCCCCTTCCTCACGCACAACCGCTCCTTCTCCGTCCTCAAGCTGAACAACAACGGGCTCGGCCCTGCGGGCGGCGCCGCCATCGCGGACGCGCTCCTCCAGTCTGCGCTCCTCAGTAAGAAGGAGGGAAAGCAGTCGAATCTGCGTACGATCATCTGTGGGCGGAACCGCCTGGAGAACGGATCGGCGTCTGCGTGGGCGGCGGCTATCGCGGCGCACGGGCTCCTGGAGGAAGTCCGCATGCCACAGAACGGCATCCGGATGGAGGGCATCATCGCTCTTGCTGGCGGTCTCGCGAAGAACGCCAACCTCGGCCACCTGGATTTGCAGGATAACACGTTCTCCGCCGGTGGCTCGAAAGCTATGGCAGAAGCCTTGTCCTCCTGGGCCAACCTGCACACGCTTAACTTCTCGGATTGCGTTCTATCAGATGACGGGGAAGTCCCTGTGCTCATCGAGACGCTCATGAAGGGCTCGAATCCCAAATTACGGGATTTACTCTTGCAGAACAACAATCTGGAGGCCAAGACGTTCGCGCTGCTAGCTCAGGGTATTCCGTCAAACCTCGCTGCCTTGAAATCCCTCGAGCTACAGTGGAATGATGTGGATGATGACGACGAGAACCTCCAGGAACTGGCAGACCTTCTGAAGGCTAGAGGAGGCAAGCTCTTCGTGTCCGATGAAGATGAAGAGGAGGACGAGGAAGAGGAGGAAGAGAGAGAGGAAGAAGAAGCTAAGGAGGAGAAGGAGTCAGCAGCGCAACCTTCGCTAGAGGAGAAGAAGCCTGCAGCCATTGCGGACAAGGCTACAGACGCTCTGGCGGACATGCTGAGTAAAGTCGAAATTCGGTAATCTGGCCTAGTCATTTTCTTGGGTTATTGGTCCCGCTAGCGTAGCGAATTGTTAGGTATACCAGTGTGCTATGATATCTGATCTGATGTAGTGTAGACAAATGCAATGTAGCCTCTCATTTGCTTTCCGACTTCACTTTAGATTTGCCCCTTCACTCCAATTCCACGAGGGAATAACGCCCATTGAATATTGAGGGCTTGGAAGCATTGCGTAATGTAACAATATACAAAAATGCGGTAATGATACAACTTGCGGAGAATGGAGTCCAAAAACTAATAAATATCGCAAGCAACTACGTCGATGGAGTTCCTCCGTCTCGCCGTAACTTAACTGGAGGTTTGCTTGCCGCAGGTGTGTCGGCAGGTTTCAGCCGCTTGGCGAGCGCATCATCTCCCGCCGCACCTTCACCATCCTCTCTCACCCGCTTTCCTGCAGCCCCCATTATAGACACCCCACCACCTGCAGAGGTCGATGCAGCAGCAGCCGCTGCAGCGGGAGCGCCTCCCCGCCCAGGTGCCGCTCCTCGAATGTTCAGGCCTCCGCGAGCAGCGCCTCGAGCGGCGCCGCCGCCTCGGACGACGCCGCGTCCACGGCCAGCACCCTCAGCTGGTGCGGCTGCGGGCCCTCCCATCGAGGGCTTGCGAGCAGGAGCAGCGGAAGTTGAAGTGCTGGGACCTGTCTGGTTTGCGGCGGTGGCGGAACGAGTCGCAACACCGGCTTTGGCAGCCGCAGGAGCAGTAGGAGCGCTTGTTGACGCGGTAGTCGCTGTCGACACTGCAGCCGGCCGTGCTGGTGTCGTAGCAGCGCTGCCTGGCGTAGACTCCTCGGGAACGAGACCGGCTTTCTTCCACTCCAATATCTGTGCCTCAAGATCTCGCAATTTGGTCTGCGCTCTGACCAGCTGCTGGTCCTTGATCTTGCCCTTAATCGCCTGCTCTTGTCGACCTCGTTCAACAGCCTGCGCTATTTCCTGCGCGTGGTGTTCGCGAAGCTTCTCCTCGTGCTCCCGGAGCGCAGCAGCGATGGCAGCGTCCCGGTCCACATCAGAACCACTCGCGCTCTCGGAAAGGGCTTCAGCTTTCGCAGCACTAACAGCGGCTTTGAGCTCTTCCTGAAATTGTGCTCTGAGACGTTCTTCAAGCGCACGTAGCTCTTCCGCATGCTGTGAAGCAACCTCTTCCGACGTGGAGCTGGACGAAAATTCACCCTTGGCCTGCTCGACCGCGGCAGCAACGGCAGCTTCTTGCTGAGCAGAAGCACGCTGGCTATCTGCAAGCCTGGCTTTTTGGAGTTCTTGTATCCGAGCCTGGAATTTCTCCTATCGTGGTACTTAGTGTCTGACCCTGTGCACTATGTGATATGATATGCATACATTAGAACTTCGGATATTATTAGCTTCTTCCGAAGCTTTCTTAGCCTGCTCAGCGGCAGCCTTCGATCTGTGATTAGCGACTTGTTACTTAGAAGAAACTACGCATATGCACTCACCTCGGCTGCCGCTTCGGCTGCATCGCGAGCCTTCACAAGCTCAGCCTTCTCATTATCCCACTGCGATCGGGCAGCGTCGAGATCAGGGAAACTACCAGGCTCGGGAATGGCAGCGGACAGAGATTCCTTCTCGATCAGCAGTCGGTCTCGTTCTTCTCGCAATGTCGTCTAACGGAGATTCAGGAAAGGAGAATGGCTTCGACGGAATCGGACGTACTATAACGGTAGTTTGCTCCGCAATTTGTAAAGCGAGCGCGTCGACTTGACCCGCTTTCTCTCTGGCATCGGCGAGTGCGGCTTCCAAAGCAGACTTTTCCTGTCGCAGGGCCTCTAACTGTTCTGACATGGCACTATCTCCAGCAGCGGCAGCGGCAGCACCTTGACTTTGAAGAGCGTCGCGCTCATCAGTGAGAGTTTTGATCTGATTTTGGAGCTCTTCGACAGTGGAGTCGAGCTTCGTCTTCTCGTCTTTCCACTGGGCAAATCTCTGTTTGTAAATCTGGTTGTTCTTCGATCCTGTTTCCCGCATGTTGCGGTATCTAGTATCGATCTCTTCGACCTATACAACAGCAGTCTCCATGTGAGCCTGCGTCAATGCTTAAAACTCGAGCAGCTCACCCTCTTTTGCAACTCAGATTTTTCCTGCTCAAGGGTTGCAATCGCTTGTTCCAGCTCTGCCTTCTGTTCCTGAACTTTGACAATCTCCTCCTTCAGAGATTGCATCTCGGCAGGATCGATGCGATCATACTAGGAATTACATCCAGATATTAGTGTGTTGATCCAAGGTGTCTTCGAACCTCATACCTTAGACAGTAGTTGAGCATTGCGCTCCTGCCATCTTCGGCTCTCTTCCTCCAACCGCTTAATCTGGAGATCCCGGGCCTCGAGTTCCGCATGTAGCGTCCGATTGTCCTCCAGGGCCGGTTCAAGTTGTGCAGATAGTTCTCTCAATTGAGCGTCGAGCTGATTAGCGCGCCTTGTCTGTGCTTCGCAATCAGCACGTAGAGTAGCATTGCTCTCCCGGAGGATCGTCAATTGGTTAATTCGCTCGACGAGCTCCGCGTGCTGAGCTTCTGAAGCCGCAGCTTGTACAGCTCGTTCACGTTCCTACCGCAAGTCAGGAGACCTCCTACCAGGGTGAGATAAACACCTACATCGGAGAGTGCGGCTCGAGTGTTCTCTAGTTGCTGAGTCAAATGTTCGACCTGGGTCTTCAAACGGAGGTTCTCTTGCTTGCTCAGCTCCAGTTGCAGGTCTACGATCTCCTTCTCCTTGCGCAGATACGAGACAACAGAGCGTAACTCTGCTAGCTTCACATCATTGTCCGCAGCATCTCCTTCGCCCACGGAAATGAATGCTGATCCTTCCGAGGCAGCCTGCCTGATTTGGGCAGCCTGGGTAGTGACTGACTCCAGATGTTGATGCAATATGCTGTTCTGAGCTGCGAGCTCACGACACCTAAAGGGTGGTCGATTATTAGCAGACTATTTCAAATCGCGAATGTGAGCTGATACATACCTTACGTTCAAGTCTGCCACTTCCTTGTCAAGAGCTTCTTTCTGGTGCTTCCAGCTGTCTTCGGATGTCGCAAGCTTTGCTTGGGCGGTCTCAGCAGCAGCTTGGCTATCGCGAATCGCACTCTGGGTGCCTGCCAATTGCTTCCTCAGGTCTTCAACATGCTTAATAGTGTCAGCGTGAGCGACAACCTCACGAGCATATTTCTCCTCTGCGGCCTAAGACAGAATGAGACTTCTTATACGAGAAAGTCGACGTCCCATCGTCGTACCTTGATACGGGCTTCAAGTTCCCGAACCTCGTTCTCTCGGGAGGTGCGGTCGCTCTCCGAAGTCTGTTCGGAATTGGTTATGTCGATGATGGCATCCTCCAGCGTCTTCTTATCGTTGAGCCACGCGGTCCGTTCGCTAGCAAAGGTTTGCTGGACTTCGGCTAACTTCTCATTTGCGGTCCGTAACTCCTGCTGCGTAGTGTTAAGCTGCTCTCGCAGTGCATTGCAATCGGACTGTTTTGGCCAAAGTTTCAATATCAGGCTCAAGGATGAACTCGTGAGACCTACCTCAAGCTTAGCGATCTCCGCTTCGCTGGATGCTTTGAACTCATCGTGAGTGGCGCTCAGGCTCGCCAGCGCGTTTTCGTTCGCTTGGCTGATCTCCTGGAATTGCTGAACATGGCTACGAGCATTAGCCAGATCCACTTCTGCCACCTTCAAAGCCGATCTAAGTGAAAGCTTAGTCATTGGGTGGGCCCACAATTATAGTAAAAAGTCGTACCGGAGTTCCGCGACTTCGGCTTCCAATTGTTGTTCACGACTCAGATTCTCGTCGGCGTGGTGGGCGATGCCATTGACAGCACTCGATCTTCGCTCATATACGGCGAGCTTCTCCTCGTTGCCCTGAAGCTGCCTCGTGAGATCATCCAAGCGCTCCTGGAAGTGCTTGTTACTCGTTTCCGCTCCGACTAGGGACTCGCGAGTCTTGGACAAATCTTCCAGCTGATTTTCACTAAGAGCATGTCTAGGAGGACAACTAAGCTGCGACTTACGGCCTTGTCCAAACGTGTCTGAAGCTCTTTCAGCTCCACGTCCTTCTGGAGACTTAGGTGCCGAACAGCCTCACGTTCGCGAGCGAGTTGACTACGAAGATCCTCACTAAATGGTTGGGTAAGACACACCTCCCTCTACATTTGGTATGTAGTACGACTCACGTTTGACGCTCCAACGTCTGGATTTGGTTCTCCAGCCGACGTCGATCGTTCTGACCCGACTGCTCGAGATCATGATGCATCCGTTGCACGTTGACCATCAGATCAGAGAGCTGAGAACGTTCCATGGCAAGCGACTTATTATCTTCAACGAGACGAGCCTGTACACTCTGCGCAGCACAGTCAGTCTCAAAGCTCCCCAGAGGTCGACACGTTACTCACCTCCCAAATCTTTTTCTCCGCGCGAAGATTGGCGTTCTCATTTCTGAGCTGCTCCACACGGCTATTAGCCATCGCCAGGTCTTCGGATACTCTGTTACATTCGATGTCCACCCGAGTATATTGGTCTAAAAGCTGCCTGTTGCGAGTGTTCAAGCTGTCTAGCTCCCGGTTCTGAATAGCATACTGCTCCTGCGCCATGCGGTGACGGTCTAGAGAGACATCAGAGTGGTTTCGCACCAACTCCGCAGACTAGAACGCACCTGCGAGGTAATCGACCTTAGCGTTTGCCTTAGCCAGCTCAGCGGACAGCCGGTGAGCTTCCTTCTGAGCAGCAAACGTCTCCTCACGCAGCCTCGCGACGTCAACGCCCATCTCGGTCCTGTAAGTGTCGAACTGATGTTGCACCTCCGCAAGTTCCTTCGCGAGGTCGGCATCCTTGCCGTTGAAGGATGTCGGAGCAGGTAAGTCACCGTAAGTGGTAGGCAACCCGCGCTCGGCCCGAGACAGCCTAGCTCTCAACGCGTCTCTTTCTCGAATATACGCCTGAAGGGTGATCTCGTGGCTCCGTTTCTGGTTGTCCAGCTGGTCCTGGAGCTCCTGGATAGCGTCATGGGCCTCCTTGATCGCCTCGAGCTGCTCCTGTTCCATAATAGCGCGGTAGTCCCGTTCCTCGTCCTCCAACTTCTGGCCCAGCTCCCTGGTGATCTTCAGGAGCTTCATGTTCTGCTCCTGTAAAGCGCCGATATTGTCGAAGAGCACAAGGTTGTCGGTGATGACCTCTTCGATGTTTGCGGCAGGGACTGTATCCCGTTTCTCGCGCGTTTTGGCCTCAAGCAAGGGATCTTCCTTGCGAGCGATGACTTCCAGTAAATTCTGAACTTGATCTCCGAGGTCCTTGAGCTGTGTCTGTAGAAGGCCATTCTCCTGAACGACTTTCCTCAATTTCTGGCTCGAGTCTTCGCTCTGGGCAGCCTTGGCGTCGCGTTCCGCGATAGTCTCCGCCAGTTGGCTAGCGAGTTCATCGGCTTCGAGTCGCAGCCGTTCGTACTCCTCCCGCTGTTGATTGAGAACCGGTACCTACAAGAATATGAGCGGCATTGAGGGAGTCACAGAGCAGAACCACGCACTCTCTCCTCGATCTCAGACAGCGCCCTTCTTACCGTGTCGTCCAGCTTTTCACATTCCGCGCATTTCTGCGCGTATTGCTCCTGCAGCTGGACATAGTCTGCATACACCTCGGTAAATGTCTTCCCGCTTCGCTGCATTCGTCCAGCCATGGAGATACTAGGACTCCAACCCAAGCTCCCCTCGGAAACAATGTTTGATATCCCGCCGCGCACAGGGGTGCCAGGTATACCGGGTGTCTGGGGCGTTCCAGGAGCACTGATGCTGGGAATGAACTGCTCACCGCGAGGCATCCTCTGGACAGCCTCCTCCAACTCCTCCACTCGCTTCTCCGCCTGCTCGGCACGCTTCCGTTCTTTGTCGATGATCTCCCTCAGGTGATTCTCCCGCTGCGCGGTCTTCTCACCCACTTCCGCCCAGTCACGCTCGATATTCGCGACAACCACCTTCGATTGCTGCTCCCGCTCCTCCAGCATCTTCACCAGCCTCTTCAGCGTGCCCGCCTCCGTGGAGTAGTTCGCCTCCTGCTCCGCGAGCGCGCCGGTCAGCTCCTGGATGCGCGCCTGCGCCTGCGCCAACTGGTGGGTCTGCGCCGAGTGCGCGGACTGCAGCGCCTTGAGCGTGCTCTCGGTCGACGCGTGCGTCTGCGTGAGCGCGTCGTGCTCGGCCTGCAGCTGCGCGAGCTCCGCGTGCTTCGCGCGGCGGTAACGCGCGAACTCCTCCGTCTTGGCGCTCAGCTCGCCGGACGTGCGCTCGAGCTCCTCCTTCGCGAGCGTCAGCTGCTGCGAGAGCGAGTCGATCTTGAACTTCGTCGACGTCTCCGACGAGCGCGCTTCGCGGAGCTGCGCCTCCAGGGTCTGGTGCTCCTGGCGCGCCTGCCGGAGGTTGGTACGCAACGTCTGGATTTCCTCCTCGCGCTGGGCGCCGTCCTCCTTCAGCCGGCTTACGACCAAGACGAGGTCGCGTTTCTCGCGCTCGACATCTTCGACGCGTTGTCGCAGGCTGAGCACCTCCGTAGAAGATGAGCTTTGTGAATTGCTTAGTGTTGCGATCTGCCGCTGCAATTCCTTGTTCGTTGTGGCTGTAGGCCAGTTAGTGACAGACACAGGACCACAATGCGGTACACACCAAGACGACTGTTCTCCTCTTTCACCTGCTGCAGCTCCTTCTGCGTAGCTTCAAGAGTAGCCTCCAGCTCCTTCGTCGCTGTGTCCCGATCTTGCAACGCCTGGTCGAGCTCCACATCCTTCCTTTCCGACTCTGCACGTAGCTCTTCCACCTCCCGCTGCACCGCGTCAGCTTCCGCAACATGGGCGAGTAAAAAGCGATATAACGAGATAACGGTATCGGGGTCCGGATTCGTTAGTGGCGTGTCCGGTAATAAGCTAGACAGGGCGTCCAAGTCGATATCTTCGGGGAGGTTCAACATGAATGTGGCATGGGATCGGTCGTCGTCCGAGTCGGAGTCGGCTTGGGAGGCAGAGCCGGGGTGGTTTTGTGCACGGGGCGCGCTCGGCCCCGTCGAGATTCTGGCTGTTCGACGCGTCCTCACCATCGCGCGTCGCTGGGACCAAGTGCGAGACTTGGTTGTGGAATGGCAGGAGTACAATGCACGCGCGCCACAAGTCGCACTCACATTCAGACTCCGAAATGGGAAAATATTACGGGACCACTTATTACATAATTAATAACTTAACAAATACACATGATTTGCCATCACTTGGTCAGGACGAGACATCAAGAGGAGATTAGGTTAGCTTATATGTAGAGGTGAATGCTCTTCAATGATTGTTTTCAGCGGTAAGTTAGATTCCTGGATCGCACATTACATTTCTCCAATAATTATCACGCTATTTCACCGTGGGAATAGATCCTCCTCGAGACGCGCAGCTTCGATTACCACTTGCATCTGCTAAACAACCAATTTACCTTATACCCCCTCCCCCTCCGCAACCGCTTCTCCTCTTCGCCACGACGCGCCTTGACGGCGCCATTCCCTTCTTCCCCGCCGTAAAATGTCTTTCTTCAACTCAATAGGGTACGTCCAGCTGCGCGATGTCCGAGCACTACTCATCGCATCGTTGCATTCCAGACGGTCCATGACACGGGCCCCGCGAGGTGGGCCTAAACGCTCGCCGACGCCGACAGGAGCGCTCTCACCGACAGAACAAGGCCCGCCGTCGGGCGCGCCCACGTCGCCCGTCTCCGCGAATGGCACGTCGAAGCCGCTGTTCCTGTGCAGCCCGTTCGTCGAGGCCGCGCTCGTGAAGGGCAACTTCAAGCCGATCGTGATGCTCCCGAAGTACGTGGAGGTGAACGAGTGGGTCGCGTCGAATAGTGCGTACTGCTTTTCCTTCACGGTGAGAGTGCTCGCTCACGCACGCGCGTTGTGTTCTGCGTACCGTAGTCTTTGACTTTTATCAGAACATCAACATGTTCTACGGTGTCATAGCCGAGTTCTGCACGCCAGAGCTCTGTCCAACCATGTCCGCGGGCCCCAAGTATGTCACAAGGGCTATGACCGCGTAACCCCACCCGCTCAATAACCTCCCGCAGCTTGAACTATACGTGGATAAATCAAGACCGCAAGAGCGTCAACCTGCCCGCGCCGACGTACATCGACTTCGTCATGACATGGATCCAGAACCTCCTGGACGACGAAACCGTCTTCCCCACCAAAGCCGGTGTGCTCCCCCTCTCTCCTCCCCTCATTGTAACCCACCTCTTGACTGACTTGACCTAATTTCGCGCAGGCCGCGACTTCCCGCAAAGCTTCCCCGCGACGATCAAACACGTCTACCGCCAGCTGCTCCGCGTCTTCGCGCACATCTACCACGCGCACTACCACCAGATCCTGCACCTGCGCTCCGAGCCGCACTTCAACTCGCTCTTCGCGCACTTCCTCGCCTTCGGGCGCGAGTACGAATTGTTAGACGTCAAGGACGTCAAGGGCGCCCCAAATGCGCCGACGTCCATCGGCCCGCTATGGGAGCGCTGGAAGGAGATGGGGATACTGGAGGGATAGTTGATGGTTTTGCGAGAGGGTGCTTTTGATATTGCGGAACGTAGTGTATATCTCTGGGGCGGATTCACATGTACAAAACGCATCAATAATTTCTGTTTACTGAGCTGGCGGGTGCTTGGAATAACGGACTCCTCCTGCAACGCAAGTCTTCGCGATTGCAACTCAGGCATGCGGAGAATGTCGCGCCCCTTGGCCAGAGGGCTACACGGTATGGATTCGTAGGAGGATGGATGCAGGATACACACTCCACGCAGGCCATCCCCATCCGCTGGCAACAGGATCATGTGTATTCACATTCACTCAGGCCCTTCTCTTCGCACCAGATTAAACTTGTCAACGACAATCTGCACTATGTCCCTCCACTCTGTCATAGCTCCCAGTCCTGTAAAAAAGGCTATAAGTATACAGGACAAGACATCGACGACTGGCCCGACGCACCGACATCTCCGCAAGCGAGAGTCTTTCCGATAGGTCCTACCACCTGGTATTTGACAACCTCGCGAACAACGCGCAGATGCTCCGCGGTCAAGGGGTGCTCGTACATGAGCGTGTTCATGGCGGGGAACACGTACGTCGGTGTGGTGGGGGCGAGTGCCCGCAGCAGAGATGTCTGTGCATAATTCAGGTTGAATGTGCGCACCCAGCAAGACACCGTACCACAAGGTTGTCGCACAGCCCGTGGGCGATCTTTGAGAGGGTGTTCGCGGAACACGGCGCGATCAGGACGACGTCGGCCCATCGGCGCAGTTCTATGTGGAGGATGGGGTCGCCGATGCGGAAGCCTCCCTAGGCGCCGCTCAGTCCGACACTTCAGAGATACTCGAGCATAAAACGCACCGCCCACTCGTCTTCGTCCGTCCACACCCTCGAGCCGGCCTTCTCGATTTCACCGGCATCGAAGAAGGCAAGAGAGGACTTGGTAGAGACTACCTCTACCTTGACGTTCTCGTACTGTAGCCCGGTCACGTACGAGACAGCGTATCAACAACGTTTTGTTCTCTGCACGGAATGTAGGGACAGACTCGCAGTAATTCCGATACGATGAGAGGCGCCTTAATGGAGGCGACGCTGCCGGTGGTGATGAGGAGGATATGCGTGTCGCCTTCCACTTTTTCGACTTCAGCAACAAATCGTTTGGTGAGAGTCATTTGGAGGTAGAGCTGCTGCCAGTGGTGGCGTAAGTAATCGAATGCGTCAAGGCGACTTTGTCATGAGCAGTATCACGTGCTCGACGCGTCCCTCAAAAGGCGGACTCGGACGTCCTCGAGCAGTTCATCTCTCTTCCTTCTCCCCTCCCTCTTCGTGTGCCGGTCAAGACGGCTTTACGTGTCTGTATTGTACCTCATTGCTCCTGGAGCTGCGACATTCTTTTATCTTGACATCCACATACCTCAACGCGTCAGGCTTATTCTTGCCGAAACCTAACACATCCTCCCTTTTCGTAAACTAGTCACTATGGTCCTAGATTCCATAGGTATACCTACACTGTTTGCTCTACAACTTCGACTAAAGCTGAAAATTTTTTCTCAGGCAATCACGACGTCCCCAGTCGTCGCTACTTGCGCAACTTCTGCTTCCCTACGGATGCGGAGAGGCGCAAGCTCCGATGGTTTGTAGAAGAGGCGGAGAGAACAGTCGATAACCTATGGGAAAAGGAAGACTTAGTTGTAAATCCTTTAGGGGTCCCCCAACGACGAGAATCACTGGTTTCCTCCATTACGCGCTGCAAATCCGTCCTGGCACCTATCAGAAGGCTTCCCCCAGAGATCCTTGGCAGAGTATTCTTCTTTGCTCTCCCCGAAGTTGACTATGTGCCCATGCGCAAGGACGCGGCCCCCATGCTTCTGACCCACGTATGCAAATTCTGGCGGGACGTCGCCATGTTCACGCCGGACCTATGGACCTCCCTCCTCCTGGGGGACGACAAGACGCAAGGTCGGACTAGTTGGCCTGACCGTGACACTGTACGACTCTGGCTGGAACGCTCTGGGCGGCATTTGCTCTCGATTAAGCTGGCTAACTTCAGAGGCAACACTGAACCCTACCTGCCGCTTATCCTGCCGTTTGCCGACAGGCTGGAAGACCTGTGTCTGCACAAGTTCCCTCCGGCGTCCTTGTATGAGGTATTCTCCCCTGGGCACCAGTACCCGCGCCTCAAGCGCCTCCAGGTATATACTGCTTACTCTCGGCACGCGTTCGACAACGAGCTACTGGTCAAATCTTGCGCGCCTCATCTGCAGACCTTCAAGGTCACCCTCGTATTCCCTCCAAGGCCCCTGCCTATGCGTCTTTCTTGGCCTCAAGTGACCGAAGTTCGTCTATCCTGTGTGGTGCCCTCCGACGCAATGCTCCGGATCCTCTCGCACTGTCCCCAACTAGTCAACATGCAGCTCCGGATCCGCCCCATGCGCCAGGAGTACCTCGGTCCGGACGTGACGCACCACACCCTCCGCGAGTTCATGATCAAAGGCGACCCCTGCGACGTCCCCTTCGAGCGGCTCACCCTCCCGCAGCTCACCACGGTCACCATCGACCTCAACGCTACGCGGCGCGCCCCGGCCGCGCCGCCGCCCTGCCGCTTCAGCATCGACAAGTTCGCGGACCTGGTCGCGCGCTCCAAGTGCCCGCTGCAGGGACTCATGCTCGCGGGCGCGTGCGTCACCGCGCGCGAGTGGGCGCGCGTCTTCCGGCTCGCGCCGCTCCTGCGCAAGCTCGTCGTCATCGAGTGGAAGTACGCGAATGGGTTCAGCACGGACGGCGTGCTGGATGTGCTGACGTGCCCGCTGGAGGAGGACAAGAGCTACGAGTTCCTGCCGCGCCTGGAGGACCTCGCGCTCGTCGGGTGCTCTCTGGAGGCTATGGATCTTGCGGACGAGCTGCTGGCTTTGCGTTCGCGGATCCAGCTTGTGCCGTTCCCTGAGGATCCGGGCTTGACTCAACCGGGCCACGTCCAGTCGTTGATTTTCGCTCATATATATTTCCGAGCTGCGGGGATCACGCCGGGCCGAGATGTGGTATGGGAGCAGACCGAGGATGGGACGCAGTACAGGAAGAGCAAAGCCACATGCCAGTTCTGGGATTAAAGCTATTTTCAAAGAGTATTCTGGTGCTCTGTTAACGACATCCTAACGCATGTTCGAGCCTGCATTGACGACTTGCTTTGTATAGAACATATGTTGTATCATGTCTAATGTATCACATCCTACATCAACTCGCCCAAGCAGGCACTCCTGTATAATATAATAATCATATTCTGCCCTGGCCCGTCCCACCCATCCCAGCTGCAGGGACTTCGCGGTCCATCTATGGTCTGTAAATGCAGTCTTTCCCTTGATTCTAAACACAGTTGGTAGATCTAGCTCTAGTCAATTCCTTCAGTAAACGCGTCCATTCAATATTCCCCTCTGGCAATCTCCTCGGGAGATTTGTGCCTAGCGAAGACATGGATATGCGCGAGACCAGGTACGCTTTGCAGTCGCTGCACAAGCATCCGTTAGTACCAGCACCATATCGAAGCTGATCCAAGACGTACCGGCGGATTAACGAACCATGCAGTCTCCCACTCCCTCTCGTTCCACCGCCGCCTAATGAACTCGTTCACCTCCGCCCCAGCCCGCTTCACCAGCGCCTCCTCCTCCTCCGTGCCCTTGGGTGACCGCACCAGCTTGTCCATCGTGACGCCCCACTCCGACAGTGCGGGCAGACATTGCGGTAGTGTCGAGGGGGACGGCCGAGGCGAGTCCTTCGGCGTGCCCGTGAACCCCCACAGGCCGTCCTGGTCCACGCGGGCTTTTACGGACGGGTGGACGATGTCGGGGTGGAATATCGGGACGCGCGTCCAGATGAGGGTGTGTTCGATATCGGGGGGCACTGGGCGGGATTGTTAGCACTGTGAGTGGAAGAAACACATGGTATATGCTTGCCTGAGTATGGCCAGTCGTTCTGCGTGATGCTGATCAGTTCTGCTGGAGTGTCGGCGGTGAAATAGGGCGGGGCGTTATCGGGCAGCGGCGGTAACGGCGGTGGATTCCGGGGGTCGAAGGGCACTTGCTCTTCGGTCGGAGGAGCACTGCTACTGGACCCGTCGTCCAACGCAGAAGTGAGCCGGGACTGGGTGTCACGCTTCCCCCAGCGTAGTCGCTTGTACATCAGATAATTCACTGTGCAGGACAGGAATATGTTATCATCGTGCATGCATCGCCAAACGATGGGGGTACGCGCCGATGGATCCATACTCTGCCCTGATGCCTTTGGCCCAAGCATCATATCTCTGCTGCAGCTTTTTGTCCCGCTTCAGTAGTCCTAAGTCACTTTATGATAATCAGCAGGCAGCATTACATCTGCCTCCTTGTACACACCCGGAATTAATGAATGTCTTCAGCTGATGCCATGTAAATTTGGCTGGGTAGTAGACCAGCAATTCCTCCCTCGTCGGAGGTCCGGTCCCCAGTGGGACTGTCTTCTCCGAGAGTTCTGCAGAAGTACCCTTGGTAGTACTAGTCATACTGGTCTCCTTTGCCCCGTAGTGTATAAGTGAGGACTAGTCAGCTTGTGTCGAGGATCGGTAGCAATCTGGATAGGTGAATGGAGGTCCAGCCGTGCAGACGGCTACATAGAAAGCCTTGGAACTCAACCACCACCAGGTCCGTCGATATCAATACCCAGTCGCCGATTGACAGCATGACGATCCAGAACTATCATATTTGTCCGGGATCTAGAAGCAGGCGTTCGTGCTTCGTAGAACCAGGAAACGGTCGGATTCAGAGAGTTCACATTGCAATTTGGACATCATGAGGTCGCATAGAGGTCGCAGTCGAAGGGGCGCCGGTGCTGCAACAAGTGCTGAACAATCTACCAAGTGGGGAAGAAATGCACCACGAAATGGACCGGCTGGGAGAGACATGAATCTCATTGCTTCTCCTAGCCGTAGCAGTGGCCTTGAAAAGGACGGCGATACGTGAGTCCTCGAAACGCTGCGACACTTATGCGCTCAGACTGACGGCAATCAGATATCTAGACTGAAGGACTTCAAAGTTCAAGAAGACTACCGCGAATTCATTCAAGGGAAGGTAAGGATTTACTGTCCTGAGACCCTACAATGTCTCATGCATAATCTAGCTAGACAATTATCTCAAGGATTACCCCTTCGAGGGAGATGATTCCTCAAAGGCCATCGAGGAAGACCGAAAGCGTGAAGTGCAGCAGAACCTACTGATTCTATTTCGTACGTATGGCGATCGTTCAGGACAGCCGGATAATGAGACTCTGTACCCAGGTAAACTCAGGGAGGGCATATCGTCGTCGGCCAGGAAAGATGATTTTGCCCTTGAAGGTCGGTACCTCTTGACCTACATCGGTCTTCTTGGTGCTAACGTCTGGAATAGTGTACGAGACTTCTCTCGTCCTGGCCATCCTGTTCAGCACGCCGCTTCAGGCGACGACAACTCTCTCATATCTCCTTCCTGGCTTGTACTACACGTCTTCGTCCGAGACGCTCAAGCAAAGCGGACGGCTGTTAGTTACGCTGATTTCCCTCCTTCACCATATGGTCGCGGCGCACCCTTCCCAAAGGACATTTCACCAGCACCTGAGCTCTATACCACCTGCATTCTTGCCACGCGGATCAGACTCGTACAGATGGATAACGTCCGTTGCCTCATCAATCAGGACGAACAACTACGCGAGGTTCGAGATACTGACTCGCTCGAGACCGGAAGACGCATCCACGCCTTCTCCCGAACCAGAGACACAATCGTCCGTCCGGCAGTTGGACCTCGGACTGGCGGACAGGGCTATCGTCACTCTGTTGGACTCCTTGCGAGTCAAAGCGCGCGCAAGGACGTGGCTCATCCTGCGTACAGCCTACCGAGAACTCTGGTGCGAACCCGGTTACGACACCTCTCAATGGCTGGAGAGGACGCTGGCGCTGAGGTCGGTGCGACACCCCGGGGGTGACGCCGCAGACGCTTGTGCGTGGCTGGAAGACAGAGAAAAGGAGGGGGACGCTAGAAAGAAAGATGGTACCGACATCGGATGGGTTTTGGTCAAACCCAAGCAGTAATTAGCTTCACGTTTGAAGCATTTATTTCCGATTCATATCGGACGTCCCATGCCTGCACTTCCTCAGGGTCTCAGACATATGGGAATCGCAAAAAGATCCATCAAGCGTAAGCGACGTGGTAGTATACATGCACAGCATCGTAAGTGCGTTAAAACGTAAACGAGACGTAAGCACAGAAGAGAATCGATTAGCAGGACAGCGTGAGGACATTAATCATTCGTGGGGGACAGATCATAACAGCAGAGACAAAGCAAATAGACAGCAATGCGACAGCGATAAAAAATGCAATGACCAATCCGAGCATTATATAAGATGGAAGCAGGTGGAAGATGAAGTGTATAACGATGAAAGCAGTGCAAGGGAGGGAACAACGGTGAGATCGTCCTGGGCTTGATGCAGAAGGAGAAGGTGAACGCGAGTTGAAATTCAGCCGAGTCTCGAAGCACGCCGAGATTGTTTGCCAGTGACGATCGCTTTGAGAGTACCCATCAGGCGAACGGCATTTTTGCCCTCTTCTTCCGATGACCTGGGGCTCTGAGACACAAAGCCAAGTTCATCCGCGGACGCGGCCCTCCTGAGATCATCACTAGAGATCGGAGGAGGCATCGCGCGACGAGTGGTCAGGAAGAATGAGTGGTCACGCTTGGGTGCCGTAGTGTGTCGCGGCGCAATGTGACCGAGAGGCTTGTTGTTGTCCGACTGATAGCCACGTCCGACCCTCTTGACACCCGTGGTGGCCATGAGGAAACGGTCGTATACCCCTTCGACGTGCCGCCTTGTGGGGCTGTCAATAGGACTTCCGGAGTCCATGGGGGGCTGACGGGCTGGGTACGGCTCGACATGATAAGGGGAAGCAGCTAGGTCGTCGGGCTCTCCGCATTCCTCGTTTAAAGTAATATGCGGCACGGCAGTTGGGTCCAACTTCGGAGTGGCCGGTGCTGCAATGAATAGGCTACTGTCCAGCAATGCTGACAGTCGCAAAGGGGGACTCGGCATGATGCCTATTCCACACATCAGTAGTGTTCGTCCACCAAGAATGAGGGAACGTACGCTGCTCTATCTCAAACTGCAGTTGATCAATAGGACTAATAGGTCTCAGAAGATCGTTGTGAGAGCGGGACTTCTCCTTGCGTTTAGATGGCGAGCCTTGGTCCAGGTCCAGGATTGGCTTGGATTTGGTCTCGGGAGAGCGGGAGAGAAGCGTCGCGGCACGCTGTCTCGGAGGACTCCTAGTCTCTACCTCTGGTTTGGCTTCGATAGCTGTGCTAGACTTCTCAGATGGGATAGTGGGAACCGTCTGACTCATGACTGTCTTTGCGGGAGACGAATGACGAGAGGGTGAGACTGAGGACCATGTCCGATCCATCGACTCGTCCTCACAGTCTCCCAGAGCGAATATCTTGTTTGCTGGAAGCACCTTCCGTGGCAAACGTCCGGGCTTCGATGTAGAGCTGCGTGACTTGCTAGCCGGAGCAAGCGGGACCGGAGGCAGGACCTGCGTTGTTGCGAAGTTCTGCCGAGTCTCCTCCACCACCCCTATAGGAGAGGATCAATATCCGGACACTGGATCGAACTCAAAAACAACTTACTTTCCACGTTCCGCATCCAGATCGTCATCCGGTCGACCTGGTTGTCAGCTCCCACTTTCTCATTTCTGATGGCCTCACGGACGGCAGGAAGTGTACAATTAGCTAGCGGGGACCATCAGCATTTATACCCTTAATCCGTATTTGAGGAAACGCACCTTCCCTCATGACTGCATCCTCCCAGGATTCCCGACTAATGGTGGACCCACTCTCTTCGACGCCTTCTCCCGATCCGGACAAGGTCAGCGCTGGGGTAGAGATTCGCCCGAGAGCCAGAACTGAAGACTTCGCCGATCGCACAGTTTTGTCTGGACAGAGTTCAGACTCGTGTCTATCCGCAATAGTTGTCTGCATACCGATTGACATCCTCAAGTTCTGCTTCAGGGCGTTGAGGCCCGAATCCTGCGGAGAGCGTGATCCAGCTGCGCCAGGATTATGATTCCAATCTGAAGGCAATGGTTCAGTAATGCGGTACCTTTGAGATCCAAGACATTATGCCAACCGCTGGGAGAACTTTCGCCGGTGCTCGCGGAGGCTTTGCGACTGCTCGGGATGGTAACGACCTGAGCACGAGTCTCTTTCTCCATACCACTCTCTTTCTCGAACTTGACCTTCTCCTTCGCCGGGTGTTTTGGCTTTTCAGGCTCCACATTCTCGGCGTCACTCTCCTGATCCTTCTCCCTCATCCGTTCCATTTCCCTCAACCTCTGCCTCTCCCGCTCCCACTCCCTAACCCTTTGCGAGACCTTCTCGCTCCCGGCGCTGCCGGTAGACTTATTGATATTCTCGTTCTTCCTATTTGATTCAGTTACATCCCCGAGCACCCTGCTTGCGGGCTGATGTGTAACCTTGGCCTTGGCCTTCTTCTCATGGGGCAAGGCTCCGACGGACGATGCTTGTCGATTGAGCGGTGAAGTGCTCTTCACAGCGAGCCCACCGGTTGGGGAGAGAGGTGCGCGAGGTCCAGCTGGTTTCCGAGCCGGTGGCGTGGTTCCATGAGACCGAGGGACTGCATTTTCCTTCTTTGCTTTGGGTTCCTTCGCCGTAGCGGAGTGAGCCGCCTTCTCTTGAGGCGTAGTCGGCGGCGAGCCCTTGATGGGTGAGAGGTCCGCCGCAATCTTGACAACGGGTACTCGCGACTTGGAAGCACCTGGCGGTTGAGGTAGGTCTAAATGAAGGCATCAATATAGTCGCTCCTATTTTCTCGAGACAAGGTCGACACTCACCTCTCAGAACACGCAACTTAGACTGCGACCGCGACCTTTTATGCTGAGCTGCTGCACGAGCAGGCGCGAGCTCCTGCCGCACCTTCGCGAGGTTCGTGTCATCAAGTCCTGGTGGACTGTCAAGATATCGGTGCTTGATGTTCTGCCCGTCCTCTCCCTTGGCGCTTTTGCGCTTGCGCTCTCTGCTGGCGGATCGTCCGCGGGTAGAAAACGGAGACATGATGTCGGCAAGGGACGGTGAGCGAACATGGCCACTCGCGGTCTTCTCTGGAAATGACGAACTCGTTGAGAGAGGTGCCTGCGACATACGAGAAATATATGACAAACTGTGAGTAGAGGCTGGCAGGTCAGGATCCTTAGTCCAGTAAGGATCCTCAATTGCATCTGAGGATGTGCATCTCAGATCCGCGTTGGGCAGTACCATCCTCTTCAGAAGTCGCTCCATGGCCTTGGACATTTTCCATGTCCCGATCCATTTGCCCTTCATCTGTAGATCGATTAGCTGAGGGCTGCAGAATAGCCTCAGACACTTGCCGTTCGTGCCCAATATTTCTCCAAATCTGCCTTGGTGGAGAACTGCTCCCCTTCTGTGTATTCAAAGGGCGTCCGGCCAACCAAAATCTCAAAGAATGTGACGCCGAGTGCCCAAATATCGGATTTGCGCGTATCATGAGGGAGTCCCCGAGCTCGTTCAGGCGATAAGTACTGCCGTGGGATGATTATTAGAGAACGTAAAAGATTCGTAGCGAGACGTGTACCTCCGGCGTGCCATACGCAAGATTGCTATGAAATGCGGTAGGCGACTCCACGTCGTACCGCTCGGCAAAACCGAAGTCAACTAGGACAGGCACATTCTGTTTTGACAGTAGAATGTTGGCAGGCCTATAATGGTCCGCATTAGCGCATCAGGTTGAGGGGGAATTGATACACGTGGGGAGGCTATGATGAGATCGGGACACGTACTTGATGTCATTATGGACGACGCCACGTTTGTGCAGAAATTCAACGCCAGAGAGGAGCAGGCGAAACCATTCGCGAGCATGGTGCTCAGGAACTTCAACCGGGATGAGGCGAGGATGATATGCCCTGTATTGATACCGGATTGATTAGCAACGGTCGGACTCGGGTTAAATGCTAATGACGCATGTTGGAGGCGAATAAGCATCGTGCGGCGGCGGTGATCCGCGAGACACGGCATATCGCTTCGAGGGCACGAAATCCGGAAACGTCGTTGCTAGAGGAATAGCGACTTACATGGTGATCATGGCATATGAGGGTGTAATAATGAATGAATAGAAAGGGATGATGGAGGGATGGCCGTCCTCCCTCAGTGTTCGTACGATCTTCATTTCGTTCCATCTGTAGAACGACGTGAATAATTGCCTGGGGCGCTAGTAGCTGTCTGCACTCACAGTGACTTAACGCGAGCAGCAGTGGTAGGTGTCTTGGACCGGTGAACTAACTTCACCGCTACCTTGGCATGCTGCAGGCTCTCGTGAACTTCTACGGAAGGGTCCTCCCTTGGCCGGCATAACCACACACTCCCCCAGTTGCCAAAGCCAATCTGCAATATACCGGTCGATATCAACATTCGAACTGCCAATCGCACGCTTCAAGGCACGCACCTCCTCGATGAACTGAAACTTCTCTGCTAGGACCTGGTCTGAGATAGAAAAAATATCTGTTGCTTCCGATGGAGGTTGTGGTGGGTTCATAGTATGTTGTTAGTCTAGAAGTACACGGCCGAGAGAAGAGGAAAAGAAATGGTGAACGACAAGGCGAAGGCGCCAATGCGGGGATGATGGGCAGCCTTGTTCCCCGCCAGAGTTGAACACGCCACAACACGCTCAAATAACGCGTCGTGACTGATCGCACCCCTGGCACGCGCTTCGTGACCGACGCGATCCGCTAATTAGCGCGTCTTCAGTGCGGACGCGACCGTTGCTCGCCCATGGTTGACTCGGACATGGGACTGAGAAACAATTCGGTTCACCTAAAGCGACAGAAAGCAAAATGCTTGCAAGCGACCAGTGTACAGTACATAAGATGAATTGTAAGGTTGATTAGGCAGCATTTTACCGTAAAGAAATTCTTCCCTTCGACCATGATAATGTGGCGACAGACGGCCTAGCTGAAGGCCAAGACACCCTGACCACGCTCCGGATCAGACATTCGGTGTACGCGGACCGTATTGGTGACCGCGACGTTGTTCATATCCTGAGGTGTGATGAGAATGTATTGTTTGCCATCTGACGAGTTCGCGGTGTCGATCTGGCGAGAAGGGAATATTCAGCATACAGGCAGCCAGCGTGGAGTGAAAGGCATACCATCATCTTCATACTGATCCTACGGTTGACGGCGTCCATGAATACATCGAACTCGTCTGGTGTTACAAGTATCAGATACTGTCGACACATATTGATATGTATAGACGTACCAAGACATCTGATAGGACAGCCAATAGCCTCCCAGAGTGACAGAAGCAAGCAGATGGTCGAGAACGACTTCTCTCCTCCACTGAGTGAGCGAGGGTCTTTGTCTCTCGTCTGCGTGCCTGCTTGATCGTCGGTTTGAACCTAAAGCGATACATGAACTCAAAGAAGCAAATTTGGTATTCACGATATGAACATACCTTTAGTTGGAGAGTGCCATTCTGGTGGTCAAACAATACTTTCCCGTAGTACCCGCGGTTCGATAAGTGATACTGGAAGACGACTTTGCAGCGTAGAGCGATATGCCGACGGAACTCGTGCCACTTCGCCAGCCGAATAACAAGAGACGCCTTGAGAACCTTGTTGAGTGCCGTCAACTGCTTTATTTCTTTCTCGGCGCTGTTCAATTCGGCCCTTTTCTTGTTGACTTCGATAGTCATCTCTTCCACGCTGGCACCGTGCCTAATACAAATGGTCAGTAATGTGAACCCCTGCTTCATGCGAAATACTGACTTCTTTTCCCGCTCCTTCAATGCCGCCTGGACCGAATCGAGGTTGCGCTGGACGATATCTACCTTGCGCGGGTTCTCTACCCGTGCGCAGTACTCCGCCGCTTTTGCGGTCCAAGACTGTACTAATCTGAGTGGCTTCCTTAGGATTCCGGTAACAGAACATGCTCACCTCGAACTCCTCAACTAAGGTCTTAGCCAGTTCATCCGCCTCGTTCACCTTGGCAGTCTCGTCTTCAATCTTCCTCTGATAATACTGCTTGTTCTTCTGCTGGTCAATCCGGTTGATCACGGCTTCGTCGATTTTGTTCTAGAAGAAAATGGGTTTCCTACACGCAACTCAAGGAAAGAACCGCGTACCTGAATCGCCTGACGCTGACCCTGGAAATCGCGCAACTTTTGCTTGATCTCATTCAGCTCCGTGAGAAGAGGCTTCTGGGCTGCATCAAGGTCCGCCTTCTGCTTTGCCACGTTTGTGAACTGAGTCTTGATGTTCTCCTTCTCGACCTCGGCTTCCTAATGCCATGGTCAGATATCCTCGACAGCCACATTGAGGACGGCCACGAACATCTTTGGCGCTTTGCAGAACACCAATGGCGGTAGGCAAGTCTTCGCTAATCTCACTCTGGAGGCTGCCAACCTGGAGCTTCAGGTCGGACACTCTGCCATGTAGCACCCTCTCCCGCTTCTACAAAAATATAAGATGTATCAGCGGCTTTGTTCTCTTAACCAGTGCATGATGCACGCACAATTAGGTCATCCATTGCCGCCTTGCACTCATTGTGGGCGGTCCGAAGATCTCTCAGCTTCTTCTGGGCATCATTATATTTCTGCTCTTCTTGCCTCACTAGACTCTCAAGCTCACTGAAAGATAGAGTAAGGATCTCTCAACAAGAGCAAGGAAGAAAAGATACTAACGCAATCCGCGATGCAGCATCGAGCCCAGTGAACATGTGGCGCCTGCGGTCCGTGGGTTGCAAGTGGCCCAGCGGGATGGACTGGCCACCACCCTCCCTAATCAAAACTATGAGACCATGTCCAAGGCAGTCAGGCGGAAGTAACACTTACCCGTATCTCTGGACCCGGTACGTGTCCCTCGTCCAAGCAACTCCGCTACGGAGACTTTTCAAGATCCTATCACCCTCTGCGCGGTCCTCGGCGAGCACGGTTCTCTCGATATTGTGAGCATTGACGAGGAGACGCAGCACATATGGGTCGGAGATCTGGTGCGATTCTCGCGTTCAGCACCATGAATACAGGGTTAACCATATGCTACTCACGTCGAGTGCACGAAGTACGGTCAGGACGTTGGACGGCGGCTCTCCATGGCTGAAGTCGAACATATCGACCTCAGAGATCAGGATCGTGGTTCCAGCACTAGAAAAGCCAGTCAACACCAGCACGCCCACCAGCATCAGCCATATACTCACTTCCCCGTCTGATTCAAGATCCTCTTCAGCACCGGCCGGTCCCTCGCATCCGTAACCGCGAAAGCAGACATATGTCCCCCGAGCTGCATCCTCAGCACCTCTCCCCACCGCTTGGGGTCCTTCACCTTCACATACGTGCCCAGCGGGCCGACAGGCGGCTGGCCCTTCCACTGCGTCCGCTGCACCATCTCCAGCACCTGCTTCATATTATTCCCATACACCGCGAGCGCATTATCCTCCTGCTGCCTTGCGTTCGCCGTCGCCGCCTGCGCGTCCATGATCGCCTTCTTCGCGTCCTCGCGCGCCTTCTCCGCCTGCTCGCCGTCCGCGGCCAGGCGCTGCATCTCCGCGTGCTTCGCCTGTTTCTCTGTACGCACGTCCGCGAGCTCCTTCTCCGCGTCGCGCAGCTCCTGCTGTGCGTCCTTTAGCTTGCGGTCGACCTCGTCGCGCTTCGCCTGCGTGTGCTGCTCGAGCTTCTCCGTCTCGTCCGCGATCCGCTTGGTGTAGTTCTCGATCAGGCGATTCGTCGCGTTCATACTATCGCTCATCTTCTTCTCTTGTTCCTATGCAGAGCGCATTGAGCTGATCAGGAACTTCGACGAAAACTCAATCACTGACCTTGAACTCGCTGATCTTCTTCCTGTTGCCCTTCAGCTGTTCCTCCAGCTCCGCCTTGCGGGAATTCAAATCGTCCATATCGCCCAGCTCCGCAATCTGCGACTCCAACAACGTGACCTGCTCGCTCGCCGCGCGGAACGCCATCTCAGCAGAGTCCATCTCCGCCTGGAGCTTCTCCAGCCGCCGCTTGAGCTTCTCGTGCTCCCCGATTTTCTTCTTCATTTCCTGTATGAAATTCAGCGTTTAATGACAGTTGCAGTATAAATGATATAGAATTCGAAGCCGCACCTCCTCTTTCGCAGCGACGTGCGCCCACGCGAGCTCCTTCTTCAGCTCATCGGCCTTGTGCTTCTGCTCCCGTGCCTTCGACGCCTCCTCGAACTTCGCGCTCGCCTCCTTGAATGCTTGCCGTAAGTCCGACATGCCCTCCTTCCTGCTCTGCAGTACCTTCGCCGTCGAGGAGATGTTCTCGAGGCACGTGTCGTACTCGTCGCTGAGCTGCTGCAGCTGGGTGCCCTTCAGGAAGAACTGCAATAGATTGTTAAGGTGGAAATAGTCAGTGGCGTGCTGCCACTGATTTACTCGGCGAGAACGCTTCACTCACTCGGTACTTATCAGCCGGATGCGAAGCACTCAAAAACTGCCTCGCAGAATCTACACCACCCCCCTCAGCCCTCCCCTTAGCACCAGAAGCCAAATCCACACGCACCTTGCGTCAATACATTCATCGGATTATCCACCTGTATATTCATATGATCGCAAATCGCCGCCAGCTCCTCGCGCTTCGTCGACACGACGCGCCCATCCTTGCTCTTGATCTTGTACGACGAGCTGCCCTCCTTCGTGAACCGGCGCGTGATCACGATGCTCTTCCCGTACAGCTCGGGCTTGTACGCCTCCTCGCCCTGGTTCTTCAGCGAGATCGACACCTCGGAGACCCTGGCGCGCAAGTGAGGATTAGTGAGGGTAGAAGGGAAGGAGCAAGGGAGACGAGCGTACGGCTGGCCTTCGCGGATGAAAGACTTGAGGCCTGAGCCGCGGCCCGTGGATGTGGCTTTTCCGCCGAGGGCGACTGTTATGGCTGAGAGGACGGCGCTCTTGCCGCCTGCGGGGGATGGGGGTTACTCCTACACTAAAGATACGAAAACAAGACAACAGAATACGCACTTCCGTTGTGACCTGCGAAAAATGTGTGTTAGCCCCTGTGGGGAACGGCGATCGAAGCAGCATACCGATAATGAAGTTGACTTGCGGACCAAACGAGAAGGTCAGGTACTTATGGCACATGAACTGGTGCATCTCCAGCGACTCGATGATGCCCATCTCGGCAACACCCTACACCGCAGTCAATCAGTCGCTCCCACACGCCCTGGTATGTGTCAACACGCACCCCCTGATGCCGGCTCTTGCGCTGCACAGCAGCACGTATCGCATCCTCATTCTCCTCCTCGAACTTCTTATCCGCATCCTCGCCCTCCTCCTCCTTCACCTCCTCCTCGTCCTCCTCGTCGCTCTCTTCTTGTCTTGCCTTTGCCTTGCCTTTCCTCGACTGAGGCTGCTCCGTATCTTCGCGCTTCGCCTTCTTCGCGGGGGTGACGTCGGGCGAGTAGTCCCCCTCTTCGTCGCTGGAGTCGGCGACCCTGCGCTTGGCGGCCATGGTGGTAGTGGGAGCAGAAATAGGATGTAGTACGCGTGACGGCGCGCGGTGTCACGCGTCGATCGGTATTGAGGAATCACGTGCCGGCGCGTCAGCTTCACCCTCGAGTCAGAACGCTGAAGTGCGAGAATCACCGCCAACTTTGTCTTTCCGAGTCTAATTTACAGTCTTTGCAGTCCCTTCCAACTGCCGCACAATTGTCTCCAAGAATCCGGGGTTCAGAACCTAAAAACTCTGGTTTATCTGCAGCTGTCGTGCCTTCCCTTGAGCTGTCCTTGACTCTGCGATCTGTCTGCACAATAACCTTCCCTTCCATTGAGTAAACGTCCCTTGCCAGTCGACGAGCATCGCAAATGAGTTTGAGTCGGGAGTTGGTCGGGAGCTAACAAAGTGTCTTTGATCTTCCGTCCGAACTCGGAACCCATGTGGGCAGTTGACGTCGGTAGCGAGTAACCTGAGCTCGAGCCCGCGCAAATCCCGCGCAACTGATGATCTGCCTTTGGATGGATCTGCGTGTGGACATCATGATTATGCGTCAATGATTGATTGCTCGTGCATTTCGCCGACATTGACACGAGTATCTCAGGAACAGATGAGCAGCCTGGTTCAGTACGGCTGTTGGGACTTGAGCACCGCGAGCAGATGAGGCTGTTTGTAATGGATTGAACAGATCCTTTGGCGTTTGCTCTTGCATGGAATACTGACTACGAACCCGTGAAAGCTGAAAGGCCTATAATTACACTCCAGTGTATACTTGGACCTGTTACGGCTGGACTAGTACCAATGAGAACCATTGACATTGCCTAGTCCATAGCGGTGTTCGGGCAATCATCCCCATCATGATTCGCTCGTATCGCATGCGGTCAACGACGATGAGAGCGGGCTGGCTGCGTTGTTCGACGTTGGGTATAGCGGCGGACAGAGCGTCAAAGGCACTCCGATAGCGTGGTTCTTGAAAATGGAAACCGCCCTCGTTTCGATCGAGCGTTGCGTTGTCGCTGATTGGCGGACGGCAGCGCGACTGTTTTAGCCGGTTGCTACTTTCGGGGCTGCTCTTATACCCACGGTCCTCGCCCTCGCAGCTCGTAATTTCCGCCCGGCCAGGTCACCTCGCTGCCCGCTGGCTCTGCTCTTTGCCTTGACTTTCGAGGCTTCCATTCTCTTTTATTTCGCTCTTTTCTCTCCAATAAACCAATTCTTGTATTCCAGTCCAGACTGTCGCTCGACCGACTCACAAACGCTGCGTAAATGGCCGGTCCCATTCACTACCCGAACCCGCCCCTCGCGGGCAAGCCTCCCTTTGCCACAGACGAACCCGACGAATACTTTGACCAGCAGCCGCAGCCGCAGCGCAGGGTCAGGCAGCAGCCCGCCGACCCCAACGCCCGCTCGTCCGCTTACAACGTGTACGCCCCTCCCTGACCATCTCACAGCCGCCTATCTTCTTACCGCGCATCCAGATACGACAACTACCTCGAGCGCGGCAACCGCGACTCGGGCGTCGGCGCGCTCGGCGCAGGCCTCATGAACGGCGCCGTCGACGACGACGACGACGACCCGCGCAACCCCTTCCAGAACGCGCACGCCGTCGCCCCCTCCGCGCCCATCGCCCAGCCCAAGCCGGGCTACGCCGCGCCCACGCCCGCGCAGCTCCTCGCGCGCCCCGCGCCCGCCGCGTCCCGCGAGATGTCCGAGGTCGGCCCCGGCCCGCGCGTCGTCATCCCCCCGCCCGCGCCCATCGCCGTCCCCAGCACGCCGCACCCGCTGCAGCCCCCGATGACGCCCATCACGCCCGTGTTCGCGCGCCCGCGCAAGGCGAGCGGGGACGACGCCGGCGGGGTCAAGTTCGAGACGAGCCAGCTGCGCCCGGGCATCATCCGCGGCAACTCGGAGGACACGACGCTCCCCCGCCGCGGCGCACCCGGCGACGACTTCTGGCGGCGCTTCAGCATGGTCGCCAAGTCGGACACGAAAGAGAGGTGCGTCTCTGATCTCCTCCCCCGTCTCGGATAGGCAGACACTCACATCTCACCCCAGCTTCTGGCTCAAGAAGACGCAGAACGGCACCTCGCGCTTGTCCCGCTGGGTCTGGGTCGTCGCCGTCACCATCCTCATCGTCATCGCGGGCGCCATCGGGCTCGGCTGGTACGTCTCGCACAACAAGCCCGGGCATACCGCGCCCAAGGCCATCGGCGGCTCCGCGAACGAGGCCGCCACCTCGAGCGCGCTCCCCGCGAGCGCCGGCGTCCCCGCCGCGTCGAGCAGCCCGCACGTCAGCCCGACGCACACCGTCGCGAAGCGCGCGGACGGCCTGCACGCGCTCGTGTTCCCCACAGCCGTGGCAAGTGCCAGCGGGAACGGGAGTGCGGCGGGCCATCGCAGACGGCTGAACCTCAATCGGATGTCGAATCTGCATTAAGAGTTACATAACTTATAACCTAGACAAGACAGGATAGGACACTACTGGAATACGGAATCGGAACGCTCGCGGAACCCACCTCCGCTGGGACGCGCTCGCCCGGGCGCAGTCCCGTCCCCTCATTTCACGCCGCGTATTTATCCCCCTCACCCACCCAACCTAACCAAGAACGCACACTCAGGATCCCGATACCCTCGCACCCACCCACTGACCCCCATGCCCCCCCTGCTCTCCTTTCGCGGTCTCGTTTTCGCTCTTGGCTCAGGTTACGCGCCCACGGAACTCTTGCTTCACTTCCGCCGCCGCTTGTTGGATCACTCACTCACTCTCATCCACTCACATACCCCTTACGCATCCCCGCTAATCACCGTGTACCCTTCGCATTTGCATTCGCGGTATGCTTGTTTCTCCTTCGGATATTGCATGCCGTGTGTAATTAATACCCACCCCTGCATTATACATCTTCGCCTGCTGGCTTGCTTGCTTCGGAATCTGGATGTTCAGTTTTTGCGTGTACTTACGATGATTGTCCACGACGGGGATCCCCAGCGTCGCCAAAATGTGTACTTACAACAATGAGAGGTTATACATACAAAGAACGATGCTTGCGTGAATGCGTCGTTGCGTTCTAGAAATGACATGGGTGTGCAAAGTGCCAAGTGACAATGCCATGAAGAAACAGCCCCTGCCCCTCAGGAGACCAGAATGAATGCATTAAGGCGCGCATTAGCTTCTGTATGCACTATAGTAATCGCACTGTCGACGCCCCATGTGTCCCTGACTTCAAGGCGAGCAGCGCCCTCCACGAATACGCAGGGCAGGCCCGTCCGCCTCCCCCCTCTCCTTCCGCTTCACCCCGCGGGGCGTCCTCGCCGGACGCACGTCCTCCAGCACGATGTCGTCGTCCGACCCGTCCGCGGCAGACACACCCCCGCTCGCAGGCTTCTCCGCGCCCGCCAGCCGCTTGCGCTCCTCCTCCTTCGCCGCGCGGTCCTTCTTCCACTCCTCGGAGAGCTGCAATATCCGCAGCGACAGCTCTTCCCTGAACGCGCCGACGTTCTCGGCGTCCCAGTCCGCTTTGCGCTCCGTGTCTGTGCCCTTTTTCCGAGACTGCATACATAGTCCTTTAAATGGCAACTCGGCCAAGGAGGGTGCGCACTTACGCATATGAGGCGAGATATCCGGCTAGGATCCTTCATGAAGGTTTTCGCAAAGTGTAGGAGATACAGCCCACAGTCACAGTAATTTGGCTGGAGTGGCACCTACAGCAGCTGCTCAGTAACGCTTCCAGGTGCACAGTTGAGCGGACATACATGGGCTTGCAAACCAACTGCCGGACTGCTTTCCTCGAGGCCCTTCTTGTCCTTTGCCTCCCAAGCCAGGTAGCGAGTGAGAACGTTGATGACTTGCTTATGGCTAGCATTGAGGGAATCCAAAGTGAAGATGTATGTTCTGTAGCAGCGAGGTTACCGTCGTAATCAACCCGAAAACATAATGTACGTACGTCGGTCGTCCATCAACAGCTGGCGGCTCTCCGATTTCATCCGTCTCCGCACCAGCCTCTGGTACAATATCCATGGGAAACGGTGTAGGGGGCGCCCTTTGCTTCCCCTTCTTTGACGCGGACGAGTAAAACTGGGAGGGAGGCACACCAGAGACTTTGGATGTATCAGCAGCAGCCCTAGGTGTACTTGATCGGGGTGCTCCATTCGATGCGGTCTCCATCTCCATATCGGACCCTATCGGAGTCAAAGAAGATGACCGCGGGATCTCTCTGTCGTCCTCATCGATGTCAATGGGCCCAGTACTGCCCGCAGAATCCCCTACTTCACTCTGTTCAGGCGCACCAGCGACAGAATCAGTAACTGAGCGGGACCGTCGACCGGAGAGTAGATGTTTCGCGACTGCCTCTTCGTCACCTTGAGTGGCGGAAGACAACCCCGAAATACTCTCAGAGATGTTCGATGGAGAAGCGGCTCTGTTAGCTTCTGGAGCTTCCGTGGTGCCTGTCTCTTCCGTTGCACCTCTCTCGTCCGCCTTTTGCGATCGAGTGTTTGCTTTCGGATGTTCCATGGGTGGGCGGAGAACATGTTCAGGCTCGTAAATCACAGCAAGGTACCAATGCAGACTGACCACCGGTAAACATCGCTACAATGAGTACATAGCGAGAAGTACTCACTTCTCATTGATAGGTACGATGATATATTTCTTCCTGAATAGGTCGAACTTCGATGTCCATTTGCGAACACTTTGGTATCCCTCCTCGCGGCTTGATACTGATGTCAAACGGGCGCATATACAACCAAAGTAACAGACTTTACTTCCTGGTGTTGAGCTTCTTGTAAAAGAAAGAACTGAACACGTGGATCTGATCCGCTAACTCAGGATCCCGCTCTCGAAGCTCGTTAACCCATAGTCTATACCGCACAAGTTAGCCAGCCGATAGCAGAGAGACCCTAAAAGTATGCCCACTTCAATCCGAACTCTATCAAAGTATCATTGAGGAATTCGCCTGGCTGCAGACGCAAAAGGTCAGACCGGGTGATATTTACCGCTCCGGTACCAGATGGCGGATACACCAGTATGCTGACGGACTATTAGCACAGTTGCAGTTGTAGATCAAATAGGCGTACAGTTCGTCAGGATCCAGAACAGGTGAGTCGGGTCGACCAGATAATGACGACCTTGTGGATCTACGAGTTGGTGGTTCTGTGCTCGCCTCGTAGCCTTTGCTAAAGGACATGTTCAGTAAAAGTATTGTGGAGGGAGCCGGTGTCCAGGACATACTATGCAGGTCGAGGTTTTGGGGGACCGGAAGGCTTCACAGAGTCACCATTCGTGGAACGATCGAGTTCGAGCTGAGACGCTGAACGGCGCCTGGAAGCTTCCCTGGTCACTGCCGATAACTCAGGGGTACCAGGAATCGAGCCTGCAGCCTTCTGCCGCCGTGCTTGCAGAGAGAATAACTCAGCCGACCGTTGAACTTCCTCCCATACAGCTTTGGCACCAGCCTGGCTGCAAATACCGCTTTATCACACGGAAACACAGATTGATAATAGGCGAGCTCGTCATACGTACGTTACCTGGTCCGGCTTACCCTCCAAGTTCTCGCGTAGATTGGAAATAATAAACTGGTAATTCGTACGTTTCCAATCGCTGTCCGTGGTACTGAACTTGAATGTTACACGTCCATCGACCCGCGACGAGCCTGTGGAAAACCATCAGTCAACGGACACCACCTTATAAGGGGAAATATGGACCTGGATTGAATCCGTCAGCTTCCGGTAACGAGTCCTCCCGAAAGGTCCTGAACTGGATTATAGGATGCTGTCCATTGATCTCGTACTGGGAATAGGGACATCATTAGAATCTTTCCCCTGAAGAGAGACCTAGACTTACTGTCATTGAGGAGAATGCTCTCCCAACGCGGAAGCGTTGGAATGGCAGAGGTGGAGCACCTATACCTGCCATTTTCACAGTGATCGTAGGGGCGCTGGTGTCATAGTGGAAAATGAAGGATCCCTGCTCTAAGTCCTCCTGTCGATAAACAACGCAGCCGAGAGCCCACGCTTCGATTGGCAGCTCAATATCTTCAGACAGCCGGTGTATCGGCTTGCTAGAACCAGATGACGGTGGCCTGGCAGAGGAACCGCAATTAGAATCACGTCCGGCTGGAACGGGTTTGAACGTCAACTGCTAAGATGAAGTTCAGTTCGTCAGCCGAAGCTGGTCACTCAGGCCAAACCTGGGATATAGAGGACGAATCTTACCGCTCTACCGGCTTTCATGGCCTGCTTCCGGTATCCTGGTACCTTGGCACGTAGGTCGACATGAGGAGGAGGATGTGACCCTTCAAACAAGGCCGCCTTGTTTTTCGTATTGCCTTTTAATTTCAGATCCAAGCCGTCACCCTTCGAGGTGGATTTACTCTTGTTCACGATGGGTATCTCGTCAACCTCGATAGGGTCCGAAGGGTCCTCGTCAACATTCACAACCTCTGGCTTCTGCTGCCCCGAGTGTTTTGCTCGAAGTCGACTTGTACTGGGGCCGTCAGAAGCCACACTCCTTCCAGAACGAGACGTGGGCCGACTGCTGGGACCAGCAACTGGCTCTTCGATGTCGAAGGGGTGGGGCGTGTGCTTGTCTATGATGTTGAGAGGATCCGGAGAAGAAGGGCTCATGGCTCTAACACCAGTGGTAACTCGTTCACCGACATCCTCTTCTTCTTGGTCCACGTCCATCAGGTCTATAATCGGTATTACCGTAGCGCGAGACGGTTTCTTCCGCGTCCTAGGCGAAGTTGAGGGAGTATCACCCTTGGTCCCGCTGGGCAGGGATTGCCGAGAACGTTGGCCACGTTTTGTCGACGACGAACCAGTAGCATAACCTTCCGGGACGTCTTGATTCAGATTAATCTTTCGTCGCTTGGGAGAGGAGGGGCCTGCTTCACGGGAGGACGTACGCTGATTCTGCCACATCTTGGCAAACGCCGCAGGATTTCGAGGGACCTTGACCCGCGAGTTGTGCAAGTTGTCCTGCATACGTCCACTGTACGGATCGGAATTCATGACAGGGGGATATCTGTTCGGTACAGGGATCGGGGTAGGCTTGTTCTTCCAAGATCTGTCGAGAACGCATGAAAAGGCGCACACAACACAAGGCAACTCGTTCAGAAACGACCCACAAGCTCTTCGCAATGGAGAACCCGCCACATACCCTGTCCCATTAGTCGCAGAGCTCGACGCGTCCCTCCGGCTAGTAGCAATACCGTCGGCCACAGCGTGCAATTTGTGAATCCCCTGGCGATCTGCACTCGTGATGTTCGGCGTGGACATGTAAATGCGTGCAAGGAGCGGAAAGTGCAGGTGCAGATGTAGAATTACAGGTCGGTACTGACATGCGGGAGATATTGCTGCCGAACTCAATTATGAGGGCGCGACTCACGTCGGACGTCCACAAATCTAACCGAGAACGAGAATGACCGGACTTCCACTACAAATTGTCTACAATGAATTTACTAGCGTCGAGCAGCATTCCCTACCAGAGATACGAGCTACGATAATAGTTGAATCATGTGGCACGCTACTCTAGTTATATATCATGAGCAACATAAATGCCACTTTACTCTGGTTGAGCAGACGGAATTTACATGAAATGATCGCGGATTGACGCAATGGCCCTCGATGGATGAGAGCACCGTAGCCTGGTCCTTGAGTAACCTCTTACCAGAACTGAGATCTAAATCGTCGCACCCCCAAGTCTCCCCGCCCTGATCAACCTGTAGAAGTCGGCCACAAGGTACAAGCTCCCAGCCAACACCACCAGGCTTTCATCGGCCTCCTCAGTTTGCTTCGCAGCCCACTGCAAAGCAGCGAGGAGCTGGGTCGGATCCTGAGCGTCCTCAGGCGCACACCACACCTCCGCGTCAGGTACCAGAGTGGAAACAGTCTCTCGCAGGACAGAGGGCGGGACGGAGTTGATCCACGGCATGCCATCGGGAGGAGAAAACCGGAGGACGGCAATCTGCACCTTAAGCTTCACGGGCCGCGAATCCTCAGGCTGGGGTACAGTAGGCGGCAGCAAAGGAGCGAGGGTTTGAAGAGGCGTCTTCGGCGGTGAGTGGGAAAGAGCGAGTATATAGGTGAGAGAAATTTCTCGCACCGACGCAGCCGGTCTAGTTCTAGGAGCCGCAGGTATCAGTGAGGATACATACGCCGCTAAGGTAGCAGAAGAAGCGGGATTGTGTGCACCATCGGCTAATATGGTCAAGGGCCTGGCAGACCGGTTGTCTTCCGTCAGCGGTACTCGGACGCGGTGGAACGAGAGTCTTCCAGGCCAGGAAACGGATCGGACACCACGAGATATAGCGGACGGCGTCAGTCTCTGCTTGAGCTGGAGAGGACGAACGGATGTCTCGTCGCACGGGCAGGTGATCAAAGCAGAGATGATATTCAGTGCTACACCAAGATTCGACAATTGGTGCTCGCCGTGCAGAGGAAGTACAGCACGCAATGGCTCGGAGAAACAAGGTAGCGACATCTGTATGGGCGTAGGAGACGGCCCCGCAAAGGTTTCCTGCGAGAGGGATATAATGGCGGGGCCAGGACCGTCAAACTCGTTATCCCAAGTCCTCGAGGAGGCCGGCGAAGCATGAATTAGCTGACCTCCGGCTGTCGCAACAACCTCCTTCACCACGTCCTGTACCTCGGGGTATTTCTGAGGACCGAGCACGAACGGCTTACCTGGCCTGGCAATAGCCGCTTTCTCCTTCGCGATCTCAGCCACAGTAGAGCCCAGGAAAGCCTGGTGGTCTAGGTCCACCGCGGTCAGAGCAGACGCAATAACGCATTCGTCTGGTACGACATTGGTCGCGTCCAGCCGCCCGCCCATTCCCACTTCCAGTACCACCACATCCACTCGCTCCTGCTCAAAGATGAGGAGAGCCGTGGACGTCAGCAGCTCAAAACTGCTCGAACCGATATCATGCTTCCTGTCTGTCTCCTCCACAAGTTCCTTGGCAGAGGTGTACGTTGCGGGGGAGATGGGTTCGTTATTGACTGCAATAGAATCGTGGACGGAGACCAGGTGAGGGCTGTTAAACCTCCCGACCTTTAGGGGCGGCACAGTCGCATGCAATATCGAGGAGACGAGGGAGGACACACTGCCTTTTCCATTGGTACCCGCTATGTGTACTGTAGGGCGGGTATACCGAGGCAGATGGGACAGTAGCTTGCGAATCCGGTCTAATGAGAGGTCGATCGACATGGTGGGTGGCCTCGTAGTGTATCCTCGGTGAATGCAGAAAACGTATGTCTGCGTGAATGAGTTTCGAAAGGACCCTCTATGCCATAGAAAACGAGATCGGTACGACCACCATGGCCGTCCGAGCATGAAATAAGCAAGTCGAAAACGGGAAGCCACCATAATTATGTTATAATATTGAGCTAATTTTTACCCACCCAACCTAAAATAATGTAAGAGGCTTATTGACGAGCTGCCTTTCTACTACGTTGAACCCTTCCCCCACCATTGTCTCGAGCGTCCGTGCCAACGGCGCCGTGCTGACTGGGACCCTACTAGTTTTCTCTGGCTCAAAAGTACTATACAACCTAATTCTCAGCGGCATGTGGTCAGTTCCGTGCGATTGCAGCGTTTGGTATGGACACTGACGGCATGCATCCAGCTAACTTATGTTCCTTTGCCGTCGCTCACTACTGAGAGCATCTATTACTGAGCCGCATTTGTTGTTCCTTGATCGCCGTGGTTTTGCAGCAGCAGCACAAACGAAACGACTCCAGAAGGTGGATGAAAGCAGCCCTCGTGATGCGGATGGAGGTATTGGTTCAGTGCCCAAACGGACTCGTAAGCGGGGAGCCGTCTTACGACCCCAGATGGATACCGAGGCTTTGCTCAAGAAAGTCGAATCCACCCTTGAAGCCTCAAGGAAAGACCCGCCGGAACCCGTTGCAAAGCGACCTCGCGGACGTCCCAGGAAGCTGGTTGGCCAAGCCCCGTCGTCCGAGTCCGTGTTGGACACGCAGAAAGTCATTTCAAACCTCACGTCAGTCTTCAGTCTTTCCGGCGAGCACTCTGAGCCCTCGAAGGCTATCGCGCCCGTATCCCCGTCCCGTATACCGCAATTCAGTGCTTCTCCTGACATTAGCTCCGACTCGAACGTCGAGACGACAGAGTCCAGTGGGGACTCTGTCAGGGCTTTGCCGGAGGCATCGGAAGCAAAGGTGCACGAAATCCTCCGGCGCGACCACACTCGCGACCCCGATCGCCGTGAAAAAAGCCTCACCATATACCTATACTATCGTGGAGTCGATCGACTGCGCCTATCTACCCTCCCCCGCGCTGTGTTCATCCAGGCAGCCAAGATGGCCGCCGAGCTTGGTCGCCTGGATACTTTGGATGATATTTCGAGAGACCTATTGGAATGGTATGAAGGAGACAAAGGGAAGGTTGACAAGGAGGCTCGCTGTGAGACCATATCCAAATTCCTTACGATGTTCTCAGAAGACGGTCTCCTCAAGCATGCCACTGTTTTGGCGCTGTTCGATGCCTGGGTAGACGCTGGTCAGCATGGAGCCCTCTCCCAAAACGCCTTGAACCGTGTCATGGAAGCGCTCCTTGCTACCCATCTGAACGTGGCCCATGCCTATTCTCCCTACGCTCCCGTTGCGCTACGGTTCATCGAGCTCCTCATGAAGCACGCCAGTACGGCTCGCGGAGATCCAACATTGACTGAAGGGCCTCATAAGCGGCAGGTCGCCGTTAATTATCAGCCTCCCCTCGCAGTTGAGAAGCTATTCACGCTTGTCCGGGCTTACATCACTTTGGAACACCACGATGTTGCTCTTGATATTTTTCAGCGACTTGTCGTCCTGTCTTTCATACCTAGGAATGCCATCCAACACGCTGAGGGGATATACGACAAATCCAAGGATTTCCGTCTTATTGTGCTCTCCGCCCTCGTCAAGGCTTGCTTGCAATGGCAATGGCGGATACGCGCCGTCCCCTTCATGGCGGATCTGATACAGTCATACTCTGTGCTGAATGAAGAGATCAGGACGATTACTGAAGAACTCTTGGAGAAGCTCCTCGAAAAGCCTACAGTTGATTGTCTCATAGCAGCCCAGCGACTAGCCTCGCTTTTCATCACCCGCACGACGCCTGACCTCCCTCTCTCAGACTACTTCGTATCCAGAATCTACCTGCAGGCGGGCGAGCTACGGCTGGCGGCCAAGGATGACGCGACCAATGACACCGCCGCTGATGCCGCCGTGGAGATGTATGGCGTTACTCAGAGATCCGGAAACCTAGCAAAGCACGCGTACCCACCCCCGGATGGACGCGTAGTACGCTGGCTCCTGCGCCATCTCACGCTCAAGGTTAAGAACATGGATTATGCTCGGAAGCTTGTCCAGCAAATTGCAGACTCGCCGGAGGACCTTCCTGTTCATGTCCGTGCTGATGTGATATCCATAGCGGCGTCCAATGGGTTCGCCTCTGCTGCGCGGAAACTTTGGGATCGGTACGCCGAAGATATTCTGCCGTCAGGGGATCTATCAACCAAATTTGTCCAGCAACGGCGTAGTTCGGACACAGGGGCTGTTTCTGGAAGCCCACCGGTGGCTGTCCGAATGGTGAGTTTGTTCGTGAACCTGGCGGACAAAGAGGCAAAGAGGACGAAAGATCTTAAAAGTCGTCTCCGAGGGTTAAGCGCTGCCCCGTCGTCCTCCGAATTGCGCCTAGGTGGATCTGCCCCGAAGACGAACTCTCAGGATCAGACTTTGGAGCAGATTAAATATCGAGAATCCCGTCACGAGGATTTCAAGGCTTTTGCGCAGCACGTCGCTGAGAGCTTCCGTCAGCACTTGGAACCTCTTGAGAAGGCTGATCATCTTCATCTCAACGCCCTTGCTCGCATTCACTTCCGTCTCGGCCAGAGCGCTGAAGGTTTTGATATCTTCAAGATAATGATAAAGCGGCAAGAGATTCCTGACACATACGACGTCAACGTGGCTCTCACGATGCTTGCCAAGCACAACGTCCGAGCTGCTGCCCGAGTCGTGGACGCGATGGTGAAGAAAGGCCTCCGGCCGGACGGGGTCACCTTTGGGACGGTTATGAGCGCCGGAATGGCCGCGGGCGATTTGGAGCTCGTCGACTGGCTGCTGGGCCTGGCGGCCGATCTCGATGTGGGCATCTCGATGAAAGGAGTGACCGCGGGTATACATGCGAGCGTCACACAAAGCATGAACTCCGATCCGCCCGAGCGACTCAGAAGCAACCTCAACGCGGTCATGAAGATGATAAGGGCCAGCAGGCACCAGAGCTATCTTCCGACGCCCAACACTGGTAAGCTCTGCGTGAATGCCTCTCTGAAGGCCGAGTCTGCAGAGTTGGCCTTTGAGTTCTGGAGGATGCTGCTCAGGGGAAGGGCTGAATGGGAAGACTACCAGCACGTCGGCTTGCGATTCAGGATCGCGAACCGAACGCGTCAGGAAGTGGTCCTGGGGCGCATGACGCAGGGGCGAGCTAAGGAGATGGTGGAGTTGTTGGGACTGAGCGAGACTCATAGGGTGGGGACGTGGCGGCCCAAGGCGCCCGATGTCCTTCCCCAAAGCTGAACGAGATAGACTTTACGTACTATACAGAGCATAATGCCAAAGCAGACTTGTAATTCAATCGCACATTTCGTCAGGGCATGCCTACATCAACGTGAGTAAGAATTCCGAAGACTAGTCCCATCGTATTGTAAAGCATGTGGAACGGGAACAAGAGGTTGTGATTTACACATCTAGCTAATGTCTGTCCGGACTATCGTGGTATGTACAACGAGATCGAGTAGCAAATCATGAGCACGACGCACTGCCTAAACCAAGGCGGCGAGATGATTGGTATCGACAGTGGAGAATAGGTATGACGGCAGGAGTCGTGTCGGTGGTCGTGGGTGAGTGTATTACGAAAGAAAGTAGATAGGAGTACAAGTCCGTGCGTTCGAAACAAGCAATGCGAAATGAAAGCAGATGCAAGGGCTTAGCAGCCGTCGTATAGTGAGTTTCGAGGGAAGGTGTATCCTGCTTGCTCCCATGTTGTCAGGTTGGGATTTGAGTACGCGTTCAGATGTCTGCAACACAAGAAGAGGCCTGATCAGTATCATAGTACACCGAGGCGCTTGTGACTACATACTCCTGGATGTAATCCTCCGTGGGGTGGCTCTTGGGCGAGCAGCCAATCCCTGATTTCGGGTCGACATCCTCCCGCTGATATACGCGGACGTAGTCGAAGTACATCTTGCTCGGGAAAACAAGATGCTTATAATCAGCAGGCTGGAATTGTGCTATAGACATTCATGTCATCAGTCAACAAGCGCGCATCACAGGACGCATGGATACGTACGAGACATGCCCAAGTTGAGGATCAAATACTATGCGTAACAGTCAGGGCTGATTGTCAACGAAGAACACAAAACAACACAGACCATAGGCTCCTCGGGGATAATCCTCTGGCTGACCTCCGACTGCGAATCAGGCCCGATACTTGCAGCCGTCAACGTCCACGTCTTCTGCCCGTTGCTGAACCACGTAATATACCCATCATTCCGATTGTTCGGGTCTGACCACCACTCAAACCCATAAGGCGCATACGCTCCGTCCCCTCCGCCATAGTACGTCGAGTCGATGTACGTCACCGCCGACATCGCCTGCTGGAATGGCCCGCCCTTGTACGTGTTGAACTGCGTGATCGACGAGTCGTAGATCGTCGTCGCCGGTGGCTGGTCCTGAAATTGGTACTTGAGGTTGTAAGGCGCAGTCTGGAACGACTGGGAAACCTCTCCGCGCATCACGGTCGTGTCGATCTGCGTCTCGATGATATCGATCTCGGGTGCGTTGCGGCCCTTGTTAACGCTGGGGCCGGGGTGGTCGGAGCCTGGGCATGTACACGCGGAGACACGCTGGCCTGGAAGGTAAGAGAGCGGCCCGCCGTCATTGCCGCCAGTGGCGGCAGCAGCGGGAGTGCCGTCCTTAGCGGTTTGGTTGGGGAAAGTACCGAGGTCGCAACTGTCATAGCTGTACGGCCATGTACCTGTTATATTGATGTCAGCTATGAACAAGCTGACTTCGATTCCCAACCGAGCACGCACCATCGGTAGTAGCACCGTAACCTGCCCGTCCCTGAGTCACGGGTGAGTATTACGACGATATGCATATCAGGCATTACATACCAGATTCCCCATAGTCCATGCACCAGGCCACAGACCAGGTGCACTGGGGCTTCCAGGCATGCTGATAGATACCTCAACGTAACCCGTGGTGAAGCAGAACTTGTTCCACCCCTGCAACATGCCACTCTGGAAATTCAGATCGTGGTTGTTCAACTCGCTCAGGGTGATAACGAGTTTGCCGTCTTGCGTTGTGATTGCGTCTGGGCTGTACCACTCGAGGTCACCGGTGGGCCTTTTGGGGCGTTAGTGGCAAGCTCCTAAACAATGACGATATGGACTTGCCAGTAATGAAGGTCTACCGCTTCCCAGTATGGATCGTCACCCGGGTAAAACGTCCGCCCATCGGTGTTGAATTCGTCGCTGAATACCAACTTGTACGATTTGCCGTCCGTCCCTGTGTATGCGTATGCACTCTGAGGAGTTTCTGGGTCAATGAGCGATGGCATTCCTGGTAAGTCGGCAATCTGGCCGGAGCCGTTGATCCCGCCATAGTTGTAACCGACAGCGGTGAGCTGTGCGCGATTGTAGTAGGCAGCGATGGGATAGCCGGCAAAGAGAGCGATGATGCCGCCAGCCAGAATGAAAAGGGTACCAGCGTTGGCCCATCCTCGGGCAGAGAAGAGTGTAAACGAGCGATCGAGGGCGGCATCCCGTATGGGATCAGGGTTGTGTAATGCGTCGTCCAGGTCTGGATCTTTTGTGTCCCACAAATATGCTGGAACGGTGTTGCTTGTTCCCGCTAAGGGCGCCGTCGACTTGTCGCCAGCGGTTGTTGTTGAAACTTCTGAAGGCGCGGCGCTAAAACGGGAGGCATTGTACCCACCGTTCGTCATGGGTGTATGCTGTTGCAGTTAGCGCCATCGTCCCGTGCAGGGTCGAACCAAACTCACTGAGTAAGGGCCATAGCCAGCACCGATCGCACCCGTCGCTACCTCCTGCGCCATATCACCCCGCCCATTAACATTCCCCGCATTGCTGCTCGCTGACGGCGTTCGCGTCGGGTGTCGCGAAGTGCTGTATTGTGAATGGTAGCCCTGCGCCGAGCGTGGCCCAGGACTTTGCGGGACGGCGTAGTATGCGCTCGATGGCGGCATTTGTCGTGGCTGTCGAGACATAACGGCCGGAACTGCAGGAGAAAGGAGGGAGACGGCGTGTACGACGACGACAGTAGTGAACCAAAACGAACGCCTTCGTTCCAGTTCCCACTCGGAGCGCTGAGACACGCGCAGTGCGGCGTATTTCCTCTGGGCTGTACCCTCGTCACGTCACTCGTAACGGTGGCTGCCCGGCACCTTCAGACCGTGGTGGAGCGTTGATATGTCGCCGCGAGGCAAGTAAAGAAATAGAACGGGGATATGTAATGCTCTGCCGGAGATAACGCGACAATTTCTAGCAGAAGGGGATGCTCTCTGTAAATATAAGGCGACTGGGACGATGTAGACCGTTTCTCAAGGCGCACCGAGCAATTGGGCGCTGACGGCGGCCGGCGGCTTGTGGCATGCAGCAGGTACAGCTCGCGAGTTATGACGCAGAAGAGGAAGCGCGCGGTGACGTATATGATATAGGAGCAGACAAAGCATACGTACAATACTTACAGGAGGAAAGCTAAGGCATAGCCATTTTCACGACGGTCCCTGCACCTGTCGTACCGTCAAACACGAAAAAGTTGGCAATCGGAGGCTCCCGGGCAGCCAGCGCTTTTAATATATCTTGCGCCAACATTCCCCCCACCACTGCGCAGACCGGCGAGAACTCGTGTGTCGCCGTAGTGGAGACAGAACTGACAAACCGTGTCCATGAGAAGCTGAGAACCGTGGAAGCATCATCACTCGAACTTACTGGATGATCTCACTGGGCACAGCAGTGATGGTTTGCTTGTTCAGATCCGCGTCTGACAGCAGGCTGTTCGCAATCGACTGCAGTTCAGCGGCATGGTTGGCATCGTCTGGCAGCTTCCCTCGGTGTACGGACTGAAACTCCCAGAGGCCTTCGAATCGATCCCATCAGTATGTTACTGTAGCCTCAGGCATAGCATCTGTAGCGTACCGAGAATGGCAAAGACAACACCAGGATTGAGCTCCCGAGTCTGCCTCTTCGTCATACCGGTCCACTTATGTCTAAGAGCTGCGTGCAAAGGGAAGTATGTCGCGGTCATTTTGACACTCCTCGGGGGTGCGTCCTTTGGCGGATTTCGGTCACTGAGTATTGTCAGAACTTGTGAATAAAGTAGAGTAAGATAGGACGGCATACGGAGCAAGATATTCGTGTTTCAGTAAATCACAGAATATGTATCCATACAGCCCATACGACCCGCCTGCATAGAAAGGCTTCCCAAATCTTCTACATGCTTCGTTCACGCGGATCTAGTGAAAAGGAGCGTTACATGGAGCTGTTAAAATTTGTAATGTATACTCACGAGAAAGTCTCGCTCCGAGTCCGTTACGCAGACAAGGTCAACTCCTTGGATCAACGAGTCCAGTTTATCCCTCTCCAAGACAGAGGAAGTTGGTATCGTCTCAACGGCGACGAGAGGGTTTAAACTCTCGATGCGTGCCTTCGCGGCGTCCACTCTCTGTTCCAAATGTCACCACATCCCGGTTCGCAACCGGCGCTCCTGAACTTAGCAAACTCACCTTGGTACCTACATCCTCATCCCTGAAGAAAAACCCTGTCCCCAGATCCTCCTCCGCCACGTCCTCCCCGTCCACGATCACGAGCTTCCCAATCCCCGCAAGCACGATATTCTTGATCGTCTCCGTTGCGACGCCCTTGAGCTTGACCACCAATATCGTCGCATTGCGCATCCTACAACGTTTTACGATTCACATCGGGAGGGGAGGCACGATCTGCGGTGAGCTTGAGACGCGGCGTGCGCGGGAGAGGGACGAGGACGAACCTCTGCTGGGCTTCTAGGCCCCACAGTCGGATTTGCCGGTCATATAGTGCGGCTTCGTCTAAAACGAAAAAGTCAGCAGGGGAAATGCAAGGGCTTGAAGACTGCATTGGAGAACGCGTCTCTCCATTCTGCCTCGCCATACAATGCGGGATACGTACCCTCTGTTATCTGGGCTGGGAGACTTTTACTCGCTGGATCTTCCGCTGTCGCCATCCTTTACTTTTACGGCGGGTGCCTGTAGGTGCCGCAATAAACAATGTTGCATGTACGCCTTGTTCCACGCAGGCGCCTAGGAAGCAGCGCAATACCAACTACGAAGTATGCATTTCCGGCAACTCCCGGGGTGGCTTCGAGAGCCACACCGGTCGCTGGCCATGGCAAGTGCAACAGTAACAATGACAACACAAAATGAGGATCCAGCGATGATACAATTATTACAGTAGAACATACAGCAAATGTCCATCCACTATTTACATTCCGCCGACGAGGCGAAGGGAAAATAAAGCAGCGTCACCATGCGTAGATAAATCGTAAAGATGCCGTCAAATATGGAGCACGGACCGATAGGATGTAACGAGTTATGAGCTCCCATTCAGGGGAGTCCACCGTGACTCCATAGTTCGGACCAGACGCAGAAGGAAACGTGAAAGTCCCGCGAGAGCGGCGGCAGCTAACTGGGAGGTACCAGCAGTCCATCACTCGACGTCCCATCTCTATCATCGTCCAGCCTGCGAGCCAGAAGCACGTCATTTATCAGCCACGCTGCCAGATGAATGACAAAGAAACACGGCACGTAAAAGATAAGAAGAAAAGTTCTTGTATGTACTCACAGGTAGTTCCTCTCGATCTCGGACAGAATGGAAAGAAAATCCCCTGATCGGCGTCGGGTGCAACGCCAAGCCGAACGTCAATCCCATGTGGCATATGAAGAAGATGGAGAACGACGACGTACAGAGGTAAGCATGGGCGCGTGCAGCGGACGCGGGTGCAATCTCGGCCTTCCTGACGGCGTCGAGGAGCGTGGAAGCGACGAAGCGCACCTTGTGAACCTATTAAAAAATATACATGGTGGAGAATATCAGCGTCGTCGGAGATAATAATAGATCAACAATAGAATAATTAGCGCAGAAGCTCGGAAAACACTCACGAGTGAAGGTCCATTAGTGGCTATGGATTGAATAGGGATGCTTCGAGGGGAGTTTGGGTTAGTGAGCGTGCTTCGGTGAGGTATTCGAAATGCCCGGAGCGACGATCCGAACATACCTATGCAGAATGTTTAGCAACTCGCTGGCCACTGCCTCTCTCTCTTCAGCAATACGCGACTCATCCACACTTCCATGCAATGATGTCAGGAGCTCGTCCCGGTACTGCTCTATAACAAAGCGCACGAGTTGCTGCCGTACGGCAGTTAAGTTTCATACAACAAGGTTGAAGTAGAGTAAGACCGACCTGTGTGACATAAAGATTCGCCTGCATTACCAAGAATGGATTTGAAGCATTGGCCCTCGAAGCGTTCGGATTATCAAAGAAATCCTTGACCTCTGCAAACGTGGCCTGTCTAAAACCTGCGCCGCCGAACTCCTTGGGAACGCTGGAACTCTGCGGGAGGGCCCGCTTGAGCTGAAGTGGCTCGGGGGCGTGAACCAGTGCAGACATAATACGGGCGTGCAGTGTCTGTACTTCCTCCAACCTGGCCGTGGCGAAGTGCCCTTGCGGCGGTGAACGCTTGTCCACTCGGATGCGGACGAGGATTTCACCCAGCAGAGCGAATATCCGAGATATGTAGTTTAGCCCGGAGACAAGAGCGGTTTTGCCGGGCGGTTGGCCTAGATAAGCGGTGGCACTAATACTGGGAGGGCGTCAATAATGAAAATAAAAGCATATCCAATATAAGCGCTGTCTATTCTGTGTCCCCCAGGATGCCCAATAATAAGCAAGTTACTCACTACTCATCATCGAGCTCCTTTGGGAAGTGGACAGTGCAGTCCTCGTCTCTCAGGCAGATAGGCCTCCCGAGCAGAATGGACATTGATTTATCCGCTACAAAAAATTGATCACTCCATTTTTCTAGTCATAGCATCCATGACTTACCTCCAAAGAGCAACCAGAATGTCCTGCGGCGGACTTCACACTCAATAGGGTCGAGACCTTCATATGAAGCCTCCTCGTGCATACGCAGAGTCACGGCAATATGTGCCGCTTCCCCAAAAGCAGCGTGCGATGTCGCATCATGTCCCTCACAGAAGTGATAAACCGTGTCACTGTAGACGTCCTCGTACATTATTGTATTCCGAGGTGTAAGCCATGGAGGTGACTTACAAGTAGCGAATAACGACATGCATGGATGTCGGCGGATCGTACGATGCAACCGAAATATGTCGGCTGGCTTCGTGACAGTTTTGGGCCAGCTTTCTCACCGCCGCCCGCTCCATTGGGACGTAAGAACGCGGTACCTGCACCAGCGTCGACGCGATAGTGCTCATTACAAGCGCAAAAAACAGCGGATCTCTCTCCTCTCGGTGCGTGTGCAGATCAGTCATGAACGAAGGCTTGTGGACGCACGGCGTGAGCGGGTAGACGAAATCGAAGAAAAGCGCGATGATGAGTGAGATGGTCTCCCTGGGCGCTACCTCCTCCAAGCGGTGGGGCCGGTAATAGTATGATAATGGGACAAGCGCCGTGGGCGGTGGGGGCGGGCCAGATGGTGGATGCTGGTGCTTGTATGACCAGTTGTAGAGAGGGTACGTGTTGAACTGGTCCACCGGCGAGAATGGTCCGTCTTCGCTGCCGGGTGATCGCGGTGGGCCGTACGTCGGCGATGGCAAGCCTGACATGGTCGGGTACTGGGAATGGAATGAATCAGCTGATATGGGGTACCGCGACTGTGTCATGACGCTCGAAGGCATGGAGGACAGCGAAGGGTCGAGGAAGGCGGATGGGCCCGCGTGGCTGTTGGACGGCGATATGCCCGTCCGCGGCGGGCTCATGTTGGCGGATACAGGCGACACCGACATTTCGTCATTTTTGTTGTCCGATTTCCCTGCGGCTGCGGCTGCAGCGGCCTCTTGTAGACGACGGAGGTATCTTGGATCACCCCATGAATCAGGTGCGCGTCTTTTGGTCTAGATAAATCGCTCACAAATTAGGGGGGCCTCTTTTCTTCGGCTGGTACTCATATGTGCATGGGATGCCAAGGGCAACGCAGTGCTTGCACGGTTGGGATTGGTCGTCTGGGTTCTCGCGAGCACATCGGACCTTGCGTGCTCTGCAAGCATCGCAACCTACAGCAGAACCGTCAGCAACGATCGCTGAGCGAGAACTGTACTGGCTTACTCTGGGATTGGCGCCTGTTCGGGTTCATCTCCGTCAGTGACTAGCAGAGGCGGCGGTAGAGGACGCATAACATGTAGCTAGCAGTACCGCGACGCAATGTAGACTAGAGACAGCAGGCTCTAGACGTCACGGCGGTAGAAGAGGGACGCGCCAGGAAAGGCGCGAGCGGGGAAAAGTCGGATGGAGGACGCTGACTTACTTTCTCTTGATCTTGCTGTTTTCGGCGTTGGGTTTCTTTGGAGCGCCGTCGTCCGAAGACAAGGACGCCGGTTCGGCCTCTTTCTTGGGTCGAGCCACAGGCATGCCGACTATTGGAGGCTGCTAATAGCCAACTATACTCGGATTCGGGGCAAATGCAAGCCAGAGTCGGTGCGGGGGGCGGAATGCGGGGTAAGGGCGCAAAGCACTCTAAGCGAGCCGTGTCCGGATCGATTTCACGCGATATTCAAACTCCATCCACCCCGGCAGCAGTTGGCTGAGTTTCGCTCTGCGCGACTTTTCTCGTGGTAAAGCCTTCTTTTCTCAATGTTTATCACTTCTCAATCAGGTTCAACATCAGTGCTACGCGCAGAGTGGGCTTGGAACGCCCCAATCGCATGCTCTGCAAACCACAACTCATATGCTGTCACGAGTTTCTCGGCCAAACTCCGGCTATATCGACCGAAGGGGATAATTCCATCACTAGCGGATTCACCTCTGAGATATATATCGCAGCCCGCCACCCAATACTGCCCTTCAGTCGGTCCCGAATTTAAAGTGATCTTAGTCTTTCGATCGCTGAGCGCATCGCCACTCTCGGACACCATTCGGATTCTGCAGTTTATTTGAATAATCTACGAATTTATTCTGGAGGGTACAAAGTATAGGATGGCCCGTGCCAGATGTTACCCACGACTGCCCAACAGAGAGGCCGCCAGCGAACAGTGCCTCCTCATGTGACAGATCCCAAACCCTACCCCTCATGCCCTGGGCCATCCCAATGTACCTGATTTTGGACAGACAACGTCTTCGAAGACGAGAATTCCTGTTCAGGACGGCAACCTTCATCATCGGATCATCCGTACTACGAGATCGTACCACGCAGCCAAAGCCCCGGGCGAGAGCGGAATGCGCCCATAGACACGTCAGATACACTGGGCACTCGAGGTAGATCTGAAGGCACGATGCCGGCGGGGTAACTGCGTCGAGAGGTAGTGCGCGGTACATTTGGGCGCAGTGAACGCAGGCCAAACGAGGGTACATACCCTCCTTTGGATATTCTCGGTGCCGAGGGCATCCACGGGAACCAGGGCCCACCCTGCCGAAGCCAGACATATCCCATTCTAGATCTGGGACGTGAACCTAGATAATTGTCCGTCCACGGCGAAAGCTTCTCACCGACGCACGTCCTCGGACTCGGGCTTGAATGCGAACAAGAGCATGGAAGACATCGAATTCCAATTTATCCCCAGTGGAAGACCTCTTGGGCTTCAGCCTTTACCTATACGAGCCCAAAGCGAGTGGTTTGTCATAATACGGAGAGATGCCTAACGAGGATTTCAGAAAAGGCGTCGAAGAACATCGGGTCTCGTAGGATTCCCATGTCAGGCAAGCGACTGAGCACCTACCCAATGTCTCCCCCTGCGGAAAGTTCCCGAGGACTGCATACGATGCCTTCCGCCGGTCTCTGGAGGCGGAGCTGCAACACGTCGAGGTATTTGCTTATCGGAGAAGGAGGACACAACATCGGGGAGTCGCGAATGGACCACTGAGCGGGTCCGAGATCTCAGTTACGCTGGAAAGTCCGAGAGCCTAGTATAACCCTTCAAAGCGGTGATTGCCAGGATTGAAATCCACAAACAATGCCAGAGGAGTAGTCGAAAATAAGGATTTCGTCCCGGCAACAGGTACTCCTGGTAGGGATCCTGATTTCGCAAGAATCCCTCGGATTTGGGACTGGCACAACCACATAGATGATAGATGACCAGGAAAGCGTTAGCGAAGCATAATAGAAGAGACGCAAGGCAGCCTCAACAATGCGTGAGTAAGACAGGGCCAGCACCCGTGCCCTACCTCTTGTAAAGGGAGAGCGCTCTCCGGCTTCGATGGTTTTTCGCGCCCTCCCCTCTTCTCGCCGGGCGTCGTGATTTGACCTTTCATACAATTGGAGTCCCGTGCTTCGGGTGGTTGTCTCGACGGTGCTGCCTTTATGCTGGGCATCGAGACAAAATGGGAATTGATGAAGTAATTGAAGTAGGGTGCAATGGAAAAAGTCTTCGAACCGGCACCTATCAAGGAATATTCCCATCCATACCCTCTGGAAGCAAACCTTCCCTTGGTATGAGAAAGTTATGAGGTTATCGGGACTTGAAGTTATTGCCCGGCGCTTCCGTCACCCTCGAAGTTTTCGGCGGAGTTGGTGAGTCATCCATACAGTCGAGTCACGGGGGCCATTCGATCTCTCTTAGTTAGAGGGAGAAGCGACGCTGAGGCGCCTTATCTGCCTTGAAGCTCTACTCCGCGGAAAGGTCAGTATTGACAGGGTAGGAGGACCGACGCCGGCGCCGTGAGCATGAAAGATCCCAGCTTTTTAGAAAAGGCTGGAGTCCTTCGAGATAGAGACCAATCTTGGGCCAACAATACTGAGGCGGCTCTAAGGTTGTTGCCCTAAAATCGTACCACCACTCTGGATTTAGACCCCAATCAACGGGGACGTCTCGATATTTACCCAAGTACGGGCAGAACTTCCCATACCAAGCCAGCAAGGTTAGAGTCGACCCCAGACGTAGATTCGACGGCGAGGGACAGATCCAAATTAGCGTGCAAAAGACCGGCTCGGGGCCGCAGGAGAGATCGGGAGCTTATGTCGCGGCTCAATTACGGTCCTTTGTGGTAGGACTACGGCGGCTACGATCCGTTCGTCGTTTACTAGATTGGAAGGTAGAAAGGGCGGTTAAGTGGCGCACGGTACTTTAAGGAGCCGAGAGTCAAGACTTTCGGGGGATGTACGAGAGTTCGACCACCAGAAAGCCGGGGACATGTGCAAGAGCGATAATCGAAGACAGCTAAGGTCATGGAACCAGCAAGCAATGAAGGCAGGGCTAGCAATACCAGGTCCTTGTACCGTTTGGTCCTCTGGAATCCCCGGGGAGTTTCAATCGGAGCGCACTGCCAGGATGGCGATACATTTCCTTTCCTCGTAAGGGTTAGAGGTTTGGTGACCGGCGGCGGAAGGATATCGTTACCCCCTTATTCCTTGTAGGACAAGACTGGCTCTGTGGCTATCCGTTCGCTAATGAATAGGTCGCATCTGAGGTAGCACAACAGAAGCCATCGTCGACTATCTAGCTCTGCGATTGCATAGAGGGGTGACCGCGGTTCTCAGACATACCACAAACACATGTCCAACATGTTGACCATGCGAAAAAAGCACCGGCCAGATTAATGGGCGACGATCCCTTCGATCTGGCCAGCAATCAGAAGCTTACAGCTATTCGATTTTTCGACTGATCCAGACTCTTCATAGTTCAGACCCTTGCTGTGCGACAATAATTTGGACTTTGGAGGTCGCCTATCCTTGGACAGGTCCGACTGAGCCCGGTCGCAACGCTCGGAATTCCAAGTAAAATGGACAACCTTGAGTTCCAGGACGTTGAGATCAACATCAAGCGCAAGGAATGAACAGCAGAATGGCAGTGGAGGTGGAGAGCGCAAGACAGATGCTGGCAGCGCGGCAGATGCCGTAGCCACCCTCGCTCTTGCTTCGAATCCACCAAGTAACCCAACGTGGACGCGTCCGCGGGCTTTACCAGAATTCGATGGGTGCTGGATACTCGACGTCGCAGGATCAACCGCCTTCACAAGCCCTCCATGTATTAAGGGTGACGCCAGCGTCGCCAGCCTCCCAGACGAACATCGAACCTTTCTTTGACTTCGTGGTCGGCTTTGAGGGGGACACTTTCAACTCTGGGAAGAACGTAGACGCGTCTGAGCTCGAGAGAATAGTGGAGAGTCATGAAGACCAAGTACTGAATCTGGTAGTATGGAATAGCAAGAGTCGAGACACGAGAGGTACGAGTAATTCATGTCCCGCTTACCATGACCGGTGAAAGAAACGTTTCAGTGTGATTAGTCGTTCCTATCATTCCCTCCAGAGCATGGTCGGCTGCAAACTCAGCCCTCCCAAATCTTAAGGAATCAGAGCCGGAAAGCAAGCCATCTCTGCTCGGTTTGAGTATGCGAATGTGTCAGCCGGAGTATTCATTGGACAATGTCTGGCATGTCTTAGACGTGCTAGAGGGTAGCCCAGCAGAAGATGCAGGGTTAGTACCATACGGGGACTGGATCATAGGCTGGTCCGGAGGTGTGCTCAGCGCCGAGAACGATTTCTATGACGTGGTGGAGGCGGTAAGCTACCTTGCGGAATGTACCTAGAGCAAATTCTGACCAACGCTCTCTTAGCATATTGACAAGCCACTACGGGTTTATGTCTATTCACACGACTTCGAGTAGGTCCTACGATACTCCACTTGCCATTATGCGCTAATTCCTGCTTCAGCACGATACGCGAAGTGGTACTAGTTCCTAACCGCCAATGGGGCGGAGAGGGCCTTCTAGGATGCGTATTCGGGTACGTAAATTGCCATTGTTTCGTTTTTTTCACAGCAATGCTCATGTCATTGTCGTGTCAGGTTCGGCTTATTGCATCGCATCCCGCCTCAACCTTCGGACCGCGAACCGGGCTCAACGCCTCCAGAGTTGCGGGAGCCCGGCGTCGGGGAATATGAAGAACAGACATTGTTTGTTCCTGCACAGGTCCCAGTACCCCACCCGGGCACTCCCGAGGAACATCACTTCGCATTCCCCCACGCCCATGTACATCCTTCCCCTCACGACGGTCACCATCACCATCGTGAGCATGGGCACCAGCATGATCATGACCATGAGCACGACCATGAGCACGAGTACGAGCATGACCATGAGCACGAGCACGAGCACGATCATGACCATGGCGCAGAAGCCCACAACCATGAACCTCCAGTAGTTGCAGCCATCGCACCCACTCCGACTCGTCCGGTCCCCCTCCGTAGTACATCCCTCAACCACCCCGGCACCCCCGAACGCAGCTCCACGCCGACCCCAAGCTCCATCAACCAAAGCCAAGGCAGACCCCTCGGGTCCCTCGTCAACGGTACTTCGTCCTCGTAGCCACAACCACCCCGCCAGCTTATCATACCGATTCTCTCCCCTTAAAGGTTTCGGCAGCATGAACATCGGAAGGTATGGTCCCGGAATGCACTCGCCGACGCCGCAGATGGAGCGCGCCGTATCTTTCGGGGCGATGATGAGTAGCAGTACCACTTTCGGGGAGGCGTTGGGGGCGGAGGGACAAAACGAGGACGGTAGTCAGGAGTCGGGCGAGCAGGACTTGGATTACGATGATGGTGCCACTAGCGTCACTGGTACAGAGACGACAGACGACGAGACAGCATCTCAGGGAAGCCTCACTAGCGTCGACTGAGAACATCCGCAGATCGCCACCTTTATTGGTCTATCACATATTGTGTTGGGTTATTGGGCGGGTGGGACCATCGGTGGTGCTAATCCTGTATACCCTCGTTACAGCAGGACTGTCTTTCAGATGCGGATATGATGATTATGATATGCATTGAACAGCCCTGAAGTCCGTCGGCGTGAGTGTGAATGCTGTAGCTATAGTACAAGTCCGTATGTGCTATCGTTCCTTCCCATGCAAGGCCATCATACTCAGGTTGATCCCCCACCATTTTGACCTTCTTGAGGAGCTGCTGCAGGAGGTTTATATTCCAGATTCGACGCGATAAGCGGCCAAACTGAGGAGACGTGGAAACATGAGATTCTTCATATATACTCTAAAAGAAGACTCTAAAATCCGAAAACTGACCTTCTTCGAACCCTGGGTGCCGCCCGGCTCTGATCTGAGGCCAAACGTTGCGCATGACGTCCGTCTTCCCGATTTCGCCCCAATGTTCCAAGAAGAACTGCGTTTGCACCTGAGAAGGAAATCGTTGTTTATCATGCACTCTGGAAACTGGCTTGCATAGTATCTACCTTCCGGACGTCCTCGAAGGTAGCGGAGAACGAAGAGAATACCTCATACGGCACGTTGTGAACCGTCAGGCTCTTCACGATATGCTACGGCGGTTTATGTAATTCTTCCACTTGTTAAGCGTATTCTGGTACACACCTGGAAGGCTCGTTCTTTCAGCTCTCGCAGATCAAGCTCTGCGCAAGAAGTCAGGCAGTTAGCAACGACACCTTCAGACCGTAAATCAGACACTCACTGTCTGCTAACCGATAGACGGCCTTCGCCGAGCAGGGCGTCGGCAGCCCAGGGTGTTGGCGAGCCCACTCACGGATCCACTCCTTTCGGGAGGCAAATCGGGTGTGCTTATCCATCAGCGCGGTCGGGCGCACCCCGGACGCGGCATTATTCGCGCTGTCCGATGTGTTCTGTCCTGCAGACGAAATGGGCGCGTCCGCAGGTACTTGCGTAGACGCCGAAAGGAAGCCAGACGAGAGAGGCGCGAATGTGATGTGATCAGTGTACACCTAGGGTACGTCAGCCGATGGTACGGAGACAGGAGAATGACCAACATAGTATAGCACGGCGAGGTATGTATTGTATGCTACGTCGCGGACGATGACTTTCAACTTGCTAGGTCCGGGGACACTTCCACCAGCGGTCGTCACCGAACCGTTCTCGGCTCGCCTTAGGAGTCCCACCTCGGAGCTCCTAGGGCTAGACGGATGCTGCAATTTAGGGCGTACATTCCTCGCTCCTTCCTGGGCGCCCATGCCCATCTGAGTAGTCTCCACATCCTGCCAATCCTCGGTCGCGGACGATAGCTCTCCGGATGCGCCGGCCACATTGCCGCCGTCCATGGGAACATCCTCAGAATGGTCTTCGCTAACATCGGGCTTCATCCTTGCGTCCTCTAGCTCTGGAACAGCTGCCTCGCGGTTGTCCAGCTCCGCATCGTTGTCGGTGGCGTCCTCATCCTCGTCATCCGAATCCTCGTACTCCCTCGAAGTCATGTCGATGTCCGATGAGCCATCTTCCACGTGGCTTCCTTGGCCTACGGAGAGAGTAGGGCCGTCTGTAGAAGCCTCCGCAAACCCAGAGCCAAACACTAAGAATCAGGCGTAGTTCATGTCCCCGTGCCAAAATCAGAGCTAGATAAATACACCCACTCATATCAAAATAATCCGCTCTCCGTAGAAGATGCTTGGTCGCATAGACAGTCCTGGACTCCCGCTGACCACCGCGCCTGGGCAACACAAACTCTACATCCGAATACAAGGGATCATTCAGCAGGCCGCCGACGGACTCGAGTAGGTCCTTCGGGACGCTCCGCCGGTTCGCTGGGGGAGGAGGAGAAGGCGGCGTAGGCGAGGACGTGATGGTGCATATAATCACGAAAGCGTCCTGCATTCGGACGGCGTTGGACAGGTAGTATACCGTGTCTCTGCGAGCGAATTGGGCCCTATGTAAAGACGCCCAAGGTCAGAGCTGATCGTGAGGAGAAAACGATCTTCCGCACCAGCCCCAGTTGGCAGTCTACAGGAGAGTGTAAATCAGTGCACCCAAAGGGATGAGAAGCGCACCTTCCATGAAAAGGAATGGTCGTGGGCCTCCTTTGCATTGAACATCACCATCTTGGCGAGACTATATAATTATGATCTCCCCGAGGATCCAAGTGGGAATTTCTGAGGAAACTTACTTGCGAAGCTCAAACGAGAATCTGAACCGGCCCTCTCGGACCCATCTGCAGTCGTTCTCGTTAATATAGAAACAAGATCAGGAAACACTCATTTATGAAAGCCCACTGACTTGCCGTTGACGGCGTTCTCCTTCTCTTCCGCGGTGGGCTTCAGGGGTAAGATCATATCGCGGGAGTAGCAGCTACGCGAGAGGATCCTCACCTCGCACCACAGGTACAAACTCACATACCCACCTTCCCCGTTGGCCGTCGTCCCAGAGTTGGCATAGAACAGAATCTACGTATACCGTAGAACCATACATTGAATGATCAGCCCCTTCATCACAGCCCCTATCATGATGGCTGGCCGAACCTGCCAGCGTCCTCCTCCAAACTTGGCGGACTTCAACACCTTCGACTTTGCATCGCCCTTGCTGTGTCCATGGCTCAGTTCTCTAGGTCATTCACGCGACATGGCAGTGGAATATGTACTAGCCTGGACTCGAAGATGTTCTTCAGCCCGCTTAATGTCCATTCGAACTTGAGCGTCGTGCTTTCCTGGAATTCAGAAGTGTCTGCAGCGCCAGCTGTCGCCATTTCGATTTCGCTAACTCGCTGTCGATACTATGCAAGCTCGATCTAGTAGACTCAAAGCTCAGGCTAAGGGAACCTACTTAGTGGCGTGCCACAAGTACGTAAGTCACGCCAGTGATTGGCCTGTTCAAGTTCAAGTTCCGACTCAGAGACCATGCACGCATCCAGCTGGAAGATATAAGTAGCTTCGTCGCTGGGATTTTTTGCTAACAATCTTCTCATGCAGTGTGAGTCTGGTCCGTGCTTGACCTCGTGGTGAAATATCTCCAGGATTTGCCGGGGTGGGGGCTGCCGTCATATGAGTGCTCATGGTACAATCCGCCAGACGCCACAAGTCGCGACGCCAACAGATTACTACACTCGTAGTTATACCGGTTATCTCGGAGATTTAGGTGAAATCCCAGGGAAATATTCAAATCTCCATACATACTTATCCCTCCGAGAGACTAAACCCCAGCGTCGAACGAGCCTACAGTATCGGTGTAAGAAGTGCAGTAGCGCAGCTTATCGATATTCACGGGGAGCAGCAGCTGAGTACCCATCAAACAAGATAGCTCTTCAGCTTCTGTATGCGCTCCCCCGCTGAGCGCAGCGTCTCCAGGTCCTTGCAAAATGCGAAACGCACGAACCGCTCCCCGATGCCGCAATGCTCGTCGCAATAGAACTGAAACCTGTCAGCGAGAGACAGGAAACTTGCAAGCGGAAGATGCGCACTTCGCTGACGGGTATGGCCGAGACCCCGATTTCATATGCCATAAACCAGCAAGCCCTGCGAATGTATCAATCAGCACACGACCTCGAGATGAACTACTGGTCTTGCGATCCGCCACTGACCGGAAATCTCTGCCGCGGCCTTGTAACATATCCGGGAAGGGATACTCTTCGGGTATTCTCAATTTCGAGATATCCTCAAGTTTGCGCAAAATGCTCTCAGATGGTTATCGAGCACCAGGGAAGTACTCGCTCACCAGAAGCACAAAGTAACTACCCTGAGGCAGCGTATATGGCGCACCCAACCGGTCGAGCGCGTCGCACAACACCGAGCGCCGCTCCTCGTACTCACTGACCTGCGTCTCGAAGTAGCTCCTCGCGCGAGCCTGCTCCAGCCCTACCGCCACCGCGAGCTGGAGCGGAGAGTTGGAGGAGAACACGATCCGCGTGCATGCCGCAAGCGAGGGCCGGATGATGCTCGCGGGTCCGATCAGCCAGCCCACGCGCCAGCCAGTGGCAGAGAAGGCCTCTACGGACGACGAGGTGAGCAATAAATGTAAAGGTAAGTTAGGCTGATCAAGGGAAGCGCAGATGAGATCTTGATCATTGGGTTACTGACTTCCTGCAGATGCGACGGTCACGGTGCGCTCCCACATCCCTGGCAAAGTGCCTATCCGCACGTGCTCGTGATTGTCATAGACAAGGCAATCATACTATCGCATGCGTGAATCGTCAGAGAATACGCAGATCCCAACGGGGCCCGAGGGACGTACGACTTCGTCGGCCATAACCAGCAAGTTGAACTCTTTCGCGAGGGCCGCGATTTTCTCGAGTTCGTCTCTGGTAAAGACCTTGCCCACAGGATTGTGAGGGGTATTGAGGAGGATCATCTTGGTGCGCGGTGTTATGGCGTGTCTTCCCAGTACATGGGTCAATGTATGCTCCAAATTCAAGGAAAGTACACACCGAAGTTCATCGAAATCAACCGTCCAGTCATGCGCTGTCATCCGATCTTTGATCGTGTTGGGGTGAAGAGGGACGTATACGGGCTTGCCGCCGTTGAACGTTATGCACGCCAGGTATTGATCAAAGTACGGCTCGAATAAGATAACCTCGTCTCCTGGCTCTAGAAACGCGACAAACACGGAGTATTGTCCTGCAACAGGTAGCTTTGATTACCACGCGGCGGCACGATTGGTACCAGTGCTATGTACTTGCCTTCGTTCGCCCCACTTGTCACGAGGATCTCTTTCTCGGGGTCCAACTCGCGTCGGAACTGCTCGGAGAAAAACTGTGAGATGGCCTGGCGGAGCCGCACGACGCCCCGCGGGTGGGCATACTGGTTCCCCGAAACGGTCCTGAGCGCGTCGTCCGCTGCGTCCGACACCCACTTGGGCGGGGAAAAGTTCATGTACCCCTGCCCAAGATTGATGCAATCCGGAGGGAGGTTGGCTGCGCTATATAAACAATAAAGCATTGAGGCTGCGTACCGGTGGCAACACTCACTTGAATATTGACCAGACGTCTAAGGCTAGAGCGCGCCCATCGAGTAGGCGGGAGGAAAAGGGGACGGGACCGCGTTCGACGGTGGCTTGGGCACTGGTAGTTTGTGGGGGCATGATGCTGGTGGATTAGATACAGGGGAACAGTCTCAGACCAGACGTACTGGTCTACCTAAAGATATCTGGGCCTGCCACAATCAGATTTAATGAGATTGGACAATGACCGGACGGAGGACCGGAGTTACTCCTTCCGAGTTGGAGACCGCTCATTCTCACGATTTGAGGCGACAAATCGTCACCTGCCACACTGGGTACTGTATGTGCTGTAAGTGAAGTGCAAGGGTCTTCAATTAGGGTTAGTACGAGAGTGCCTATTTGAAGACTCTAGCCAAAGATACGCGTCGAAAAGAGCGTCTACCCGTTGTGGCTACTATTCGAGTTGGTCCATCATGATCTTCCGCAAATATGCGGGTGTGATCCAACAGCCCCCTCGTCCATGTCAAGCTCATAGCATATGAATCACATCGGATTGCCAGGGGTGCAGCATTTCCGACAAACCTAACTTCAGGCAAGGTGGTGAGGGTAATAGGTATGCCGTTCCATAGCCGTAGTGGCCAAGTCGGTGTCGGAGTTATCCGGTTCCGCTTCTACTTTGCACAAGGGAAGTGCCGACTTCAGGTCTGCATCTTTGTCCCTGCTCTGGCTCAGGGCTACCTGCAACGAATTCGAAGTCTACATACTTAGCTGATCGCTGATTTTGATATTACCCTGCTGCTCTTATATCTGTCTTGGGCCTGTTGGCTTTGTAGGTGCTGTTCGCTGACGTTGTGCCGCAGTGGTAACGTATGTAGTGTGGCCGCGGTGGCTGGGATCGGCCAATGCCGGTATGGTGGGGAAATGTAACAGGATCTGGCATATGCATATTATTGTCAACAAAGTACACTCTGTTGGCTTTTGTGCCTCAACTTGAAGCTCTTGGGCTTGGGTCTCCTTGACTTTGCAACTAAGTCAATCTCTCGAGTGCTACATCATGACTTTCCGTCACGTTGTCCTTCGCATCCAGGGTCCTACGTAACTAAGAATACTCACCGCTTGCTGACACTGACTTGATACGCTCGGTCTTGCAGGCTCCTTCGCACGTCATGAACCCGTTCAAGCAAATACAATGCCAGATTAACAGCCGCCCACTCAGGTCTGAAAGCCCTGGCTGTCGGCGATGATTCTGTGGATCTTCTTGGCAGATATGCGGAGTCGGTACTTCACGCTCAAGAGTACCTCCTCCCCGTGGGGTACAGCTATGAATCTGGTTACATTAGGGTTTGATCTATCCATCTGATTCTTCCCCAGCGCTGACTGGCTGGTCAAAGCTTCTCTGATAGTCCTGAGAGCTTATGACTCGGAGCTGTTCTTACCGGTGACTGTCAAGACCCTTCACGAGCTTTCGGGGCCCTCTCGCGTCCTCGGGCTCTATTATACTGCCTCTGAGTAGCTCTTCGCTCTTCATTTGCGCTATCATGATCTCCAGTTACCGCAGAGACAGCCTGCAGACTGAGATGGTCACAATCCAATCTATAGAGACTCTAGCCTAGGGACTGTCTACGATCACATATGGGCGTCACATCTCCCTTGTACTGTCCGCGAGCGCCTGATGTCCAGGGATAAACGCAGTCGGAGGTGGGTCCATGCCTGAACCGAGGACGGTTCAAGCCCTTAGGTTGCCCATCGCAAAGATTTCGAACCTTTTGGGAAGGCGGCAGCGACCGTCAAATCCTTCAAGTTGCTGGTCTAGTCCTGCATGGCTCCGAGGAAGGGGTCTAGGGGCAATGGTGCCGTCTTTCACATGCAGATTTGCAGCTTGCATTGCCACTGGTATTTTGTTCGGAACCCAATCCTCACCCGACTCTCGCGCAGCTGTGATTTATTATACAAGGGCACCCAGCGCCTCCCTGACGACGGTACGGTACGGTGAACCGACATGGGCGACACTATCCCCTTAGCGGAGGCAGTTATTCTCTCCTCGTCTCTAGAGGGTATCCTGTATGGTACGCTAGGCCCGCCCCTTACTGACGGTATGCAGCACTCATCCTAGGCTGGACCCACGACAGGCATCTCGGTGGGCATGTTCGGTTTCACCCTGTGGGCCTTGTTTCCGAAGCAGCGTTCTAAAACAACCACCAATCACGCGATGATATTCGCTGCCTGTGCATTATTCTTGTTCAGCACCTTGGTAAGCTTGCAGTTACTGCACCCCCGGTGGGAAGAGCATAGCATACCTGACTTCCCGACACTCGTAATTACCTAGCACATCGCCGTAAATATCGCGCGCATGATCGTCGCGTTCGTGGGGATTGGCAGCAGCTCCGAGGCCTGGCTGGGTGCCGTGTCGCAGAAGACATACGTGCTCAAGAGCGCCATCTATATCCTGCAGACCTTGACCGGGGACGGGGTTGTTGTACGTCACGCCCCTCCGCCCCGTCGCTCTGCGTTCTTCGCACCACTGATTGATATTGTATTGCCTTCAGATTTACCGCTGCTACAAGGTGTATCGGTCGCCGTTGGTCATCCTGGTCCCGTGCATTCTATGGTGCAGTGTCCTAGGTGAACCGATCCCCATTCGCGGATAGGTGCTTTTTGGCTCATGGCACACCTACCTACAGGAACTGGAACAGGCGTGTTGCGCACATTCTCGACGGCGGACACCAACGTCTTCGCGCACAAGACGACCGTATGGGTGTCCGCCTTCTGGGGGACGACTCTCGCAACCAATCTCACGGCCACCAGTGCGTGTTCCAGTTCCCGCCTTGTTTTCTCCTACTGGACAGGATATATACTAGTGATGCTGGCATATAGAATATGGCGCGTCGACCGCAGCGTCGCCGAGATGCGCCGCGCGTCCTCGCTGAAAGGGGTGCTGCGCGTGGTGCTCGATGCGGGGGCGCTCTACTCGATCACCCTCCTCAGCGCGCTTATACCCTTCATCTGCAAATCGAACGGACAGTACGTCGTCTTGGACATGGTACGTACGCGGATAACCGCAATCTCTCAGCAGCAGATGCTGCTGTATACTTGTACTGACCGCACTCCGCACCCTCTGCTCGTGCGCAGATCACACCGATCATCTCCATCGCCTTCTACATGGTCCTCATTCGCGCGGGCCTGGCCAGAGAATCGGAGACTCTGAAGGGATCACGGAGGCCACTTTCTTCCAGCGTGCGGAGCGCGGATCAGAGTGGGATGGGAGGGAGCGGATATCCCATGCAGCCTCTCGAAGTCCACATCGCGGAGCTCACGGAGACCGATCGGCGTGGAATAGATATGGACACTCCCGGGTCCATTATTAGGAAGGGTACGTGTGTGAAGGTGTCGGACGTATAGCAGTTCCTCTCTTTCTATTTCTCGTTTGGTACCTGTTTCCCGGTAAAGCATCATGGTCGGCACGTATATTACTGTGGCCAGTATGGGGATTAGTTCTCTGGGCTGAATGACTTCAATTTGGGTATGTTTGTGATGGGCCGCCTCCGGGCGTTCTCGTTCGAATGTATTTGGTAGCACAGACTTCGAAATGGTTAGCCTGAGCTCTCGCTCCGAAGGCATTGTGGCGATATTTGGGCCCGGGAACGCCCGCGATCTAGATCCTGACCGCGGAGGCACTAGTGGCGGTGCCACAAACTTCTGTCAGAGTACGTTGGCCTGTTCCAATTCGGAGACCATGCATCCAACTGGAAGATGCAGCCCGCCGCTGATTTCTTTGCCGATGATCTTCCAATGCAGTACGAGTCTAGTCGTGCCTACTTTACGATTCTCCTTTGGGATATGGATTTCTTCTTGTCGGGACGTCCCCAAGTCACGACGACAAAGATATTACTAAAGTAACAGTCATACCGGTGACCACGGGAACTTAGCTGGAATCCCAGGGAAATATTTGAGTCTAATTAAAGGGCCTCCACGATGATTTGGTGACGTTCATTTCATCGCACATCAAGTCCCTCCGTCCGGCTGACGAACAAGGGAATGATTCGGTTTCATTGGGCACGGTAGCCGCATGATTTCGCTCGGAATGCTGATGTTCCTTTGCCACCTTTGCCCCACCTCAGGCAGAGCAATAATAGGTGGGCTTACTCTCCGCCGGCGCGTTATGAATGCTTCTTTACTGATGAGGCCTTGAGGCACGACTAGGACCTATCCTCCTCACCATTTAGTATATTCAAGACTAAGTTAGGACATCAGGAACGCATCGGCTCTGCCCACAGGGCAGCCAGGAGTGGAGACGTCTTCTTTCATGGTTTGCACAGAACTGGTATTCGGCCGTGCATTCTTGATCAGGGCGCTGATGCGGAAGATTGAACCTCGGGGCCTCGGTGACAGTTGCGATGCCCGGCGTATGCTTATACTTATAGACTTGTGCTCCTGAATGAGCACGCAGCAGAATGGCGGACACCGCGACGAACGCCTCTGGAGCACTCAACGTCGAGCCTCTGTCTGCTGTCCCCGACGGACCCTCGAGAAAACTGACGGGATGGCGTGCATGGTGCATGATAGGATCCATAACCGGATCAACGTTTCTTAACGTGCGCACTCACCAAATTCCCTCTGGAACCCATATAAAGCCTTACGCAGGTGTACATATACGGAGCGATCACCGTCGCCGTGCCTAGTATCGGCAAAGACTTGAACTTCACTCAGGCGGATTTGCCGTGGCCTGTGCAGGCGTTTAAGTGCATTGTCTGCCTTCTGCGTAAAGTGCGCTGCTAACCTCTCGCAATTAAATAGCCTCACGTACGGCTGCTTCCTCCTCCTCGCGGGCCGGGTCGCAGACAAGTATGGGCGAAGGAACGTTTTCCTGATTGGGACGGGCTGGTACACCGTCCTGAGTGTCCCGCCGATTTTCTGCCCCGGTAAAAGCATCAGAATGCGTTCCATGAACTGCGCACTTATCAACAGCAGATCCGGTATCGTTCAACGTTATCATGGCTTTGCTCGGTATAGGGGCTGCGATGATGACGTCCTCCGGTAGGTCCCAACATTTGGCTTGCGGCATGGAGTGTTAGTCTCGACATTCTTGTGGAATTCTGCAGGGATGGGCATCGTCGGTGGTACTCTGGAAGGTAAACTGAAGAATAGGGCCATTGCGATCGTCGCAGGAGGTCAAGGAATCGGCTTTGGCCTCGGGCTCGTATGTGGTGCGTTCCAAGTATCCCGGCTCACGCTCCGCAACAGCGCACTCACTTCCCTTCCCGTCGGTTTGATTCGAAGCGGGCTTCTTCTGTGACCTCCACCGCGGCTGGCGCTGGATATTCGTGCTGCAGGCAGGCCTGGGCGCGATATTCGCGGCGCTGGCGTTCGTATCTGTACCTTCGGAGGGTGAGAGGTACGACAGAGCGCTCGACCTCCCCGGAGCGTCCCTATGCGTCGTGTCGCTCCTTCTATTGACATTCTCGCTATCGTGAGTGATTATATGGTACCTACCCCAGTATACCCGTCCAGTCTAACCGCTTCTCAGCCAGTCGCAGAATGTCGGGTAAGTCTTCTCCCCGTCGTGTGGCGTACACGCCCTCACGCACCCGCGCCGCAGATGGAAAGTCCCGTATATCCCCGCACTCTTCATATTATCTCTCCTCCTGCTCGCAGCTTTCATCTACTGGGAATACATCTCGGAGAAGAAGGGCAACTCCGTACTGCTCAACGTCCACATGTTCGCGAACTCGAAGCTACGCGCGTTCTTCGTGCTCATGTTCGCCATGTGGTGGAATTTTAATGTCCTGCAGTACTTCTCCACCGTCTAGTGCGCCCTCTTCCATCCCCCTCCTATCCGTGCAATGACGTAGCGCTGGCAGCTTTCAGGACGTGGAGAAGCTGTCCCCGGTGAAGACTGCTATCTATTTCATCCCGGAAGCTGTGTCGGACTTTGTCGTGAATGTGTCCACTGGATGGCTGGTCGAGCATTTCCCAGGGCAGTGGCTGAACATGTTTGGCATCACAACCAGCATAGTGCGTTTGCATCATCCATGTATATGTATGGCAGCTGACGCACGGACTCTTCGCTTCAACCTCGTCAAGACGGCCTCTGTGCTTTTCGCGGTGATCAAGCCCTCCGTGTCGTTCTGGCAGAACGCTTTCTGGGTGACGGTACTGATGAGTGGGGCCAGTCACTGCGAGGCGCGATGCGTCGTGTCTGATAGACCCGTTTCATTTTCTGCCCAGCTGGCGCGGACACGATATATACCGTCGGGAGTCTTTACGTGCTCACTTCCATGGACGCCCAGTCCCAAGCGCTAGCCGGAGGGCTGTTCCTTACCTTCACCCGGGTACGTGTCTCATCTCGTGTCAGCGACATATTCGCACATTAACCCCGCGACATCGTGGCGTATCCATATTAGCTCGCGACGTCGATCGGCCTCGCCGTCACCAACGCCATCGCGACCGCCGTCTCGCACGGGCAAGTCGACAGCGGGAGCCTGCTGCGGGGGTACCACGCCGCCGGGTGGGTGTGCTTCGCCGCGAGCCTGGTCGGACTCGCGGTGAACGTCGGCGCGCTGTGGACGATCGGGATGCTCGTGCCGAAGGACGAGCCGGGCGCGGCTGTGGAAGAGCGAGAGAAGGACGTGGCGGAGGAGCCTGATAAACTGTGAGTAGTCAGAATACGGTTCTCGAGACGCTGGTGTTGCTGATTGGTGCCCTCGGCGTGTTTGGTAGGACGGACACTGTCAACCTGCGTATCCTGCCCGCTGCGAGCGAGGATGCGCCGCTGGCCCTGGAGGGTCTGGATATCCGGGTGAGGACGCGCAGAGTTAGTATAGCGGAGGCGGAATATACGTGATCTGTCGTCTCTACCTCCACCTTCTCTTGACATCACCCTGTACTCTATATTACGGCTGCTTGAGATTGGTGCCGCGCTACATGGAATATGTACTGTAAGTATATCGACGGAGGTACAAGTGTGGCAGACGGCCCGGTTTCTCAAGGTGTCGGCCGCGTGCAGTCCGATCACATCATTAGCCGGGGTACGCTTCCGGCGGCAAGTTGTGCAGTGCAGCGGTGCGCCTCCCATCCATCCACTGTGACACACACTATCTAGATCCCCCGCCGGACACCGCCTAGTAGTGCAGGACCCGCAGGGCCAGGTCCCCGAGCCCTTCACGCACGACTTATCGAAGGTCCCGCCGACGCAGCTGGAGCGCTGGCACGGTGAAGATCGTCGACTCCAGGTGGCGAGGACGATCGCGGTGGCGGAGGTGACCGTCGAGCTGCACGTGAGTTTTTTTAGCTGTCCCTTCCCTCTGATATCAATCAACGGATGTGCTGCTTCGCCTCGCAGTGGCATCCCACCGAGCCGGAGTGGGACTACCAAGCGGCGCGAGGAAACGCGCGGACGTTGGACGACCAAGCGGGCGGCGTCGGTGCCTCGTTCGCCCTCATCATCTGTCATCGTTTCGCGGCGGATGGACGGTGCCGTTACATCGAGAACACTGGGAACACCACGCTGACGCTCCTCGAGATCCTCAAGACGGGCGCGTTCCTGTCGGCCCATGTATGTTTGCCGGCTTGACTGGTCACTGATCTCGCCGTGTCCAATCGCTACCAGCTGCAGGATACTACCCGTCTCGACCAGGTAAGCCAGTCATGGTCCTGACTTGCGTGCATGGCCAACCGTCATGGCACACTGTGGCTCGCGCTCACCCCACTGGAACTGGTGGCTTAAGGCAAAGTCACCTCTGTTTTCAAGTCAAGTAGGGAGTTGCGTGCAGATATATTACACCCACAATTGTTGTCTGTACCCCCGACTTGGCTGTATGCAGCCGGAGACGGGATGCTGGGGGGAACAAACAACACACTTTGCGTCTTCTTTGCATCTCGACGCTTCGAGAACGAATTGCACTTGGGAGTCTTCAGAACACAAAGGCGGCGCTGATTGGCGGACAGCGATCGACGGCACCCGGCGGGATCCGAGAGCACGTCGGGATCGCGATCGGCAAGGGATCTCGGGCCTCGGCCTGCCAATGAAATCATTTCCTTGTCACTGGCAGTCGATCGTCCGCCGACCTTTGTTTGCGAGTTTCGCGAGTGTGCTGGATCGTCTTGCGCAGAGTATTTTTACTCATAGCCTCGATTGCATGCTCTCTGCGTCTCTGGTCCGCGCGAGAGGCTCTATCCGCCGCAGCATCACCCTCGAATCGCCGGCGCCTCCGTCCACCCCGCACACATCCACCCCCTCCTCCCAGCTTGCCCCCATGTTCAAATACATCTCCGCCGACGTACGCCCCTCCCGCTCCCCTCCCCTTCCCAGCTAACGGACCCGGCCACAGGAACTCGCCGACCTGATCAAGTCCCCCGCCGTCCCCGCGAAGGACTACCTCGTCGTCGACGTGCGCGACGACGACCGCGCGGGCGGGCACATCCGCGGCGCGCACAACGCGCCCTCGAGCGTCTTCCTCGCGCGCGTCGACGAGCTCGTGCGCCGCACCAAGGACGTCCCCACCGTCGTCTTCCACTGCGCGCTCTCGCAGATCCGCGGGCCCAAGGCCGCGAGGGTGAGTGTTTCTCGCGCGTCAGACCCGTGGATGGGTGGCTGATGGATGGGTGGCTGATGGATGGGTTAATAAGATATACGCCGAGACAAGGGACGCGCTGCAGGCGGGTGGCGAGGACAAGCCGCACCAGGTGTACGTCCTCCGCGGCGGGTTCCAGGAGTTCCAGAGTAAATTCAGGGTACGCACGTCTCGTCTCTGCGTGTGTGTGCTTCCGACACTGACCGTGATCTGGTTTACCCAGCACGACCCCGAGCTCGTCGAAAACTGGGACAAAGACGTCTGGGACGTCGAGTACATGTGATGCCCCCCCACCATCAGTCTGCTTCATCCTTTTCACTCTTGTTGTTCCGGGTCTCGGGTTCTCGTGGGGGTTATGATACTGATGACCAGAGCGATGAATAAATTATATCACATTATACATACAATTAATGCAGCATGCTGTATCTCTATGCACGGCGTCCACAATGAACATCCGTATCCATATTCATAGTCTGCAGGATAGGACGAGAGACTCTTGACGCCAGGTCCTTCCACACCGAGCTCACAGCCGCCGCACTACCGCTCACGCGGACCCCTGCCCGCCGCCCTCGCCCTCCTTCTTCACATACCGCCGCGGCATCTCCTCAATCACCTGCTGAATCCGCCTCCGTTCCTCGTTCCTGTTCCGCTGGCATATCGTCCTGCCCGCACACCATCAGCACACCCCAGAGGGAGGGAGGGTCCTAGACTCACCACGTCCCGACAGAGATGAGCACGAACGTCCCCACCGCCCAGTTGCTCGCCACGAACGCGCCTACAGCGGGGAGCGCGTAAGCAATCAAGGAACACCTCCCATCGCGGGACACGACACGACACGACACGACACGCACCGGCGCTCAGCCCCCGCACGGCGCCGACGCCCGCGCCCGCCGCGATCCCGCTGAGCAGACTGCCGCGCGCGCACGGCATCTCGCCGATGTGCCCAAAGTCGTCCGCCGAGAGGCGCTTACTTGCGGAGGGGGGTCAGCGGACATGGACTCCCGAGACGAGGGAAGAGGGAAGAGGGAAGAGGGAGGGTGGGATGGCGGGAGCGCTCACCGACACGGCAGCCTTCACGTCCCCCCAATAGCTCCCCGTCGTCTCCGCCCTGTAGATCGGCCGCTTCGCCGTCGACGGCAGCGGCACAAGCGCCTTTTCCTCCTGCGCTGATTGCTGTTGGTTTGGCGAGGATGGGTCGGACATGGAGGTAGAGTACAAGTTCGGGCGAGGAGCAGGCTGGAGCAGGAAATGTAGACTTCGGGTCAGGTTTCCCACGCTCTATGGCTAGGGGTTGCGATCGGTTTTCATGCATCTCACTGGCTCTGTGGAGAGGCCCTTTAACGGAAGGGACACATAGGCATGGGACGAGCTGATTTAAATTTATTGTGGATGTAGAAATTATATTCAACTCCTTTTCCCCCAGCGCCCCCTTCCTCCTCCTGCTCCTCCCCGCGCCTACTCCTTCGCCACCTCCCTCGGTGCGACGTGTTCCTGCCAAAGACCGCGTCAGCCACGCGCCCCGTCGCACAAACGGAGCAAAGACAGCACGCACCGCGGCGCCCGCGCGCGCCTTGCCCATCTTCGTCGCGCCCTCCTCCTCGGGGCTCTGGAACGTGCCGCTGCGCTTCTGCTTCTCGCCGAGGCCCTTGTCGCTGACGGGCACGTCGCCCTCGGCCTCGGCGGGGTCCTTGCCCGGCTGGTCGCTCGGCGCGCGCTCGGCGGCCTCGGCGGAGCTCGACGGGGCGGAGGTGGGGTCTTCGCCCTTGGCCTGCAGGGGTGCGGGGCGGGTGAGCGAGCGAGCGAGCGAGGAGGGAGGGGGAGGGGGAGAGAGGGGATGCGTACCTGGGCGGACTCGGCGCGCCCGGCGTCGTTCGGCGAGTTCGAGGCCTGTCACGCGTCAGTCGACCAGCCCTACCGCACCAGAAGAGACGAGCACGCGAGACGCACGTAGGCCTTGTCCATGCTGTCCTTGACCTCCTGCTCGGGCACCTCGGTCCCCTCGTCGTCCGTCGTCGGCGTCGGCGTGCTGGGGCTCTTGTCCGTGAAGCCGGGGATCGTCTTGGGCGCCTCGTGGTGCGCGACCTGCGCTTCGCCGTGGTGCTTCGCGTGGTCCGTGCCCTTGGGCGCGAGGAGGTACGCGGCCTGGGTGCGTGGCTCGCGTCAGCACGGGCGCACGGAGGAGAGGAGGGGGCTTACGGCGCCGCCGAAGACGACGGTGGACCCGACCTGCGGGCGGGCGTGAGCGGTGAAATTGGGCGGGGGAGGAGGGGAGGGGACGCACGATCCAGGGCACGTCGCTGGACTTTGCGGCGGTCTTGGAGCCGGGGGCGACGGCCATGCCGCGTCGCGGGGCGCGGGAGGCGAGGCGGGCGACGTGGGCTGCTGTTCGTGACGCGAGACGCGAGGCCATTTCTGCTGAACTGGAGATAATAGAAGGGTAATAATCACCGCTGGAAAGTATTTCAGTGAGACGTTCGTTTTGATGACGTTGAAGCGTCGGGGCGCACCGGCTCGCCGCCATCACTGACGTCACCGATGCTCTGTGTCGGGCACGCGGCTTCAACGTGTTCTCCTCGCATCTCCTGCAGCGAACCGCGAGATCTGGATAAAGATGGGGGACGATACGACGCGTCCAACAACCAGAGCCAGCGACCAGCCCGACATATGATGCGTCTAAACAGCTCCGGTACGTTCTTGCCCTCGCCCAATTCATCCATCCACTAATCCCCACCCAGGCCAATCCGACCTCTCCTCCGTCCGTCCCTCCCACTCCCGCGTCCGCCCGGGCCGCGCCACCACCGTCGCGAGCAGCGTGCCCCTCCGCGACGACTTTGACGCCTACACCTACGCCTCCGGCCCCGACCCCGACGAGGTCTACGACGACCAGCGCCGCCGCTTCGTCTCCTACCACCGCGCCGAGATGGGCAACATGCTCGGCGACGGCGAGAGCGCGCTGTCTCACGCCGACGGCGTCGAGATGGAGGTGTACCAGCACCAGCCGCGCCACCCCCGCCAGCTGGGGCGAGGAAGGTCAGCGGCGGCAGGAGAATTGGCGACGAGGGCACGATGGAGTGCGTCGGGCGGCGGTACACCGCTACGACGGGCGCGGGGAGCAGGAGGGCCGAGGGCAGCCGGCAGCTGCGCGAGCAGCGCTACAAGCTCGTCGAGCGCAAGATCCTCGAGGACGGCCCGGAGCGCACCGTCTCCGTCTGGCGCGAGGAGGTCGCCAAGAGCGATTGCGACCACGACGACGACGACGAGAGGGAGTTGGGCAGGGAAGAGGAGGTGCAGGAGGAGAGGCCGCTGAGCGACGTCGACAGCCACGCGCACCGCAGGCTCGAGCTGCACCGCGGGCTCGGGCTGCCATACGGGGCCCTGCGCCCCGCGAACACCGGCAGCACCGGGCGGATGCGCTCGCCGTCCGGCGGGAGCCAGTCCGCGCCCTGGGAGCGCGCAAAGGTCCGTACCGCCTTTCCTCGCGATTCCCTCGGGTATTGACGCGCCTGCGACAGATGCAGTCCCCGCACCGCACGGGCGCGTCGTGCACCACGCTCCCCTCGCCGCCGCCCTCCGACCCGCCCTCGCACTCCACCGGGCGCCCGCGCACCGCCTCCCGCCCGCGCTCGCGCACGCCGTCCTACGAGCTGCACCCGCCGCGCGCGCACTCGCCCTTCCGTCCGCCCACCATCCCCGCCCACACTCCCCATCCCAATAACCCTTCCCACCTATCCCACCCCACTATCCCCTCGCACACGTCCCACATGCACGCCCAACACCCCCCTTCCTCCTCGCCCCCGCCCGCACTCACCCTCCCCGCCCTCCTCTCGACCCCCACCCCCCCGCTCACGCACCTCCTCCCGACGCTCGCGCGCCTCGGCATCACCGCGCCCGCGCACCTCGCCGCGCTCGCGCGCATGGGCGAGGACGTGCGGGATAGGGAGGTGCGGGGCGTCGCGCTCGCGGAGGGCGTGAGCGTGTTTGAGTGGGCGTGTTTGGTGGATCTGGGGCGGGGGGTGGAGGTGTAGAGGAAGGGGTGGCGGGGTGGCACAGGGTGTGTGTGTGTGTGTGTCTGTACGCTTCATTTTATGTAGGCTCGTGTGTATGTGTATGTTAGCCCCTAGCCGTCGGGGCGGTTCATGTGTACTTTGAGATTTCGTTCTGAGGGCTGCCGATGCTACTCAATGGCGTGTGGCAGACCACGTTGTCTGTCGCCCGCGGCGAGAATGTCGTGGCCACAGAACACAGAAGGCCCAGGTTGCCATATCGACAGCAGCACAGTGCCAGTAACGTGCATATCCTACCACGATGTCCTACAAGGAAAACAGGCGGACGGGTGAGCTACTAGAGAAGCGCAGGGAGCTTCCCCTCCTCGTCTCCACATCCACATCATCCTCAGCGCCCCCGGCCCCGGCCCCGGGCGCGCGCGTCTCGAGCACATAGCGCCTGGGACGTCAGGCAGTCGACGACGGTGCTGCTCGCCGCCCTGCGCGTTTGGGCGTCCTGGCGCGTGACCGTGCGGCCGATGAGCGCGGGGCCCGTTCCCTCCGACACGCCGCAACGTCCTCCGGCGTCTGGGGCCCGCGCCAGTGACGTTCCTGTACCTGTATGCCCTCACGGTGAGAGGTGAGAGGTCGGCACTAGTAGGCTGGACGCGCCCACATTTTCTTCCTCACTTCCGCGTACATCAGCCCCAGCTGCCGTTCGTTCATGTCCCTGAACTCGCGGAAGCTGATCGCCCCGAGCGCAGCGTTCGCCGCGACCCCCCCCCCCCTCGGGAACCACGCCGCGAAACTGGGGATTCATCACATGCGCGGCGTTCCTGTCAGCGAAGGGACCCAGGGATAGTTGGCAGACCGTAAAAAACACACTCGTTTGTCGCACGCGCACAGGCCGACGTCGCGCCAAAACTTCGCTAACGCCTCGGCGTTCTGAGGGGAAGGGATTGTTTGAAAGGGATGCGCCGACCACCGGACGACCGCCTCGTCGTAGTGCGGCTTCACTTGCATGAAGTCGTGGTTGGAGATGGCTGGCGGAGGTCTGCATGACGGCCATGTAGTGCGCAACGCGCTCGACGAAGCCCTCGGTGGATGGCGCGGCCATGATGGAGTCTGGTGAGGATGTGGAAATTAGTCAGGGGCGTGCTGGGAAGCCATTATTGTGGCAAGATGTGGCTGAGGGATCGCCCGCCGCGATCTGGATCGTCGCCGCGGAAGCACCGGTGGCGGTGCCGAACATCATTGGCCTATTCCAACTGGAAGACATGCATTGACCTCCAGGATGTAGTCTGGTCGCTGCTTTCGTCGTCGACGATCTCACAACACAGTCTGAGCCCTTATTGTGCCCGACTACTTGTGCTGCCTGACTCGGTATAAGCCAAAATGACGAAGCTCCCTACTCACTCGTATTCGGAACGCAAATCTTGGTACCAACATACAACCCCCAGCGGGAGGAGTTGGATTCAACATACCTGCGGGGAATTTCTCATACGAAGCCCAACTTGAAAAGTGCCGGCGCCACGAGATTGAGGGAAATTCAGTAAATACGGCCCGGAGTGAGTCTAATGAAGATATCATAACCGAGCTACAAATAACACTTGTGGGTATATAATGAATCTACATGCAATGACCTCCCTATTTGACTACTAGTACCGTGAAAAAGGATGGGACTTCGCATTAATGACCGACGATGACCGGCTTGACCTTCTTCAGCCCCGCAATAGTCTCGTCGGACACGCCCAGGTGTGCCTTGACCAGCTCCGGCGGGGTGAGCGCGAGCCACTGTGTGCGACGTCAGCGGTCAGCTGGGGTACTTGTGAAGACCTTGGTCTGGAGGGCTTACCTGGTTGAGGCTGATATCTTGGTAGCGGTCTAACGCGCAGGAGTCAATAAGAACGTCCTGTTTCGCACTGAGGGTAAATTGAATGATACGCACCCGTCTTGAGGATCTCGAGCAGCTTCAGCGTGGTGTTCCCGGTGTTTTCAATGTAATGTCCTGCCCCACCGATGTCAGCGATACTGTCCATCCGTCGCGGAACCCCGGGGACTCACCATACGAAGGAGGGATGTAGGCTATAGACAGTTGAATCAATCGGTTAACTGGGCGATGACACATAAGGAGGATGAAGGGCACGCACCGACGTCGCCCGCCTGGTAGTCAAACGTCCGCGCGTTTCCCTGCGCCGCGAACAGCGTGATGCGCGCCGTGCCCTCCCTACCCCCTCTAGTCAGCTCCCGACTCTCAAAGCGCAGGTGCAAGTGCAATCAACCAAGACGTACAGGAAGTAATCCCACTCCGGCTCCGTAGGATGCCACTACACAGATATTAATAACCAGCACAACCGTTTATCAAAGGGACGCGAAGGGATAAGCAACTTACGTGCAGCTCCCGCATCGCACCCGGCTCGACGGTGACCTCCGCCACCGCGATCGTCTTCGCTACCTTGAACGCCGTCGAGTCGACGATCTTCACCGTCCCGCCCTCCAGCTGCGTCGGCGCGACCTTGGACAGCTCATAAGTGAAGGGCTCAGGGACCTGGCCTTGGGGATCCTCGACGGGCTGGCGGGTGTCTGGCGGGGGATCTGTATTGTGTAGAGTATGATGGGCGGTTAGTGGGTTGTGAGTGAAGGGGGTGGAGGGGGTGGGGGAAGCGTACCGCTCGGAAAGATGTACAGCTCGTGCTCGGGGATGTGGTCGAACGCGGACATGGGCATCTGGAAATTCTTCGCGATCACTTCTTTCGGGACGTGCGCGAGCCAGTCCGTGAGCTGACGGAGAAGAGTTCAGTAAGATAACAGCCGGTACGCTCGACTGGAACGCCGTACTCACCAGGAACGTCGAGCCCTCGTTGAACGTGCCATTATCAAAGACCTATCACGGACCAACGTTAGTATGCTGAGTGTTCACCCTTGCACCTCAGAAACAAGGGGCGCATTACCAGCAGGAATTCAGCGCCCTCGGGGTCGTCCGCGGTCGCTTGCAGGGAGTGCGGGATGCCCGGCGGGAAGTACCACAAGTCGCCTGCGTTCTACAATTTACGGATAAGTAAGCACAAAAGTCTCCGAGTGTGATCCGCTGTCAGCTGGTCCTTACGATCGTAGCGAGGTAGTTCTGTCCGTCGGGGTTGATGGCGCTGACCTGCATCGACCCCTGCCGTGGCACACTGTCAGCTGAAGGACGAGCGGAATATAGAGGAACTGGAATGTCTACCTTGATCACGTACGACCACTAAATAGGGAAAACCGCTAATGAGTTAGAGAAATTGAGCGGATCGTGGGCCACGTACCTCGGCGCTTGTGTGCCAGTGCAGTTCACTTCGAGCGGGTCAGGTATCATCGAGCTTGCGTGAGGGGGTCAGGCTTACCGTATGGCGCCTGCTTCGAGGCGCATGTTCACTCCAGCGACCTCTAGTGGGCACACTGAATTAGCGATCGCTCAATGAATAGTAGAAGCCACTGCACGTACCCTTTGCGATGGGCAACACATCCACTACCACCGAGCCAAAGGCATAAGCTTGGGATAGAAACGAAGGCGGGCCGGACTTGCTTACCGTTTTGCTGACGCGCCCACCCGCCGGTCTGCAGCCGGTTATGGCTCAGCGCGAAGGGCCACTTCGCATTGGGCCTGCGATAAGGAAGGCACATCAATCACGAACATGTATTTAGCAGAGCTGCGTGTACTTACACGTTCCCCTGGTCCGTAGTGGGCGGTGCGAGCAAATCCGGGTTTTCCTGCGCACTGCCAGAAAGTCAGCTTCGTATTTCGGTCCTCCGAGCCGAGACTGTATCAGCTTACACAGGCACATTGTGTGGCCCCAGAACGTTCGCGCCCAGCTTCCCTCGGATAGGCTCGGGCGTTGACGCAGCCGTGTCGTTATACAACTGATAGTTCGCGTCGTCACTTGCATAAGGCACAGTAGGACTCTCCTGTACTGCAGAACTGGTCGACGTCCCGGCCGGTGCGCTATACGCGCAGGCAGCCAGAGCCAAGAGTATGTGAGTCGCCAAAAGCTTGACCATGTCGACTCAGAGCTCGCAGGGAGGGGTGCGCGTCGCACGAGATGGTGGACGTGGACCATACTGGCGGGGTCTTATATACCGTGCCAGAAGACGAACTGGTGGCTGACCGAGGCTGGCCGCGATCCCAATCCTCCGTGCCAGCCGGTGCCAGCCTCTAACCTATGACGACAGTGTCAGCCGCTCGATCGCAAAGAGCATTGGCATGCCTTTAGTGAATGTCAGCCACTTGCTCGCCGCCAACAAGTTCACGCATGCCGTAGGTTGGTGTCGCATAGGACCGAGGAACACATCTGACTCCACGCAACGCGGATAGGGTCGCTTAAATGATATACAGTGGATCACAAAAACAAGAACATCGACAACATTAGAGAGACATTACGAGTACATAAACGGGCGACGACGCTCAATCCTCTGACTTCTTCGGCTTTTTCTTTGGAGGCTCGTCCTCCTCTCCCTCCTTAACCTTTGGTTTCGGTTTCGGCTTCGGCCTGGACGTCGAAGGCTCGTCCACGTCCATGGAAGCGTCATCCTCTTTCTTCTTAGGCTTAGGCTTCGGCTTTGGTGCGGATTTCTTGGGTTTGTCCTCGTCGGCATCGCCTTCCTCGGCTTTAGCTTTGGACTTCTTCTTCTTGCCTGCACCGTCATCTTTGGCCTTCCCTTTGGCTTTCGAGCCCTTGGGCTTGAGGAAGTCGCGGTCACCGCTGGCGTCCGACGCAGTAGCGGCGCCCTCGCTATCAGAGTCGCTCTCTGAAGGGGAGCCAGCGTCGTCTTCCGACATCGCATAGTCCTCGTCTGGTACGACAATCAGCGTGGAGCTCGTCACGCAGCAAGAACGCACTCACCCTCGGAACTCTCCGAGTCCGCACCTCGGCTCTTAACAACTTCGTCGCCACTGCCGATACTCGCCATCTCCTCATCCTCATCATCTTCACCAGCTCCGGCAAGGAGATCGACGTCTTGCATCATCTCGTTCTTCACTCGGACCTTCTTGTCCTTCAGATACGTCTCAGTTGGCTCGTGCTCCTCCTTATTTATAGATGTGAAGGTGTACTCGGGTCCGCTCTTTGTGACGATCTGAATGTCGAATGTGCGGGCTGCCATGCCTTGCCCAAGACGTGAGAAGACGACTTGATGGATATCACTGAGTTCGATAAGAACTGGCGATTTCGAGACGAAGAAGATATATTTCTCGAGGATGAAGAGATCGCCTTGCACCGCTTTGAGATTGGCTTTGATACCAGGGTGGCCATCTCGACTGCATCACGATTAATACTCCACATCAGCTATTTCATGGACTGCTGACGCACCTCGAAAAACTTCCCGCACCCACAATCTTCTTCTTCGACAGAGCACGGAAAACGCTTGACACAACCTCGAAGGTAGGATCTTCGTAGCTCTTCTTGAGACGATCATATTGTGCGACCTCCTCTCTATAACACGTATTATTATTATGTGGTACGGACATTCACGATGATGAGTCACGTACTCGGTCATGTTCAGCTCAGCCGTTATCTCCTCTTCCCGACTAAATTGCATGACCAAGTATTGGTACCTGGTCTGACCTTGCCGGATTGGGGTGCTAAGGGCCAGCTGTGCCATGGTCAGAGAAAACTTCCCAGGAAATCTCTTGCGTGACTTACGATAAACAGGACGTGAAGGTCATCCTTAGGAAGCAGGAATAGTCGGGAGATACTCGAGTAGAGGATTTTGTAGTCGTACGTCTTGCCACGTAGTCGCAAGAAGTCGGGGAACATGTCCATATCGTAACGCCCTCTCGGGGTCAGGACAAGTACCTCCTCGAAGCTAACAATTAGGTCGCCAGTAACCTCGCCCAGTTCGGCCTTCTCCTTAACGGCATCGTGGAAGGCCTGAGCTGCGCTCATTTCCTCCCCTTCATCCTCAGCGTCTGACTTTTGCGAACCGTCTTCTGAGCCGCGAGGCCCTCCCTTGGTCGTAGTCCCAGGGATGTAGAAACGGATCTCGACCATCTCGTCGGGCGCATGTTTCCTCGGCTTTTGGTTGCCATGGGCGAATTCTAACGAGACTTCGGTACGGCCGGCTATGTTTGAGTTGGCGACTTGTTGTAATGGCAGCTCGAAAGCTGTCTTGTTTGACACCAAAAATGCAAGATCTTGACCTATTTAGGGGATAGGAAGAAGTATCAGAGATTGCGCTGGTGATAGTATGAGCAGCCACGCACCTTGGACATCCGCCACGCCCCAGTTCCAGCCTTTGAATGTGACGTCCTTGGTTTCGAGAGTGATACCAAAGTGCTGTTTCATCAGGCCTGCCACTTTGTCATGATCCTAATATCCCCCACTACTCAATATCTCTCGCACTGCGCCCGTGACTACGAAAACTTACTTCTCTCATGAACCCGTCAAATGTCTCTCGTCTCCTATCCTTCAGACCCACTCGCAACTGGAAGTTCCTCGCTACTCGTAGCCATTGTGCCCATTTGATGTCTGGTCCGGAGATCGCCACAGTGGTGTCGCCGTCTTCTGCTCTCCAGGCCATACCGCTGGCCGCAACACGAAATTCTGTCCAACATTCCAGTCAGAATGGAAGCTCCCTGGAACGTTCAGTTCACGTACTTCCAACATTGGTGTCCAGACCGTGATAGATACGGTCGAATTGCGTAGTCATGGTCGCAATCGAGTAGGTAGAGGACGGAGATGGAGGTCAAGGTGCAAGCGTGAGCTCGACGCGTCTCGGCAATTTGAGGCGCGTCGGCGGGCTCGGACGCGGCAATGTCCATACAGGTACTTACGGTAACCCGGCACACGAATTCAGCCTTGCGACTCTGCTCTTGCCTTCATTCTCTGTCCTGGCTGTTGTGACCATCTCGATATCCTGGTCTCGCGTTTGATACCTGTTGGTTCCACAGGGTCTTTACGACGGCTCGCGATTTACAGGTTTCGCGCTTCCTAGCCACTTTCGGACGGATTCATGGGGGAATCGCTGGAGGCGCGTTCCAGAGATGTACAGGAGAGAACATTTTGTAAATGGTACAGAGCTACGCAGATGTTCTATTGTCCGGACTAAGTGGTTTGTATGGAGGCTTAACACGAAACTTGAGTCGGCGGGATACCCTCCGATGACTTCCTTGGTCAAGGATCTTTCTGACGGAGTTCGACTCATTCAGTTAATGGTGAGCTGCTTTCGATGTTATAGCTTGTTATAGGTTGACGTCTCTGACCCGGAATTTGTAGGAGATCATGGGTATGGCTACCCCTTTGTGTGCCACAGGATGCAGCCACTTGACTATATAATACCAGGCGACGTTTCGCTCGGCCGATACAACAAGAATCCTCGTATGCGTGTCCAGAAGGCAGAGAACGTGAATAAAGCCCTGGAGTTCATCAACTCTCGTGGAGTGAAACTCACGAACATCGGACCTGAAGGTACGTCCACTGTAGCTCCCGTCCCTTCACATTGTGAGGCATACGCATTCCGTAGACATCATCGATGGAAACTTAAAGCTTATACTTGGAATGATATGGACGCTCATCTTGCGCTTCACCATCGCGGATATCAGGTTCGTCCTGCGGACTTTCCACGGGCGAGCTGCCCTGAAAGATTCCAAGTGAAGAAGGTCTCTCTGCCAAAGAAGGCTTGCTCCTCTGGTGTCAGCGCAAGACGGAACCGTACAAAGAAGTCGACGTGCAAGACTTCTCTCTCAGTTGGTCCGATGGACTTGCTTTGTGCGGCCATATGAATTCGTCTGCGTGTGCAGCGGCTAAATGGCGCATTCCCACAGATGCGCTCTGATCCATTGTCATCGACCCGATCTACTAGACTATGATAGACTGAATAAGGTCTGTTGCCCATTGTTGAAGGTATCCTGATGGAAGCTGACTGCTCACTACTAGTCGGATAGGCATGGGAATACTCATCTAGCATTCCAGGTTGCATCAGAACATCTTGGTATACCTGTGAGCTCGATCGATTCCGCACACCATCTTGACACTCACGGATCGATCCCCATCTAGCAACTATTAGAAGTAGAGGACTTGTGCGATAGCAGCAAGCCTGATGAGCGGAGTGTCATGACATACGTGGCCAGTTTCTTCCATGCTTTCTCGTCTATGGGTGAGTAGACGTTCTGACTTCCGCAAGGACGCTTACTAAGCGGATTGAATGCCTGCCGATACTTTCAGAACAGACAGAGACGGTGTCTCGGAGAGTAGAGAAGTTCGCTGATTTGATGCAGTCTGTCTGGACAAGCAAGAACGACTACGAGCGTCGCGCGAGGGCTGTAGGCCTTGTTCCACTAGTGTCCATCTAAAGCCATACTGAACATCCTACAGCTGCTGTCTTCCCTGGCGGATATCCAAATGGAATGGGACTCGGCGCGATTTACTGGGACGTACGCGGACGCGAAAGAGCATTCGGCCAAGTTCACGACGTATAAGCAGACGACCAAACGCCAGTGGGTCACAGAGAAGCAGGACATTGCCACCCTCTTCACGAATGTACAGACCAAGCTGAAAACGTATGGGCTACGGGAATACGTACCTCCACCAGGTTTGACACTAGGGGTATGTCTTGGTGATCGTTATACTCCTTGATGGTTAACACAGCATACTGCTCTTCCGCAGGATATCGATGCCGCATGGAATTCTCTGCTGACTGCTGAGGCACGACGCAGTAGAGCTATCAATGCGGAGATCCGCGAGTAAGTTTGTCTTCGAGATATGTCATCAAAGTATTGTTGACAACCACAAGGATCAAGGAAGCCCTGAGGAAGAAATTTGCCGCGCTTGCTAACGATTTTGCTAAACGATTGAATCACATCTCATCGGAGTTGGCTGGCATAGACGGGCCCCTGGAGGTAAGCACGTCTGAGCCTCATGGTATCACACACCTTCAAACCATTTGGGTCTATAGGAACAGCAGGAACAGGCGCAACGGCTGCAAACTCGCATCCCTTCACTATCGGAAGCCCTCGATGCCGTATCAAATGCTGAGGCCGAATGTCTTGCCGCCAATGTCGAGGAGAATGATTACACGATCTTTACATGTCAGGATCTGCAATTTGAGCTGGAGCTGCTCATTCAGAGTATCGCGAAGAAGATCGCTTTCATTGACAATCAGGTACTGTACCCACTGAGACTTTGTCCAGCAAGGGTTGACTATCTTTGGACAGATCGTCTCCCGGAATATGTCAAATCTAACACCGGCGCAGCTGGAGCAATTTGAGACCACATTCCGATACTTCGACAAGGATGACTCCAATACTCTCAATCAAGCCGAGATGGTGGCAGCGCTGGCTAGTCTTGGCATTGTCTACTCGGTAAGCAGATCCCTGCAGCGAGCATTCAAGACTTGCCTGACACGGGCGGTCTCGATAACAGGACGAAGATATGGATGTGATCTTCGACCAGTTGACTGAGATGTACGGAGCCATCACGTTCGAAGCGTTTATCAACCTTCTGGTTGGTCCCAGTAAACCCGTATCGAGAATGTATGACTCAATCTCGCCCAGGTTGACATTACGGAAGACCAGACTTCGCCAGAGCAGCTGCGCGAAGCCTTCCGAGGAATCGCTGCGGATAAGGTGAGTAGTCCAGCACCGCTGCGTCGGGATCGGTGTCTCAGCGTCTCTTTTTGCGTAGCCTTTCGTTACGGAGCTTGATTTGCGCCTGGCTCAACTCCCGGTGAGCGCGATCGAGTACCTCCGGCAGGTTATGCCGTCACAGAAGAACGAGACAGGAGAGGACGGATTCAACTATGAGGAATGGCTTGATTTAGTGTTCGAGTAAATCTTGGGGGTTCAGGGCATGAAACACAGTAGAATAGAACATGCTTAATCGTACATGTAGTGCAAGCTGCACACGTCGTCCTTGGCCTGAGGAAACCTGTGCCTGCGGCGCGGTAGCTCAGTAACCAAGAGGGACGGTCACGTGAAGATAGAGGCACTGGCAATCGCCGTTGTCGGCCATCGCGATACCGGAAATGCTTTATATCGCGTACAACACATCTTGTTCAACTTCTAGTCTTTGACCGCGTCTACTTCACCGCCGTCGCTCCTATCTATTCTATCATTACTTGCTGACCAGACAATATGGCGAGTCGATATCCGATCTTTGTGTGGATGCGCTCTGAACGGTTGATCTTGGGATCACTCCTATTCACAGGCATCCGGTGTCGGAGTGAACCCCGAATGTCTCGAGGCCTACCAGGAACTCAAGTTGCGCAAGACGATGAAATACATAATCTTCAATTTGAACAAGGACAACACGGAGATCATCGTTGAGAAGAAATCGGATTCAAGCAACTACGAGGAGTTTTTGGCTGACCTGCCGGAGAACGAGTGCCGATGGGCCGTGTACGACTTCGAGTACGAGAAGGAGGGTGGTGGAAAGAGGAACAAGCTTTGCTTCATTGCCTGGTTAGTCCTGTAACCTGGAGCCTCTGTAGATTGACTCGCTGATCGTGCTCGTGTGCATCGCACCTGCTGCGTGCAACAGGTCGCCCGATGATTCAAAGATCAAGCAGAAGATGTTATTCGCCTCGTCGAAAGATGCGCTTAGGAAGACGCTAGTTGGTATCGCTGCTGAGATTCAGGGTACTGATCCCAGCGAAGTTGCGCAAGAAACGGGTTAGTGATACCCTCATCCGATCACCGTATGTATCTGGTGAACTGAATAACTACGTTTCATAGTCGTGGACAAGCTTCAGCGAGGCAACTAGTCTGGCGTCTGGTCTTCTCCGCCACGCGATCCCGTCCCTGCATCACCCTTTCATTCTGCGTCTCAAATATTTAAATCGATTCCTAGGAACGAGTCCGTGAAGAATAACAGAAGTTTTGTAGAATTGAAGTCGGACTGGAGGCTCTCTTTTACTTTCCATATATCATGACATCATGCTGGCAGACGTAATGGAACTAATGTCTACCCGAACGTCCTGAGTCGACCATGTTGTAATATCCTCATAAGTGCGCCCTTTACCGTACTTCCGGCGCCAATGCTGCCCTCCTTGACCTTGTCATGGTTCCCAAACATATCATAGGGGAGTTACTGCCATTCACATACGCACCGTGGGTCCTAGGAATGACACTTGTCTGTGTGGAGAAATAACTGGTAGATGGTAAGCCAGAATTTTGGTCAGGGGCGAGGCTTGATTGCTGCGCGATTACGCTTGACTGGTACCGATTCTCCGAAGTACTCCAACTTCCTCGTACATGCATTGGCGACGTCGGCAATCACGTAGATCTTGCAAGTGCTCTGAGAAGAAGCACACTGTAGCGGGCAGCCGGGTTAGGGTCAGGCGGCACCGACCAATTGGACAGACACGTTTGCAAAGCAGGGAGGCGACCTCAGCACTGATTGCTTACATTGATTTCGGAAGTTAGACAACCTGTGGAATGGCAGATACCAAGTGTAGTTTGTATCTGATAAACATGTCGAGCGGCTCCCAGATATTGTGTGTACGTGGAATATATGCGACACCTAGGACAGGGCTAGCGAGCGAGCCAGCGCTGAAGTACATCGGAAGGTGAGAGGGTCTTGCTAAATGCTTCATAGATGATTACCTGACGATACTGACTCCGTCGACGGTAGACCTGTCTCCAGCACGAATAATGAGGGTTATCCAGCAGCGGCAACGGCGGTAACGCTCCAAAGATGATACTTGCCATCTCGTCGTACTAGAAGGTGTCATAAGTAAGGAAGGACTGGATTGCTTCTCCGACCATACCCTGGCTGCGCAACACACAACGTACCCTGAGCAGAACTGACACAGGGAAAACCCGTTAGGCAACACGAGGTGACAGCCTAGCGGTGACGATTCTTCCCCAGGCGCTCGGACAGCTTTGACCCACCTCTAGCTCGGCGACCCCTCCGTCCATTCCTTCCATCTTGAGCCGATAGGATCATAAGCTCTTGGTAGCACCGGGGACATGGCTGTCCTAGCGAATTGACATGTCTCAGCAATAATAAGCCGGACGTACCCTTGAAGGACGAGTAGCCACAATCCTGGATGGCTCGCCCATCCGCAAGGACATTGAGCAGTAGAGTCGTCCTTGACGATGGATCGAGCTAGGTAGGTGAAAGGACGGCTTTAGAAGTGTAGGAACAATACTAAGGACTCTCTGGCATGGCAACTTTAACGAGGACGTTGCGACGGGGAGCCGTATAATTGCATCTGATCCCAGGACCACCATTGAATTACGAATCGGAGGGTACAATCAACGGCTAAACTGTAAAAGAGATATGAACAGCATGTCGAGGAGAGATTCCAAGACATCGTGACCAAACAGGGAAAGCATCCACAACGCACTCGGAACGTTGCGCCAGGCTTCTAATGCAAAGATGCCACGCCATGAGAACGTTTGAAGTGGCATATCGGACCGATGCGAAGATGCCACTTGATCGTTCCCACCCCAAGGCCTATGACTTCCGGAGAATACAAGGTTGACGACATGGTCTACCCAAGTCTTGGACTTCCAGAGCTTGCGGCCACAGGGTCGTGCTCGTCGAATAAGGAAGCCCTAGGGTATACAGGAGCAAGGCTGCTTGATGGACAAGTCGCATGCTTAGCGGCAGACCGTGTTACTGGCACCAAACGGGACAACGTCACGCAGCACTTGAACAACGCCGGAGGCCAGAGTGACATGATATCAGAAGATGCAGGGTATTTTACACGCCTCTCGTGAGAAAACACAGTCTTGAGGCTCGAAACATTGGAATCCAGGGGTGTGGACGAATACCTTGCCAAAGCAACGCAATTACCGTGAACGATCGTGCAACGAGGTGGATTTTGACCGCCTAGATCCCTGGCAAATCTTGAGCCAATGACTCGGACAAAGATTGGTAACGGCACGCCACGAGAGTGAATCAAAAGCTTACTATATTTTGCCAGTGGAACGGTTGCGAGACAGACTTGGGAGCGAGGCTAGATGGGGTCAAGGAAAGCTCCGAATGTGACTCCCCTTGACGCAATTACGACACAGTCCAGCCGCAGCCAGTTCTACAACGGGTACATCGACCTGCGGACGGACAAGTGTCGCACTCATCAGTTCGGGTGTATTCCTGCTCTTGTTTGTGTACGTTCAGAGCAATGTTACTGTATTCCACAACATTGCTGCAGCAGGGATATCGTTCTAGGGGCCTAGCTTCCATTCCACGTCAGGATTTGATACGTGATGCAGACCGGTCGCCTTTGCGTCCATCGCTTGGTCTGGTTGGCTGCTCAGGGCCACACAGCCCGCGACAGATGCCGGCATGGAAGAAGTTTGGTTCGCTCCTGATCATCGGCGATACCCAGAGCAGTTAAATACCTCGCCGCATATGCTACTCGGGATCACAAGGATCTAGTGCCAACGGAGAAATAATTTTGAGTGAATGTGAGTGCTCGGTACCACTCAAACGATGGCGAGCGTATCAAGCGGTGGAATAGACACTTCTCATCATGGACGTGACACTTCTAGCCGCATGACTGAGTCTCGCCTAGCTGAGTAAACCTTCTAACATCCAGGGGTATGCGAAAGCATGGCTTCATATGCAAGCAGGAATTAGAGGCCGTTCCTGTAAACGGGAAGCAACCCATCCATCGTAGCGAGTGAATGCAGTGCGCTGTTGTATGAGAAGAAGACGGAGGGATGACGGTAGACATTGGAATGCCATTGACGCGGCGATCAATACTATAGCGGCGTGTAGGAACTATGCGAATCGATCCAATGAACGGGACAGGCCAACAGGGCTCCTGCGTCGCCAGCAGCCGCCCATGCAGGGTCAGGGACCGCAGCACCTCGAAAAGGGGAAACATGGCCAAAACGCAGTGGCCACATCAGGCATGGAGTACCTGACTCTCGAGGAGCAATTGTGGTAGCGAACTTGTTGAGTTTGGACTGCAAAATAAGGAAGATCAACACACAAAAATATCACGCGCTCCATAAAATCCTTGGGACTCACGATAGGCAACATCGTTTCCTCCTAGCCTCCAGCACTACGCAGATCGTCCGTTGTATGCGCCGCCCGACCACAAAAACGGTCGATCCTCGTCAGAACTCGAGTTTAAACATACATGGAAGAGCCGCAATGAAATCGCACAGCGTCATGCCTTGGGCGGAGCCGCGTCAGCCAATCCGCGGAAAAGCGTTTGTAACTGTGTGCGTCTCCCATCAAGCCCGGGCCCTCTAACGTAATCACTGAAACTCTCTACAGCCCTCGGAGCCTGAGCATAGGCGGTAGAAGGCCCGTTCGGAGCGTGACCCCGATGAGAACCTATCTTCACCCCGGACAGAAGAGAAGGCACGACGCCGTGAACCGTAGACGAGGACGGCTTGTTTTACACCATCCCTTCGGGCGGCCCCATAGTGAGGAATTTTCGCCCGGCGACTGCTGGCTTGGGAGGCACTGCATCAGGGGGCCCACAGGCGCACCACCAGGAATTCATATGCGTCCAGCCTCGAACCCAGTACTAGAGAACGATGCCCGAGGCTCTGCGCACTGCGCCCGAGAGACAGTACGTCCGCACCAGCACGTGAGATTCCAGTAACGTGAGACCAAGCGGACAACCTTCCTTGCCCTCGGAGAGCACGATCGACCACTTCCGGGACTATACCTTATGCGTAGGTATGGGAATGATGGTGCTGAGATGGCGAGTGTGTAGACTGAAGAGAATGAAACCTTCTTCGACCCACGGTCATGCACTTCCAGCCCGCTCTTGACAATGATTGATTTCATACAGCCGGGACAAGGCTGTTAGCCCAAGTATTGAGTGTATATGAAGTGATGCTTCCAATTGGATGTCGGTGGAATGGTAATGGTGTATCACCTCGCTCTGTTGCGGCGGCGAAAAGCGAGGCTGTGGCCGCTGGGCGGTGCCGTTGATGGAGCTTCCATGGACGTATCAGCGTATCTTGGCTTACAGGCTGACGAACGCTTACTCGAAGGAACATCTAGAAACAAAGAGCTAGCCTGTTCGTGGGTTTCGCACGCACATGCTTGGGAAAAAGACGCGCGCAGCCGCGGGTCGGAGTTCCGTCTCTGCTAACCAGCTCCGCATGAATGTATTGTGCCATGCGTTCAACAGAGCGAGCGAGACGCGTCTTGTGGAGCCTCTGGACTTCATGTTGTTTATCACCGTCAGCGGTCCGCCAGGAAGGCGCTCCCGAGGTGTCGAGCTACAGGCCCTCTTGGGTTTTCACCTTGCGCCACACATGCGCATGATCGCCTAGAAAATCATTTGACTATCCTCAATGAAACTTACGACCGTGACGTACACGTTGGTCGCAAGACCTGCACGGTAGATTTTGATGCTGTAATTCTTCCTTGGCTTTTCTTCCACATATCCTCACAGGGCGCTGGTAAGTCGTACATATCACAGATGTATCGCAAGGGGGCAGGCAAAATGTTCAGCAAGTGTATTGGGGGCATGCTTGAACGCGAGCGGTTTCCTACCCAAGTCGGATCTAGTATCTGGAATGCTCAACGCAGCCGGTATTGGTTATATGTGATAAGGATCGCGGGGATTGAATTGGTCCTTCCGGAAAGAGGGGAAGCGATCTTAATCTTGCGATGTATCATAGCTCCCAGGGTTATAGTCGTCAGTTCGCGGGATTCAGAAGCGAGTACGCACTTACCGCGCTACAAGGGAGTGCGCGGACATTGAGATAGCGCAGAATTGGTCTAGCCGGGGACGGATGGGTGCAGGGGACCAAGGGGATTCCCATGGCCAGCGCGCCATGTCCGCAGACGAGAGATCGAGGCTGGCAGGCGTGGGTGCCCAAAATAACACGCCTTGATTGATTTTACGGAATGCGAAGCAGGACGGATCGGATATTTGGCAGGAACGCTCTCCTCTACGCCGGGGATACGCCGGTCACCTGCTGCGACGGTGACAATGCGAGGCCTCAGTGGAGACTGTGGGTTCGAAGAGACTGAAGAGTGGCCGGGCCATGAAACCGCGACAAAGCTCGAATGACTGGCTAAGTCATCCGACCCAGCGGTGAACGGAACGGAAGAAGACAGCCATTCCTACTAGGCACAGATGGCGTTCTGTGTGAAGATCTATCTGTTGGACACGGCGGCATGTGGCGGTTCGAGAAGGAGAAGTAGAACGTTTGCTTACCGGTCGGCGAATGGAACGGAGACGGAGGGTATCGCGGCGATGAGTTTGTTCCACCTTGTTGAAGAAATAAGGAATATACGGAAAAGGATAAACGCTCTCTTTCTCGGAGAAAAAACATACGGAAAAAAGGGGAAAACACGAGTCTACAACTCGGATTGTGGCATTCGAGATCTGCTGGATCCAGTAAGAACTGGATCAGCCAAAAAGGCGCTGACTGCGGAGAAGCATCAGCCGCCGGGAGCAATTCAAGATTCGGTGACCTTGTTGGGAGGTTGTAAGGTTTTGTCATCCAGCCACGGCCGGCACGAAGGTGGGAGGACGGCATGCCGAGAGCCAGTTCAAGACCTCGCGCAGAGTCCCCAGAGCTTGTCTCCCGCATCTCCTTCCTTTGTCTCTCCCTCCGCCTCGCGTCTGTGCACCACTGAGCGCGCCCGTCGTCGTATCCGTTCTTCAAGGCAACCGCGAGCATGGGCAGGCGAAAGATTGAGATTCAACCCATCACCGTACGTCGCTTTCCAATTAGCATCACTTTTAATAGCGTCGTCTATTACTGTCTCGACTTTTTTTGCGCCGTTGGCCTCTGCGTGTTTCTCGTCTTCCGCTCGCTTACGACGCTTTTCTTAGCACGAGCGTAATCGCTCCGTCACTTTTCTAAAGGCAAGTCGAGCCTATTTTTATGCCCTGCTTCGGCTTGGCGTGCTGACCTTTTTTTATCTGCTTGTATTTCAATTTCCTGCGTCGTCTGCGCTGCTCTGCTCGTCGTCGCGCACAGCGGAAGAATGGGCTCTTCAAGAAAGCGTACGAACTGGGTGTACTTTGCTCGGTTGATGTTGCCGTCATCATCTTCGGTGGGTTCCATTTCTCCAGACTTACACCCAGCTCCGAGCTTACACCGTCCTATCAACCCTCAGAGGAACGGCCAGGCCACCATGTCAAATGCTACGAATACTGCTCTCGTGACATACGTGATATTATAGACCGTCATAATCACGTATGTACCCTCTCTCCGTCGTTGCTATGTAGCTGTGCTCACTAGGCGCCCAAGTTCGATGGCGAACGGGACACCCGTACTCCCGCCGACTTCGGTAATAACAAGGCAGAGGAGGCTGGAGACGATGATGATGGAGACGACGACGACGATATGGGCAGGAGCAACGGCGCAAAACGCAGGGATGGCCTCCGCCCCAAACCGGACGTCAAGAAAAACAGTGGTCAGTTGAGGCCAAACGATCTCTCCATGAGCGTTGATGTATGTTGTCAAAGCTCTATTCGCTGATCGCTGGTACTAACTGTCTCATAGTCTGATTATAGACCCATGACCATCCCCGCAGCTCCCCTGTCAAACCTCCAATTACCTTCCTCAGTCACTAATAGTTCTTCCCTCCCCATCTCTGGTGAACGTCTCAACCAACCACCCCCCAAGAAACTGCGACCAAACCCCGGACAACTCACTCCCACAGGTGCCCCATTGTCAGCTCATACACCCACCTTCCCTCCTTATGACCAAGACCCAGCCTACCGTCTGAACTATCCGGTACACCAGAACAATCTGTCTTCACATGCGGCTCAGTCGTTCAATGCGAGCATGTTCCCGGGCTCGCCACCTCCGCCGTCAGGCAATAACCTGTTCGACTTCCCGGGAACCAGGAGGACTACGAGTTACCAGGATGCTTATAGTGCACAACCGCGACTCTCGCAAGGACATGTTCATGGACAGGATGCCTTGAGTTTCCTAGGTCCCGGTGGTGGTCATAGAAACTCGTCGAGCCAGGGACAGAACTTCGGTGCCTCCTTCGATTGGCCTATCCACCAACAGGCACCACAGCAACAGCAGCAAGCCCAATCGGCGCATCATAGTCCAGGTACGTACCTTCTCCTATGCCCTCCATTGCAGAAAGACTTACAATGCTGCCAATTACCCTGCGCGCCCCGCGCCCTCTGTGAATCAATGAACCCCTGTACGCACCTTTACTCAGCTCAAGCCGCGCATAACGCCCATGACACGCCCTGGTTTGATTTGCTGAGCTCAGCCTCGGCACAAGCTTCATTGCCCCAGCCCGCGTCCACGCCCGTCCCCTCTCTCCACCTGCCATCGTTCAATCATGGCGGGGCATCCCACAGTCACAGCAGCTCGAGCAGCAACGACAGCCGCCGTCCGAGTTTGTCATGGGAGCGGCAACAGCAGCACGACGTGCCGTCCGTTCCCAGCTCAGCTACCCCAGTGAACCACCCGCCTGGAAGCGCGGGCAGTGGTGGTGGAGGTGGTGGACAGGGGTCGCCGCCGAATTCGACTGTCGTGTCGCCGGCGCTGTCGCACAAACGTGCCCGAGTGGATTCGAGCGCTAGTGGGAGTGTCGCGGACGTCCCGCCCGGCTCTGCGGGGAACGGGGGGGATAGTGTTGCCGCCGTGGATGGTGTGGGTGAGGGGGATGGAGATAGGGGGTCCTCGGCGAATGGAACTGGAGGGATCAAGACAGAGGGGGAAGGAGGTAATGGGACGTCCATTCCTGCGGATTGATCGTCTGCAACGGGGCCGATGCCTCGTGCGAAGCCTGCGGACGATGTTGTGCAGGCGGATGAAGGGACTGGGATCGGTGTCGTCTGTGTAAGGGTTCTTGAGGTCGGCGTGGGGTAGTTGGTTCGCGCGGTAGGTCTCCTCCAGATCGCGGTCGCCATCGCCACTCCCTCGTGCAGTCCTGAAGCCACCATTCTCTGCAGCTCGCGCGCGTCTCCACCCCATCGTGACTCGGAATGGACAGAGATGAAAGCAGGTGACTTACAGTGTACTAGGGGGACATTCTTGACTTTACCTTCATGGACAATGGACCGTCGGCTACGAGTACCTGTACGAGTGGGGGTGGGCGGAGAGGGGCACGCGTCGGACGGTTCTTAAGTAGCCTCAGGGCCTTTTTATATCGGCGGCGAGATGTGCATGCGACGAGATCCGTCTCTGCATCACGGACGCGGCCAATCGCCAAATGGACTGTATAACCCCCTCCCCGGGCCCGAAACACGCTTGGCTTTATGTAGGTCGTTTGTTCTCATCGTGCTATTTTCTTCTTTCTTCTGCCCGTCGTCTCTTCGCTGCCATTCCATTTCTAGTCCTAGGCGTCGTCATGAACATGTAATGTACGTATATATACGCAAGGCCTCTGCCCCGTGCTGTGGACCTCGACCCGTGATGTGCTGCAGATTCAGAACGATGGTCTGCTGCGCGTGTATGTATATCTTGTCAATTGGTGTATTTTGGACCATTGTTGGCTTGACTCGCGATCGTCTAGTTGGTTTCCAATTTCGGGGGATAAGCCCGGTGGGCGAGCTTAGATTCGACGTGCTCGAACTCCGCGACTTTGCAGAGGAACGAGGAGTGATGGGAGTTGTGGTGCCTCTCGCTGGATGTATGACGCTATCAGGACCATCAAATAAATTATTCGGAGTCGTGTACTACACACATACAGCACATCATTGGCATTTCGACTTGCGCATTGACCTCACTGCGTCTCATGGGGATGCACGACCAGTTTCTGTCCGCTTACCCGGCCTTCCTCCAGCTCCTGCAAACCCTCAGGTATGGCATTCAACCCGCCCGGGAGAACGCGTACAGGGTTCGGCTGGTTGAACTCGGAGATCAGCAGCCGTCAGGCTATAGGCCATGCATATGCTCACCTTGATCTCCCCCTTCTTAAGTAAATCCTCTAGGGCAGCAAAGAACGTCTTCGCACTCTCCCTCTGCCCCGGCAGAGGCGCATGCGCGATCCCAAACACCTGCATCGCCGTCTTCCCCTCGCTCTTCCCCTCTTCGACGTCGAACACCGGCGGGAGCGTGACCACGAGCACACCGCCCGGCGCGAGCAGCCGCCACGCCGCGTGCTGCGTCTCGCCGAAGCTCACCGCGTCGTAGATGAGCGTGAGCGGCGCGGACGTGATGCCCGCGATCGCCGCCGCGGGGGAGAGGCTCCGGTCGACGACGTGCGTCGCGCCGAGGGATTTGAGGAGGGGCGCGTTGTGCGGGGAGGCGGTGGTGATTATGGGGGAGAGACCCGATAGTTTGGCGAATTGGATGACTGAGAGAAGGGCGGGCGTGAGCGTTGCTTTGGGGGGAGATATTGGAGTTGTGAGACGTACCGAGCTGGCCTACGGAAGATGAGCCCCCGAAGATGAGGATGGGCTTGCCCGCGTGTTTCTCGCGCCCGCCGGCCTCCCAGGGAGGGGTGAGCCCCGCGCCGCGGGGAAGGGGGTTGTACAGTCCGAATGCCGCCGAGATGGCTGAGCTGGGTAGGGTGGAGGCTTCGTCAAACGATAGCCCGACGGGAATCTGCCGTAACAGCGCGGGAGGTCGAGATATTATATTTATTTGGCTGCAGTGGGACGCTTGAACACATACCTTGGTGGTGAAGTCGGTGTCAGCGAGCGTGTACTGCTGGAAGCCAGCCTTGTCGGGCACGACATGGCCTTGTGTAAGCCTATTCGGAGTATATACCAGTCAGACCGGTGCACGAGTACGAGATACAACGCAGAACGTACACTCTATCACCCTTGGCGAAGCGAGTAACGCCCTCGCCGACAGCTTCAACGGTGCCTGCGATGTCTACCCCGAGAACGGCGGGGTATGGCTCGGCGAATTTCGACAACCCGTGCTCGTTCTTCTGGATCTTCCACTCCAGCGGTTGCAGTCCAGCCGATTCAACCCTGACAAGCAAGTCTCCCGGGCCGGGAGAGGGAATGGGCTTCTCCCCCACCTCGAACGACCCGAGTGGCTTGGGTAGGATGAGTGCTTTCTGTTGGGCCATGATGGGTCGGTATCGATGTGAATGGTGGTATACTCCTTGGGCAAAGCATGGCAGGCTTTATCGTCTGAGGTTAGCCGGTAGGGGTGGGGTTAAGCTGCTTGCTGCTGCTTACAAAGATGATCGCAAAGCTGCTAGTGCCTCAACGGTCGCAAGTTAATCAGCTCAAAGACCGGAGGCGCGTGATGGAACTGAAAATCCCAGGTACAGATGCCCATAGCTGTGAGTGGTGCGCGGAAGGCGAAATGTCCGCTGACGTTGTCTCTTGTGCTAACGGGGCGCGACTCACGGCAAACCGCCTGCCAGAAGGGAGGCAATCCCGTCAAAAAAGCCTGGTATTTGAAGCAAAGTAGCTGCAGTATGCTGTTCAGCATCGGGCAGCCTCACCGTGACCGAGCAAAGTAAGCATGGAGCGGTCGTCGCGCTCGAGGACACCGTCGTTGACGTCGGCCGGTGCAGGAAACAGAGTGCAAGTGCAAGTGATTGACGCATACATTCCCACGGCCCTCTGTCGATCGTGAATGTGCACGCGCGAGGCTGTGTCTGTACCCTCCCACCTTACTTAGCATCACTATTGCAATGGCAGAAACTCGAGTAAAAGCGGAACGACAAGCCAGCCCGGACATCCCGCTCTCCAAGGCGCAAGCAGTACAACCCAATGCAAAGAAGACGCGAGCGCCGCCGCGGCAGGTGGTATACGCTACCACTGAACAGCTCGACGTTCTCAAAGCTGCCCTCGAAGTAACGCAACACCCAAAGTCCGCACAAATAGAGGACTTGGCTTCGCAAACTGGACTGTACGTTTACCCCGAGCTGTTTGATACTGACGAAGGCGCCTCAATACGCGCATATATGCTGGATCTCTTCCGTTCCTTTCTGAACCAGTACAGCTACGTGGATCAAGAACTGGTTCATTCGTCAGCGCAAGAAAGAAATCATGCGAATAAAAGCTGAAGAGCCTCCCGACCCAACTCTCGTCTCTCAAGCATGCCAGTCGAACGCGGAGACCGTCCCAAGGAAGCCTCTATCGCCAGGGAAGTTCCGAAAGATTCTACCAGACAGAAACGAGCAGACAAAGCGTCGGCAAGTCGAAGTCCTGGACTCCCTGCCTCCGTCGTCTCTGCCGCCTTCCAGTCCTGGTCCTATGCTGTTCTCTGATACCACGATACCCGACTCGGATCCTGTCGCCACCTCCGACTTTGCCTCGGCGGTTACCTATCCGCCTGGCTATGCTCACGATCCTGGTGCACTCGAGTGCGGCGCGACTCTTTTGAACTTTGCTCAGGCTGAGGCTTCATCTCTGGCTCTCGAGCTGCCGAATTTCCGCAATTACCATGACAACCTTGCTTCCTCGGACTCGGCGCCCCGGAATCAGAGTAATACTCATGCTAGGGAGGCGCATATAACGACTTACGGCCGCAACCTGGCCGTCACCGAGGCGCATACTTCACCTCCTGGGCCGAACATCTCTGATGACCCATGTACCAGCTGCGTTCCCGTTGACTGGACTTCGTCGTCGGCAGAAGCGCATACACTTACCCATCGAGTCACGCAACCCTCTCCCAGGACCGGTTCTAGCGCTTGTGGTACTAATGCCCGAGGTGGACCAAGCTGGCCTGGACGCCGCGCAATACTGGCTGACGAGAACGGCCCCAGTCTCCCATCTGTCTTCTCGTCAGCGTCGACTCTAGGTGGAATGTCGCAGCGAGTTATGACGACTTCGGCGGCAGCTACTCCACTCGGCGACTCACGTTCGCACAACATGACCGCTGGCGCCTCGGCCGCCAGGACCGCTCATCGTCTCACTGAAGTTCCTGTATCTGCTGCATCGGAATCATTGCTTTCTTCCAGACGTCAGCCTCGCTCTGCAGGGGACAGTCTCGGCCTGCCTCCGAATTTCTTTCCCCCGTCTTCCAGGTTCAGGCTCTCCCCTCTCCTCTACCCGATCCTGCTAACTCTCACTAATGCATTCGTGATCTCCCTATTATCTGTAGACGAGAAGAAGAAGTATCCTCTTTCCTACCCCTCAACCCCGAGCCGAAGCCAAGGAACGTGTACGATAACGACCCCGCGCTGGTCGCGGAGGCGCTGGAGCTGCTACATCCGGATAGGTGGACTGATGATCCGTTTGTGGCTACGATGGTATTGGTGGATCTTGCGAGGAGGGGGTTTAGGTGGTGAGGAAGGCACGATGTTCGACGACGGTGTATGCGGCTGAGTCGCGATTGGCATTTTATGCTCTGTTTGCATGCCATGTTTGCTATTTGCGTGTCCACCGTACTGTATTTGCGCCGTGTACCAATCGTTCCATGGGACTTAGGGACAGCATGCACAGTCGCTTCGGAGCGCTACGCAGCGGGTAAGGTGACGCTATGACACGTTCGTTGGTTCTGGCGGTTTCCGGCGGTGCGGAGCGGCCGACTGCAACAAGCTTGCATCACGTCTTTTCTTTCCTTTCTTTCAACACTCCCCTCCCCAGCCGTACGACCCCGCCCCCTTCCTCTCTGTCTATAACGATGTCTGCCCCTCAGCCCGTCCCCCCGTCCTGGAAGGTCAGTGCAGGCCGGCCGACGCGTCCGAGTCGACGCGGACGGAATTAGAACTGAAACTGACCGAGGCCCGCGAACGCCACACAGGACATCGGCAAGTCGTCCAACGACCTGCTGGGCAAGGACTTCCCGATCCACGGCACGCAGGTCGAGGTGAAGACGTCGACGCCGTCGAACGTCGCGTTCAAGGTCGGCGGCTTCCGCGACTCCAAGTCCACCGCGATCACGGGCGACCTCGAGGCCAAGTACACCGACCGCAAGCACGGGCTCGTCTTCACGCAGACGTGGACGACGAGCAACGTCCTGCGCTCGCAGGTCGAGCTCGAGAACCAGATCGCCAAGGGCCTCAAGCTCGATCTCAGCACCGCGCTCATCCCCGACAAGGGCCAGAAGAGCGCTATTGTGAACCTGACCTACAAGCAGCCCGGCCTGCACACCCGCGCGTTCTTGGACCTGTTCAAGGTGTGTGGCGTCCATATAAGTGCGCCATTTGAGCGCTGACTGAACGCTGCGCAGGGCCCGACCTTCACCGCTGACACCGTCCTCGGCCGCGACGGCTTCCTCGTCGGTGGCGAGGCGTCGTACAACGTCACCGAGGGCAAGGTCACGCGCTACGCGACCGCGATCGGGTTCTCCGCGCCCGAGTACGCCGTCGCGCTGCACGGGCTCGGCAACCTCTCCATCTTCCACGCGAGCTATTACCACAAGGTCTCGCCCGACGTCGAGGCGGGCGCCAAGGCGATCTACGACACGAACGCGACCACGTCCGGCGTCGCGCTCGAGGTCGGTACGAAGGCGTACCTCGACTCGGCGGCGTTCGTGAAGGCGAAGATCAACAATGCTGGTATTCTTGCGCTGGGTGAGTTAGGAGTTGCTGGATGACCGTGATAAGGCCTGCTGATGGGTTTGTCTTGCAGGCTACACCCAGGCTCTCCGCCCTGGTGTCAAGGCGTCCTTCGGTCTTGCTCTCGACACCCAAAAGCTGAACGAGCCCAACCCCATCGGGCCCGCTCACAAGGTGCGTTATTACAGGCTGATCACGCATTCATCACAACTGATCACGCTGTTTCCTCCAGGTTGGCGCCAGCATCACGTTCGAGGGGTAAACCGCTTTGTTATTAGGATGGTAGGATACGTCTTGTGGTCTCTGTTAGAGGATGAAGTACACTACTTGACCTTCTGCGTATATTGCCCCCCGCTTACTTGCTTGCACAATACAATATCTTAACGAAACTTGGAACTTGTCCCATAGCAGCATAAACCGTGATAGGAGCAGTTACTGAGACCATGATGGTAAGGCAAGCTCTAGGGATCCGTGACCGGAGCCGTAGGTTCTGGACACCTCAGTAAGCGTCGGGTACTGGCGTGTTTTTCTTGACTGTTCGCTCATCCCAACGGCAGACATCCATGAAACCGTAAAGCGCGACGCACCCGATCTCCCGCATCCCTCAGAACATGCAGCACAAGCTTGAAATCCCGTTCTACACACATAACTAATATCGCCATGTACCAAATTCAGAAGCTCTATTCCCTTAGGAACCCCTCGGCTCCTTCGCAGTAGTGGACAAGGGTATCCCCTGCTGGCCCGGGCGATGATGCCTAGCGGAAGCTCGAGATATGCCTGCGTTTCAAGCAGTGCCCCGCTGTGCTGGGCGTGGACATTGAAGGTACCGTCGTACGCGTCGGAGAGGGGGTCACTGAGTTTGCTGAAGGAGATCGAGTGTATTGCCCCGATGTCTTCATCCATAACCCCAAAGCTGATGGGGGTACCTTTGATAGATAGGATAACCCAAGGCCATGACAAGGGCGGCTGCCGTTATGCACGCTCGCTGTGGTGGAGTTTAGTACCAAGGTGCAGACAAGCTTTACCTGCACTCAAGAGAGCAACCTGACGGAATCATATCTTTGCTTTCATCTGGGACACTGGCAGATGAAGCCGCCTCATTCCCAAGCGCCGTGATGACCATCGGGTTTGGGTTGCACGACCCCGCCGACGGCGGGACGGGGCTCATCCCTCCGGGAGGGCAGCGGTAGGCTGGTAGACCATCCCCGTCTCTGGGGTGCATCATCCAACGGGCAGCTTCAGTACGCCGAATACGTTCACCACCAGGAATAGAGCGGACGAAACTCATGTCCGCCTCGCTCTGCAACCATCCGTTTGCGAGGATTTCATGGTTTCTCCCCATTTGCCTCCCCGTGCAATGAGGCCTTCCTTAAGTCGTCGGCGCTATAAGCTAAAATAGGTTATATTCGCAAGCATAAGTGGTCCTTCGGTTGAGGGGCTGTCAGCTTAGAGGAGACGCCACAAGAGGCGTAGGACCAACCCGCGCTGGGCGGGGTGCGGGTGAGTCGTGCTTACCCTGCCGCCGGTGCTCGACGTGCAACAGCGGGAAGGAGCGTTGGTGATTCAAGGGCGTTGCACGTCGTGGGGATGGCGCATGCGCCCGTGACAGGGTACAGGGAGGCGGCGAAGAACCTGTTGACGCGCCTGAAGATCAATGCACGAAGAGATCAAGGCAAGCACGCGTAGCCTTACGATGAAATACGCTGATTGTTGGAACAAGCGAGCCCCGTATGCGTACTCTCGGGCGGCTACAAGCGTGCCAGAGGGCTTGAAGGAGCTGTGTGAGGGGTGGGTCAGTGGGCAGAAGCTCGTTGTGCACACGCGAGGGACCTAAGCGTGAATTGGAATGCCAGATGAGGTGAATGTAATAGTACGTACGCCTCCCAAGACCTGATAAATGGAGGGTAAATGGGTATGTACGTTCACTGGACTTACAGTCACTGTACTAGTACTTTTAAATTGTAGCTATGACCTTGGGCTTGGAAATTGCGTGCCTGCCATTGCCTCAACGGCGTACTATATCATATAGTCTGTGCTAGAACTTAAGTGATATGCATATCATGATGATATGCATATCACTTAAGTTCTAGCGCAGACGGAGAAGCTCCTTAGTAAGGCTGCTCTGAAGGTTGAACGTTAACCTGGAAAAACCTGCACGCTGACCAATTGCTGACGGGGACACCAAGATAACTCTGATCCGTCCTATTTGTTTCTTGTTGTATAACACGGTGCTTTCCAACGGGCTGCATCGGCATGGATCAACTAAGTCGCTGAAGGAGAGCCGCGTGAGCGGCGGAAACCCAGAGCATCCTCTGGAGACCCAGGACTGAATCGCGCAACGAGATCGGAGAATATTGGGTATTGCTAGCGCTGTACTACTGGTATACACGCGATACAAAGCGTCGGCCCCGCGAGTGTTGGCTGTGAGAATCGAGGTACGCCGGGCCTTGCGTATATTGCCCCCGCGGCTTACAATACAATATATCTGTGCTTGGTAGCATTGATCAAATGATCCGATCATGAAAGTAAGGCGAGCTGAGGAGATTCATCAGAACACGAGACACGCAACGAACGTACTAAGTACTTAGAGCTGGCGGCCCCGGTATGCGTATTAGTAACCTGCGCAGCGGTGAAGAGGGTTGACTGCCCGCTCAGAGTCATTCCGAATCATTCGACCCCCGTACATAGCTAAGTCTACGACGCGGCGTGCCGGCAAGCTGAAGCATTATTCGTAAGCCTGTGGTCGACATTGACTCGACAGGATTGCGTACCGGGACCCCGCACTCACCACGCATAAAAAGCCCAGGCGCGATGCAACACAAAACATACGAACTCCACTCTCCCATATACCCAGCACGACTATGTCCCAGATACAAAAAGCTTTGGTCCTCCCGGAAGCCAATGCGAGCTTCGCAGTAGTTGATAAACCCATCCCCTCCCCCGGCCCGGACGACCTGCTCATCAAAGTCGACGCGACCGCACTCAACCCCGGCGAGTGGAAGATGTGGAAAGTCAAGGAATTTGCGCGCTTCGTGGAACAGTATCCCACCGTGTTTGGCGTGGACATCGCAGGCACAGTCGTGCGAGTCGGCGAAGGGGTCACCGGGTTCGCTGAGGGTGATAGGGTGTAAGTTTGGTCTCCGCCCTCCTGGATGCCATCGCCTTTGTTCATGGCGCTAACCGGACCTCCGTTATAGAATTACGCAAGGACATTTCTCACAGGACAGAGGCGGCTATCAGCACTATACGCTGGCCCTAGCGGACTTCAGCACAAAGGTATGAATCAGCTCACATTCACCTAAGTATCTAGCCTGACGAGATCATACCTTTGATCCGCCCTTCTGTGGCACTGGCAGATCCCCGCCTGGCTATCGTCGGACGAAGCCGTTTCTATCCCCAGCGCGGTCGTCACCGTCGGGTTTGGGTTATACAACCCAGCGCCCAGCGGGGCAGGCCTCACCCCTCCCTATGAGGCAGGCGGGCGCGGGAAGTACGCAGGCAAGCCTTTCCTCGTCTTCGGCGGCGCATCCTCCAATGGGCAGCTGGGTACGTCACATACATTTGCCACCAGAACAAAAGGCCTAACTCACGTACTTCCTACCTCTGCTCGCAGCCATCCAATTCGCGAGGATATCAGGGTTCTCTCCGATCATCTCCACGGCCTCGCCTCGCAATGAGGCCCTCCTCAAGTCCCTCGGCGCAACGCACGTCGTCGACCGTTCCTCGCCGAACGTGAGATCAGATGTATCAGCCATTACCGATGGTGCACCGCTGGAAGTGATCTACGACGCGGTCAGCTTGGAGGAGACGCAGCAGGCGGCGTGGGACCTGCTCGCGCCGGGCGGAGTGCTCGTCCTCACCCTTCCGCCGGTGATCAACGTCGAAGGCGACAAGAGCACAGGTAAGAGGGCGCTCGTAATCCTAGGGATTGCGCATGCGCCTGTGCCAGGGCACAGGGACGCTGCGAAGAACTTGTTTGCGGCCCTTGGAGATTGGCTTGCGCGAGGAGATATCAAGGTGAGCACAGGTGTAACCTGACGGTGAAGTATGTTGATTTTTACCTTTTAATCAGCCGAACCCCATCCGCGTGCTCCCGGGAGGGTTAAAGAGTGTGCCGGAGGGATTGAAGGAGCTAGCGGAGGGAAGGGTCAGTGGGCAAAAACTCGTTGTGCACCCACGGGAGACATAGGTGGGAACCGGGATGTGAGACGAGGCGAATGTACTAGTAATCATGCTTGCCGAAGATCTGGTTAATATAGGGTATATGGATGTGAACGTTTATTAGACTTACGGCGAATTGTAGAGAACAAGACTTGCGAAGTGCAAGCTGGCGTTGACAGTGAACTGTGTGATATGCAGTCCGCTTCTAATGATAGTCAGAGCTCTGAAAGACTCGATTGTGTCATACACTGGCATCCTGTCAGGGCACCATGCATACCGAGGGAGAATCACGAAATCAGGAGATTGAATACTGATACATTGTACAAGCTTTTGCCGTTCCCGGATAGTCAAGGAAGCAGCATAACCATAGTCCTGTCCCACAAGCCAACCAAAAATGCGCTCCTGCAATCAATCTTTCGCGTAGGGGGTGCGACATAAGGCGTCCGCCCCGCTGACCATAAGATACTTTGCCGTCAGTTCGTGCGCCCATCCGAGCAATTTCTTCGTTAGGGGTAGTGTCTTCGCCGAACTCAAGTCCAGCGGATTCCACATGAACGTCTGATTCGTAATGGTCGTGATATCATCCTCTCGTGACAGGCGTATGACCAACGCGCCAGCGACACGTTCGTCAGGCCCTTGCATTTTGAATTCCACTAGGCCCTGGGAGTCCTCCCTGTGGGCGACGTGGTACATCCCCAGCACCGCGTCGCCCACCTTGAACTCGAGCCGTCGGACGCCCTCGGGGGTGTACGCCTCTGACGCGCTGTCGGCCTTGCCCTTATTCATCCACCGCATGAGATACCCCTGGGGAGTGCGGGTGAAGATGCTGAAGTTGTTCCGGAGGTACAGAGTCAACAATTGCGAAGTCCCGACCGGTGCTAAGCTCTTCGTCGGGAGCTCGAGGCGCAGGGAGTCGGTGAATATCTTGGCTCCGGGTCTATTGGCACCCGGGGGTAAATTGCTGGGTCCGTCGCCTCGAACGTATGGGCCGAGCTCCGTGTACTCGTGCTTGACTCTCTTCGACAGTCGGCGATCAAGGTAGAGCAGATAAACTACTCCAGCAGCTGGCGGGATGAGGAGTGCGGTGAGCGTCGAGGATGTAAGCAGTCCCATGGCGTCTTTCGAGAGTCGATGGTGGAGATATCCAGGCTTGGACTGAGACACACCTTTTGTATTAGTTACTATAGGAGCCGATACTTTGACAGTGAAGATTCTGTCCAGTTCGGGTCATCACGGGGGACAAGAGCTTGGCTTCCTCACTTATCGACGAGAACGTACTTGAATTGCTATTCCATCATGTTCCAACGGCGAAATAGCGTTCAGCATGGCAAAATTACAACATAGTAGTCTCTGGAGTGAAGGTTGTCAGGTACGTTGCAAAGGATTTCTGGTTCTTGATCCCCAGTGGAAATCGACAATATTTTCGTGTTTTTAGATGCTTTAAATATATTTGCATATGTTTACCTGTATATTTTGGAGGCCACAGACTGCTGAATGACACTTGCATGCAGGCTCCTAAACCACCCGTCCTTAGCGTTCGCGCTCCTCTAATTACTAGGGCAGAAGTGAAATATTATGTAAGAAAATATATTATATGAGAATTACCGGATACAGAATGAACAAGAGGAGGAGAACGCTATAGGACGGCTGGAACAAATCGTCTCCCCGAGATCACCGAGTCTGACTAAGCATGCCAAAAACGGCAGTAGCTGAATTGCTTCAACAGCAGTGGGTGGGCAATTGGGGTCATATAACATAGTTGTATGAGTTCGAAGCAACTTATAAGACATTCAATGAAGCTCTCAGACACTCGGGCTGAGTATTCAGTGAGCATATAGTACACTCACTACTGTTGAAGCAATTCAGCTACTGCCGT